CGGACCACACTGAAAGAAAACCTCTTCTACTCGCATCTCCTCGCTCCTCCTCTTTCGCCCCTTCCTCCCTCCATGCACCGCCAACTCCTCAAACTAGCCTCCTCAACCCCGCTCTCACCCTTCCCATCCTCGAAACCCTGCAATCGCTCCCTCGGATCTCCTCACCAAACTCTCGCATATCTATTTACCAAGCCAACTCGTCTATCTCGCCATGAACGTTCTCACACAATATGCATGTATCCGCGGTGTGAATCTCCTCGCGGCTGCGTCGTCGGCGCTGACGGTTACTATTGTGTTGAATGAGGAAATTGATTAGTTTACTGTTGAGTATTTGGTTATTTGGGAATAGACTCAGTCCTGGGACGTTGGTGGGTGCCTGTTTAGTATTTTTTGCCGGCGGCTTGTATAGTTTAGATGGTGGGAAAAGAAAGGGCGAATAGACATAGGAGTACTAGTAACGGGAAGGTGGGCTAGTGAAATTATTTATTATAAAAATTTGTGGTGTGTTTTGGGAAGTGGATGAGTGAATATCGCTCATGTAAAATGGTTAACATCCATCCTTGGAAGTATTTTCTCATTTGTGATCTGTAAATCTGTAGTTGACTCGCTTGACTAAATGATCAACAGGAGAGCATTACACCAAAATCCTTACATGTGTAACCCTCGTTTCTTAGAGTTGGTCTAACACAGTTCAAAAATCATTGACTCCTTGATTATTCTGCCCTAAGATGAGAATTTTGAGGTATCGTAGGTATTAAGATTTCCTCTTTTTTCGACGGCTGCTACTCATTGATCGATTGTCTATTACGCCGTAATATCCCAACCCTTCTGGCAGCTTCCTTACTTTTGCCATTTAGAAGATTCTTACAGCCATTACGGCGTTATATTGCGAGTGACGTCACATTTTCCGAGAGTTTCATAAACGATTTCCATCATGAATGACCAGGGTATTCGACCAGTATGTTGTTTCGTCGAACACGTCGCCGTAGTATCTAATGAATTTATCCAATGCCCGGGCAATCCCAGCATAGCTCCGATCCAGACTCCAATGCCTAGCCAATTTATTCAGAACCTCCAGCAGTCATTGTCAACATTGCTGCTCCTAAAAGAATCCACCAGTACCTATAAATTATCACATCGTTAGCACATCCGTCATCCATGCAAATCCGAACTGCCCATCCATCCTCTTCCCAAAATACAGGAAAAAAACACCATAAACTTACTTCTGCAAAAACGTCTTCTCCACCACCTCTCCCTCAAGCTTTCCCTCCTTACTCAAAACCACATTGGGCCCTAGAACTGGTTCCTTCCCCGCAACCATCCGTCTAACCTCCACCTTCGGCGCAAAATCCCTCGTAGCACCTGCATCTATCACCCCACTCTTAATCGTCACACCCAATACCGCGCCTTGAGAATCAAGCGTTAGGATAATAGTGGGTTTATAACCTTTGAAAATTATCGAGGGACAGTAGCGAAGTGGAGGATTTGAAACGGAGGTTTGGGCATCGAATGCCGGTTAGAGCGAGGTTTTCGAGGGGAAGACGAGGAAGATGAGGAGGGAGAAGATCGACGGGCGGTTCGTACGAGACGAGAGAGGCGGAGAGGGTGGAGGGGTAGGTGGATGGTTGCAGTGGGTAGGCGGAATCGGAGACGAGAGGTTGGATGTAAATTGTTGCTGTGTCTGTTTCTTCGGTTATGGCTGCCGCGATGGGGAGGATGTATGCGCAGAGCGCGAGGAAGAAACTGCTGGGCTTCATTGTGGTGGTTGGGTTGGCTTGGTTGAGAGCTTAGCTGGAGCTTTGAGGTTCGAGGTTCGTGGAGCGAATCTGGGCAGGCTGTGATTACGTAATGTGTTTAGCGTGTTCGAGATTCCAGGTTGTGGGTCAGCTACTTATGTAACCTTGACCCTTGGGGCTACAAGGCTGAGAGTTTATTTGTCTACCTAATATGTATGTACTTTTAGATTGGCATATGGCTGTTAACTTTTCAAATAAGTATCAATTTTCTAAAAGTACCTGGTTTGGCAAATGAAATTATTTGCATTTCAACTTGATATATACATCTTTTCCTCATGGACAAAGCCAAGGCGCCTCTTGATCTATTCGTCAGTGCTGTGTAAAATACTCCTTCCCAACGCCAGAAAACCAAAGCATCGCGGCGAAAGAGAAAAAGGGTATTATCATAATTGTGAAGACGCGGTTAGGACGGTATTGACTGTGTCGTTTCTTCTCGTCCAGATTTCGTTTTATGATTTAGAGCATCCACCTCCGAGTCTCTCATATTTGCGCCAATTCCAACCTCGGTCGCCTGGGGTATCAAGGTCGTCACTTTCTTCTTCATCATCATCCAATCCGTCTGATTCATCAGATAAATCTCCTTCCATTCTGTAACGGTCGTTTCGCTCAATCAAACCTTTATAATAATCTGTCAGCATTTCAGGCTTAGGAATTATTTTCCAGTCGACCCTGTGTAAAAATTCAAGCTCTAGCAATCCTAATTCTGCCAATTTGACACCACCAACCCTCGCGTACGTTGAATTGTTCCAAAAAATATCTGAAAGTCCTTTTGAGGCTACTGTAGCCGCCGTAATCAAGAATCGATGAACAGTTAAGGTTGTGATTGTAAATGCTGGATATGAAGCGCAAAGTTGGTCGATGTAGTAAACCATGGAAAGTAAGAGAGGAGGTTTTAGAGTGGCATGCTTTGCAAGTCGGCGGAGGTAATCAAGAACAGAAATTCCAGGAGGCGATCTAGAAACCGTTAGTATTGAAGCATGTAAACATAAATATACACACATGCATACCTAGAATGAAAGCGTGTCAACACTCCGTTCTGCGGAGGAAGAAGATCGTTTCTTTGAATCAATTCAGCAATCATACTAGCTATGAGAATGACCATATCCTCTTCTTCGCAATGCTCATAGTTGCGAGGTAGAATCTTCACCGTCGCTTGAGGTTTCACTCTCTTTGGGGATGAAACCCCTTTGCTAGCAATATGCGCATCGTCGATTGCCGATTGCTTCTCTTCATACTTGGCGATTCCGGTTGTATTGGTGGGTTTATACTGCGTGAGACATCAACGTTGAGTTGTTCTGGCGCAATGGTGGGTTCTGGAGGAAAATCCTCAACTTTCACTTGCACTGGTGTCGATGTTCCATCTGCCATACTAGAAGGCATTATGGGAGGGCTCCACTGAGTAGAAGCGTCAACATAGACCCATTTCTTTGGTTGCGACTGAGGTATCGGTTGCTGCTGTGATTGTGACGAGGGAGAAGGTTTGTTCGCAGTCGATGTTCTGCGCGACAGTGAGGGTCGTGTCGCAGGAGTTGCATAGTGGCAGAGAGTAGGGGAAGCCTGAGATCTGCTCAATGATGGCGACTTCAACATGTTCCTTTTTCAAACTGAATCATGATCAGCGCCTTCCGACTTATTATCTAAATTGGCGGAGTGGATTGGGTGGGTAAGAGCGATGGGGTGGGGCTTTGTAAGGCGTGGTGGCTATAACAGCTGCGATTCGATGCTTTTGATAATGTGATTGTTGAGTACGTGAAGAAAAGTATGTACAATATCATAAGGTTTTGTCTATACCAACTTTGAAATGCAGCAAAGAACGATAATAAAGTGGAAGAAATCTTGTTCAAAAAACTCTGCTCAATGGTGCTTCCGGTTAATGTTGGGATTGTACGAGTTACGAGTATGAGTGAGTTATAAGAGATATGACTCGTGGTAAGATCTTACAAGAATGTCTCCTTTTATCATGTGTGTGTTATGTTAATACTGATTTTATCTCATTATTCGTTATGTTATTACTTAGGTAAATGAAGACCCTTTCCAATCGTGTACATATAAACGATCGCATGTAGAAAATGCTTGTACAAATCCATGTGAAGAAGTCCAAACGGTCCAAACCCACGTAAGGTCTAGGAGTAGACAGCGCGTCATGTCTATGTTGCATTTACTACGTATACATTGGAACATTCTGAACTGAAGGTTATTACAATAACCAAAAATTCAATCTGCCTTCATCTTATAATATTGTCTACATACCGACCTCTCAACCCAATTGTATGTACCGATACTCCATTATCTGTTTTTGTCTCAACAATTCCATTGTCAAGGACGTCTCTTCAAGTCTGGGTACGAAATATATGTCATTCGTCATTCACAATTCCGTATCTGTGTACAACATTCTGACCTGCTAAGTCGACCACGAATCAAGAAACCTTACCTGCCGAAGATAATCATCCTTCAGACACAAGCGTAGCTACTTCAATAATTCTCTCTCATCATCGAACACAATTTGGGGATATTTCTACCGCATCCGCTGTTTTGATAATACAAAATGGCTAGAAGTTTGGCCACACAAAGATGGCCGGCCTTGATTCGAAATGCTAGGACTACCACGGAGCAGATTGCCAATCTGAGGGCCCTTAAAAATGAGATCGTTGGACATGCTCCAAAGAAAGAAATGGCTGTAACCATGGGCCTTGTGGAACCTGTCGTACGCATAAGTTTCAATAAGTTCAATTCCAGAAATCAGGATTGGAAAGCACACGATCATAGTTATGCGATCCGACCGTTAGAAGAAGAGGAAATGGTTCGACTACAGGCTCTACAGGTCCTGGGAAGCCTTGCATATGGTTAGCATACATGTTATTTTTCTTATGGCTCTTATTAACAAGAACTAGGTGGTCCAGCCTTCCTCGCTCCATTACACTATGGCTCTGCGCTCCCGGCGATCCTGTCGAATCTTTGCCCAATAAGTAATCCGCCACAAATAGTCCTCGCAGCGTTGCGGGCTTTGTCCAACCTCGCAGAATCCGCAATGCTTGCTACTAGCACACACCCTATTACCATTAAGTCTCTGGCGGCAGCGTTGTTCGTACGCCCACATCTCGCCTCTCTAACTCGCATCATCTCCCAAACTTCATCGTCTCACATCATACAAAATCAAATATCCTTGGCGGCTACACTCATAGCCCGAATATGTCGACAGGAGTCCTATCAACAAAGTCTCGCAACTTCCGGTGTTCTGGATGCCTTGGCTGTGAGACTGGCAAGCTTCGTTGTGGCTCAGGGCCTTGTTGTTCCAGGTGCCGATATCATAGCGCATAGGGAAGGTTTACGGGAATACATCCCTGCGGCTGCTCCTTCAACTGCTTATTTCTCGGGATTTTGGAGGCTATAGCTAGCATTGTCGCCGAATCCAAGTTCAGAGCTTCGCAACTCATTTATCACCCATCAATCATGGCGGTATTTCCATCAATTCCTGCCGGCGATGCGCCGATCCTACAAAGCTCGAGAGCTGCTTGGAATACGTTCAATACAGGAAGTTTAAGTTCACGACAAAGCCAGTTGAGTGCCATTGATTACCTGCTCCCGATCGTTCCACAGTACCCAGTGAAGAGCGCACAGGCATCTGCATTTCCCCCACTTGGTTCATCAGGATCTCGGGAGCCTCTCAATGGTCGTGGAAAGTCAACTTCTACATCGATATGGTCTGAACCTCCCCCGGAGCGAAATGGTTCACCACAAGAGAGTCAAGCCGCTCTCGAGGACCCTGAGACTCCTCTGGTTGCATACCTGATATTTATTATGAGATCTCGGGAAGGCGAGGAGAGACTCATGGCTTCTTATTTACTGACAGTTCTATTTCGAGCCGGCCTTATCAATAAAGCCAGGGAACCAGCCTTAGGTTTACTGGTTGTGCCTCTACTTGTGCAGATGTTGGGTGAAGAGGCGACTCAAGTCAAGTCCAAGGATATCTCTTGTGACCATGAATCGTTGAGAGTCGAGTGGTCAATCACAGAAATGGCACCACGGATCTTGTCGTTGCTAATTACAGATAGCGAACACCTTCAAAAGCTACTTTCCAGAGTAAGGCGATGACCAAGCTCTCTAAGTTGATCAAACTATCTTACGAACCAGTACCGGAAAGTGTCAATGCACAACATTGGTCGCCTATCAAACCAAATGCAGAAGAGGATTATGTGGAACAAACCCCTTCATCACGTCTTGGTGATCCTGGTCAATCTGCTCTTCTCGTTCACAAAATCAAAGTAAGGGAAAGCGTATTAAGAGCTATAGCATCACTTATTCCATTCAAAGAAGAACATAGAAAATCCGTTGTGGACAACGGTATAATTCCTTACATTGTCGAATCTTTGAACCCTAATCCGCAAAAGCCATCAACTAAAGTCAACGAAAAAGGCGACAAAGCCGAAAAGAAAAACGATTCAAGTAACCCTGAAGTTAAACAAGAAGGATACGGGATCAATCCCGTAGGCGTTCTTATTGCTGCTTGTACGGCGACTCGAGCCTTGGCGAGGTCAGTTTGTATACTTCGGACTACCTTGATTGATAATGGAGTAGTTGCGCCGATATTTCCCCTTCTTTCTCACCAAGACATCGAAGTTCAAATTGCTGCTACCGCTGCAGTCTGCAATCTTCTTACCGATGTTGCCCCAATGCGAGAGGTTTGTACACATTTAATGCTGTTTTCGATACGTTTTTACTAACCTATTTGCAGAGCTTCATGGAACATGGGGTACTTAAAATACTTTGTGGACAGGCACACTCCGCGAACGCAAAGCTTCGTCTGAATGCTACCTGGGCACTCAAACATTTTGTCCTTGGTGTCGGTAACGAAACCAAAAGAGCGTGTTTGGAAGAGCTGGGATCAGGATGGTTAGATCGCCTTATTTGTAACGATACAGAAGATGAAGCACTTCTCAAAGAAAATAATTATAACCAAAACACGGCCTCAGGTGTCGACGATGCTATGGATGAAGATGTGGAGATGGATCAGTTTGAAACGCCAACGGGGGGTTCACTATCAGCTCATAATAATTCCAGGCCTAGCAGCAGTCGCAGTAAAAGCTTGCAGCAAGCAGAAGCGAAGCTCGCTGCGTTACGAGAAGCTGAACTGAACCCGGCCAAAAGAGCTAGGAAAGACGACCTCGCAGTTCAAGAACAAGGCCTGGACTTTATACGGAATTTGATTTCTAGTGCAGGATCCGGACATAGCAATAGCGCAGAAAACACTGAGATGATTGATTACCTATTCAGTTCTCTGGGCCAAGACCGAGTTTTCGAAATTCTAGCTTCCAAGCTAAGACCGAAGATCATTAATCGTCCTTCCAACTCCACTTCCCGGGGCTCTAGTACATCGGAAGCAAAAGTTATTCCGCCTCAACCAGAGATCATCGTTGCTGTCGTTTATATCCTAGTCCATATGGCCGCTAGTATTCCGCAACATCGTCAAATCGTCATAGCCCAAACCGAACTCCTCAAACTTCTCGTCCCCCATTTTAACAACCCAGCCTTTGAAGTCCGCGTCGCCATGTGCTTTTTAATTGCAAATCTCACTTGGGTAGACGACTCGAACGATGGACCGGCTTGCGCGCAACGCGTGCATTCATTGAAACAACTTGGTATCCTTCAAAAGATTGAAAATCTGGAACATGATCCGGAACTGGATGTGAGAGAGAGGGCTAAAGTTGCAATTTGGCAAATGAAAGCGCCAGTTTTTAATAATTAAATACAAATATTTTAGCATGTGTATATGGGGAAACGGTAATTGGAAAATCTTATAGCATTGGCGTTTGCAGTGGGGAGCTTGAACCTCTGCAAGCATGAATTGACGATAATGGGTATGGAACGTTTGTATTACTACGCGTGGAAATGAACTCGAGGCAAAAGGCAATAAATGATGACGGGCTGTTAATCAGATACTGAACCTGAGCAATTGCAAATTGGGCAACATGAATAAAAAGGTACGGAAATTCAGTCAGACAGTCAACAAGCGAATTACACATTTTCAATCGGTTCCGAAAAGTTGACTTTGTGTTCTTCTTGTGTTGTATTTTTCGTATCAGGAAATAAAAACCATGGCATCCAATGCAGTAATTGAGGACGTACGTACAAAAGAACGTGATATCTAAAATCACTAATGCTGCTCTTATTTCCTTGTAATCTTAAAATCCTCCATCCACATATGAAAATTGTAGTCAAGAACTTCTTCGTTTCTACCTTAGCTTCAAGCAAAGACCGTGCAGGCGCCAGAAGCAGTATCATTCGTCATCATAATATCAAACCATCTACTCTTCTGGTCTGAAAACCCATTCACCAATTACAGCAATTGCTCCGGATCACCTCACAACCACTAAACGCTCTTCGCCTCAACCTGCACCCCCTTCCCCTGCTCCTCACTCGCACTCGCACTCTCCCCCTACCCTCCATCCCCCACCCTAGCCACTCCACCCCGCTCCCCCACCTCATCCCCATAATCCTCCCCACTCAAAACCTCCAACGAAATTCTCTTCGTCTCAGGTATACACAGCGTAGTCCAAATACCCGCAAACATAAACACAGCATAGATTTCCAACACGTGGTTTAACCACGGACTTGGATGTTTGGAGGTCGCGCCTCTGATGCGCAGGGGTGCAATGGCCGCTTGTCCGATTATGGAGCCGATTTTTCCCATGCCGGCGGAGAAGCCGTGCGAGCTGGAGCGGTAGCGCGTGGGGAAACATTCGCCGGGTACGATGAAGGTTGTTGTGTTGGGGCCTGGGTGTGGGTTAGTGGGGTTTGGGGAGTAAGGATGGGAGGAGGGAGGGAACTGGAAATTGGGAATGGGAGGAGGGATGGGTGGAGAAATAGGGATGGGGATGTGGTTTTCTTACCGAAATTGAAGAAAAATTGTGCCACGACGTAGAGACCGAGTAAACCATGACCAGACAGCTTATGGTACCCAAAACCCATACCCAGAAAGACGATAGTAAGGATAATAAAACCCATAAGTTGAATAAGTTTCCGCCCCAGCGTATCAACAGTAGCCACCGTAACCCAATACCCTGGCAGCGCACCCGCACAAACAATAATCAGATTCCCGATCGCGGTATTAAGCAGCGTCTTGTAAACCGTTGGACCAGTCGAATAACCTATCGCGGTCAGGATGACAGGATTATTCAAGGATAATCCGTACCAAGCTACATCGAGAAGAAACCAGGAGCCTGCTGTACCGAGGAGGATCTTTCCATTTTTCCATTTGGAATAATAGGTGATGAAATCGGACCAGCTTGCTTTCGGGATTTTCATCAGTTGCTTGCCGGCTTGAAGGCCCCGTACACGTGATATTTCGTCGGGATGTCCCTCGGCTTTGCCGGCAATATACGCTTCAACATCTAGCTGGGCCTGTTCGACATCTCGAGCGACGTCGAATGTATATCGCGGGGTCTCGGGAATCGTGAGACGGTAGTAGAGTGCCACGCATGCTAGGCGAGTATTAGTGGATATTCGACCCATATTTTTTCCCGCTAAAGTCAGGAGTATTTACCTGGGACGGCGCCAAATCCAATGAGTACTCTCCACATTTTATCGACTGCTAATCCACAGACCCCTTGACATACTGCTGCGGATTTGGCTGTGAGGAGGGATTCTTTGAATCCGACGACGACAATTAACATGACGAGGCCGGCGACAAATTGTCCGATTCCTTGCATGGCGAAGACTGCTCCCATCATTGCCCCACGCCATTTGGTTGTTGCAAATCTATGTTCTTGTTAGATTATTCTAAGTTTTGGGAGAAGACTAGATCATTATTGGGGTTCCAAAAGAGGTTTTGAATTTCCAATTCTTAATGAACGACGACATCGGCCACAATTTCCACTTCAGAGCGCAGTGTTGAAAAGCTAATGGAATAGATACTTACTCGGATGTAATAATGGATGAGAGTGGATAATCCCCGCCGATTCCTATTAACTGTATCAGTCTAATCCTTTCTACGTGATACCAAAAACCTGAACATACCAATACCCATAATGACACGCCAAAATATTATAATTCCGACAATATCCACAGCCGGCGAGCCCGACGCTAGAGCTTGTGCCAAAGTAGCAAAAATGATGATGATCAATTCCAGGCCATACTAAGAAGAGAAATAAGTTTTGTGGCTTAAACCACTGTAGAACCACATACCATCTTTTTCCGTCCCACAATATCAGCCAAAACTCCAAATCCAAATTGTCCCACCACCGTGCCGGCGCTGGTGGAAACTTTGATTGCAGTGTCTGAAGTCGTCGGCATGACTCCTTTATTATGCGGGAAATAAACTATTCCAAGCATAGAGGTGAGGAGACCAACGGCAAAAATATCATAGGAATCGGTAAAGAAACCAATGCCGGCAACGACACAGGCGCGAATATGATACCATCCAAATGGAGCGCGATCGATTTCTGCTAGAGCAAGTCTTCGTCTCTCATTAGGATCTTGGATGTGGGCGAAATCATTGTGGAAATTGTGCCAAACAGCGTTTCCACCTGATGTTGTATGAAGTACAGCGGGAATCGATGGTTTGGATTCAGCTTCTCTTGAGTGCTTAGTATTCGCCATCTTTTGGTGATTATAAAGTACTAGAGATTTTCGTTCTCTATGCCTGTCTTATCGTACTTTCAATCTTCAAGCGGTTTGAAGTAGAGGTGCATTGTGAATGCCCACGAGGACACCCAGCTTTATCAAGGAGTGAATAGATGATAGCCAAGCAATCGGGTAACATCAAAATGTTGACTGAATTTATCTCTCATTATTTTAATCAGGAAATAAATCACTGGATACAGTGGCTTCCTGTCTTTGTTGCGGCGTAGTAAATATGGTGGTACTATACATGTTGATATATCAACGAATTATATATTATGATAAAGGAAAGGGCTTCACGAGGAACGGCGAGATAATGAAGTTGATGGCTGCAGCCGACAAGGCTGATATTTGAAGAATAGAGAGTAGGCGAATCAGAAGTTGCGAAATCAACACGTTTCCGCTTCAGAGGTTGATACAAGGTTGTTCAAATTTTCCCAATCGGGCCCTGTAACCTGTCTTACGGAGGCTGTCTAGAAGTTGATGAAACGGGAGCTTTAAAATGAAGCACGTTCTTCCAACAGGGATTTAGACAGGACGAGCTCCGCATACCAACATCTTTAAATATAACAGTGCTTTTCCCTTTCATTTGTGCCCTCAGCCTTGCCACTACCACACCTAGAATTTTGCTGAAGTTGGGCTTCCAACAATGGGAACCAATATGCTCCTCAATATCACCAGCAGCTGAATCGTACGTGCCTCCTGACACGTACAAATCCGAAAACTGTCAAAGATTTACCGGGACCAATTGGAAGAGTAAGGCTAGTCAACTATTGATTAGCATTGAAACACGGAGCCATGTAAAAATTGGCTTCTCATGGGACAATGTGTCTTTCCGATCCACAATGGCGGGATCGTAGATTTTCGGGCGAGTCCCAACCATCGTTCAGGCGCACCAACTATTTCTTGCAGCGTTCTCAAATACCCTAGGCATGTACATCCGTATGTGGCAGTAGATTTTTTGGTTCTTTAGATGTTTCGATTTCTTTTCCATTAGAGATCCATTGCCAGGCCAGCAAAGACCAATTCAACTCCTTACGCCAGAATAGACCGTGTCCAAGCTCGCTGTCTGCACAGAGGCCACCAGTCTTTGGCATGCGGTGTCCAAATACCACTCGTCCAAAACGAGAATGGACAATAGCCATGGAACACATAACACACGGTTCATGTGTCATGTAAAGCTCCAGTTCGTGACAAAGATATCCATCGACCCATTCAGCCGATTTGTGTTGCTTTGCTTCCAGCGTGTCCAAAGGTTGATCTCGAAAGATCGTCTTCTCATCTAAAGTACTCTCTTCTGATTCTGTGCCAGCTTTTCTTTCATCTTGGATCTTTATTCCATCTGCTACCATTGCAGTAGCTCGAAGCGCTGCATGTGCAGTAACATTTCCAGACCCAACTCGTGGCCAATTCATCCATCGAGCGTCACCAGCAAGTGCAAGTGTCCGCGCAACTCCATTCTTTCGTTCGATAACTACAGCACCAATTTGCTCCCCTAAACCTGCAGTGCTCGATAAATGAGCTGCTTCGGCCGCCAAGTCCATCCACTTCTGAACTTCGCCCTGTATTTCTTCTTCGGCTCTTGACACAATGGCTGGATGAGGACCAAACGGATTACTCTTTTTATATACTATGGGCCAGTATTTAGATGACCAGGATTTCGCTTGCTCTTGCGAAGTTGGTGCTAACAAGGGTACTTTGATGGAACAAATGGTTATTGGATCCAAAATGGGAGAAAGAGCATTTCGCAATTCTTCCGAGCTGATGAGATTCGTAGCCCCCACAAGCAAAAAAAGCTCAGAGAGATCCGCATCTGCTTGGCTATCTGTTCTAACTGCTAGCAAAGACGTACGAACGTGATCTGGGACATCAGTTTGTTTCGCAAATCTCCTGATGTGCTGTAAATCATAGCCACCATCTTCGGGGAAAAGTTTTCGTGTCAAACTGGGAAGGTATGAGTAGATGTATAAATCAACAGATGAGATCTCTCACTTACTTAAGAACATTACTAGCCTTTTTCACTGGAACGCTTGTGATGTAAACACTAAGTAATGAGTCTCGAGCCCTTGTTTCTAACGTAGTTTTAAGAGGAATGAGACCACCTGATGTATTAGTTAAAGCCCCGGCCATCTTGTTAGTGAGGTCTCTGTTCATTTTTAGTCCAAGACAACTCGACACACGTCTTTAATATATCATTAATTATTCAGCCTCAGTAATTTGGCGGATACATAATTAGTCCATGGTATATAAGGTATATTTGTCTTGTTGGAAATTTTTGTGCAGAAAAGGCACCCCCACTAAGGTTAGTAACTCGGCGAGATATCTATCAACCTTTAAGACTCACGTGACATATTCTAACATCATTATCGACCACTTAAAGCTTGAGCTTCTTGTTGGGAAAGAAAGGACGCATCGAGGATTATGGGTTGGTAGTTTAAGACTTTACTGCGTTAAATATGTTGGAGGATGTCACAGGAAAGTACAGGGTTTATTTCAGGGATTTTCATTTCTCATTGCTTTTCTAGTTACAGTTTGCTGCTTTGGAGTTAGAGCCCATGACTACAAAAGTAGGAAAGAAATAATAATGTCAGAATATCTTTGGAAGCTGACGATGAACCATTTACCCACCAGAAAATGCGATGAAGCAGATTTGTGCCTAAATGGAAACAGACGATGCATAGCATACGTCAAGCTAGCTAAAGAAAATGCAGCCTCGGAAGTTACAAGAAGAGGCTTTCTTCCTATCGGTGAAACGATGCAGGCAAGAGATTGCAGAAGGTGTAGGCACAGGATGTCTGCTCATGACTATCGAGTGAAAAAACCATTTGACATGCCAAAGAGTAACGAGCCCCAAAAGTCCACCGCAAAGAAATTAAAGAACAAGGAAAATCGAGTCTATTGTCATGGCCAATGCAGGTAAAGGCGAGCTGCGCAGTCGCTCATATTGTACCCTGCGCTAGAGATAGAAGGTATCATATTGAATCGTGCTAAGATCTTTTTTTTCTGATCGAGCTGCTATGGTACAAAAAGGCTGAAGACCCGCAGGAAAGTTCGTTTCCATGATGCATGTTATCGCCAACTGAAATTGAAAAGAAACAGGCATGCAGGAATGCAATACCTCTAGAATGATGCTAATGTAACAACAAAGGGCCATAAAAATCGTTTGTGAATACAACCATAGAAGATGAACTGCCCAGATAGCTTATATTCAACGCTAGAAATCCTGAAAAAGATCCCATTATGAATAAATGCTAAACGAAACTGTCACATCAACTGATTCGAAAATGAATATCGTTCCTCGTACCGTTACAAGCGTTGAAATCGTATCGTCGTGCCGAAATTCAACCAAATCTGAGATTAAAAGGTTCGGATTAAAACCAGTCACTACCTGCTCCAGGTTGTGCGCCAGGCTGCCCACCAGCTCTACCATAATTGTATGGATGAGCAACGGCAGGCGAAGCAAGGCGATCATTTGGTGGAAAGCCAGATCCTTGCTGAGCTGAAGATCGGATTGCGGGAATTGGCAGCCCATTGGTGATGGGCGTAGGTCCGATGCCATTTGGGAATCCTCCTGGGGAGCTAACAAAAGTACCGGTTGATGCGCTGGACATGCCACGCTGGTGACGATTAGCAAGCTGACCAGTTTCGTTATCATTAGGAGTGGTGGGTCCAGTAGAAGTATTGCCTCGGTTTTCATTACCCTGGATTTTAGCTTGGATACGGCGACCATAAGGTGTGGTGCGGATAGCTGGTAGGTGGGGTCGGATAGCCTCAATGAGACGCGTCTTCATGTTCGGATTGGCGTAGTCCAAGGCAGTCTGGATGACGTAGTTGGCGAATGAATCCCGCAATAGACTGTCAAGCTGATTTGGTTGAAGCATTTCCTCAATCAACATGTCTTTCGAAGGTTCCTGAGCACATCGAAGACACTTCTCAATGACGTTTGAGCTAAACTTCTGCTTCGACAATTGAGCGACTCGTCCTCCGAACATAGCAACCAAAGGCTCAGTGAAGATTGGTTCGTTGAGATCGAGAATGTATTGCACCACATAATTACCAAAAGGATCCTGAACTAATACATAGGCATTGTTCGAAATCTGTCTGATCAACCAAGCCTTTTGATCACCAGAAGCATGATCAATGCATCGTTGAAGGACGCAACAGCCATGTCTGTGAGTTCCCACATCAACGCAGTGTTGTCCAACAGCATCAAAAATGAATTGAGCATCTGTCGGAGAGAGTTTGTTGAGACACTTCTGAATAACATGGTTACCATTTAAGTCCTGAATGAGTTCGACGACACGGAATCGCAAGGCGCCAATGATGGTCTGAATCTGTCCTGGTGTGGAGATAAACTCGATCATTTTCTGAAGGGCGCGTGTTCCATGCTGGTTTAAGGCAATACGGACCAGATCATGAGAGGCATTTTCAATCAGGACAGTGCGCTCTTCATCGTTGCAGTACTCAAGCAACTTTTGACAAAGATAGTTGCCGAAAGGGTCGGTCATGAGTTCAATGACATGTTGATTTGTCTCGAGCCAGATCATGTGAACTTGCTCCGGATTGCGGTCTTCTAACTTTTTCTGCAAGTAGCGGCAACCATGTTGATCCTTGCAAAGTGCGTAGATCTCGCCACCAAGCTGCTCCAGAGCTAGGTTTGCAAAACGATTCATTGCTGTAAGGTATGTTAGCTTGCTTCGATTTCAGGATACCCCGTAGCTTACCTTCGCCATCATTTTGGCGGCGTTGTTGAATGACTCGTGCCTGACTATCTCTTTGCCCACCATTGTGTTGATACATGGAATTGTTGTAATTGTTGTAAGAGTTTGGAGGAGGATACATTGGTGGGCTAAGTTGCATGTTCTGCATTCCCAAACTCATCATGTGCATGCCATAATTATTGTAGAAGCCAGGAACTTGTGCAGAGTAATTTTGTTGGCCAGTAGGAGAGGTTACAGATGGCGACATTTGAGCTTGCGACATACCTTGTGTCATACCTTGTGTCAAAGCTGGACCGAATGGCGCAGCACTGGCTTGCAAGGCAGACTGGATCGACTGATAGCCACCATTCTGAGCCTCACGCAGACTACCATTGTCCCCAGAAGTCATCTCACGGCTAAGTCTGTTCATAGCGTTTGGTGGAATGCGGCCCAAGCTGGCATTATGATTGTGCAAGTGTTGTTGAGCGTGTGAGTTAGGAGTATTATTGTTGCTTTGCATGCCGTTCGTACCTGTACGAACTGTCGGAACGTCGTTGGCAGAATAGGATGATTGAAGCTTAGGCGGTGTGGCTTGGATATGCTTTGGTGGAGAGGCTACCTGGGCACTGCCTTCCTGCGGGCCTTCAAAGAACTTCAAATCCAAGGAATGACGGTACGATGGGCGGACACTAATCGGAGACTCCGCGGAGCTAGACTGAGTCACAGATGTTGCGACTTGTTGAGACGGCTGAAGGCTATTCATTGGAAGGCTTTGTTGATTTGGTCGATGACGGGCAAACGAATTCCAACTATTTGCGTTGGATTCTGGTGCAGGTGACTGAGATAAAGCTAAGTCAAGAGCTGCAGAAGAAGCGGAAAGCTGCATAGAGCGGTCAGCATAGACCAGTGAATATTTTTTTATTGTTTTTTTTTTTACTTACCAAACCGGGATACTCGTCACGACGAACAAGAATTGGAAATTTGTCATCAGTAGCATTCATATTCAAATACTTATCAACGCTTCCGGGTGCCGCATTTTCATCTTCGCCGAAGAGAAAACGAGTGGTGTTGGTTTGGTCAAGGGACAACATGTCGTGCATACCGTTGCGAGATTTAGTAACTGGCATAGAATATCTGTTTAGACTTGGGGTGTATTAGCAAGAGTATGCTTGATTCGAGTCTTGTGGGTCGAAGTCGAAAGGGCAGAAAGGGAAGGTTGGTTGCGATCAAACACAGAGAAATAAGGAAATGGGGAGTATGTTGAGGATATTGAAAAGAAATGATATCGATTTGGGTTTCCTCTGGAGTGAAGCCTTGTCCAGCAAGCAATAAGGGAGTTTTTAAGGATTAGAAATTGAAAGGTTGTAAAGCTTCAAGGTTGAAGATGGAGCGTTGAAGAATAGTTGAGGCAGAAAAAAGGTCGGTAGGACGGCGGCATTAGTGGCCGAGCGTATTGTTGAGGTAAAAGACAATAGCAAATATGCAGTTAAATCAATCGAACCATTCCTGTCCAATCCAATAGAGTGAATATATCGGCAGATATTGAAGGTGGTGAGGGGATTTGGAAGGTATATTGAGGTCAAAGCGGAAGGAAGCGAGACAATTTGGATATACCCACAGTCTCTTTCGATTCAAACCATTTTCACCTTTGCGTTGTAAAGAACATAAAGAATCATCAGAAAGATTAAAGGTATAAACGTTGTCTTTTAAGAACTTTCTCAAGAAGAAAAACTTCGAAATATCTGAATGTTGCCGTGTCTCGAGCCCAAGCAGCTTCGCTCCACATGTGGGATGAATTCAAAGCTAAAGTGCAAGTGCTGCTCTACTTTGAGCAGTAGCCAGGCGTAAACTCGAAGGAATGTTATGTCGAGGCAGAAGCTAGCCACGGGCATACCCAGAGATGAAAAAGCAAGCCACAACCCAAATAACATGTACTTGTCCAGTGAATGAACATGGAAAAGATTGTACGGGGTCTTCTTATTGTCTTCCAGGCAGAAGCTTGTGGTGGATATAAAACTAGCCCCCAAGAACTTTTGATGGCAACGTGCAGAAAATAGATGTTCATTTCAGAGTGTAAGTAAATTTCAATACGTACGCATTGGTAGAACGATGGCTGGTCGGATCTTGTCTTACTGCTTCCTCCTTCTCATCTTCATCTGAATTGCGGCGCGAACCTGGCACGGACTTCGAAGGTAGCTTATCATCAATCACGAGTCTAGATTGCATGATTCCAGATTTCGGCGATGTGAGTTGAGAGCCAGATCTCCCAGGGCGATTGTAAAGACCTGGAGGAGAGGTAATACTAGATGTTGAATATCTGTTGGGACGAGAAAATGCTGAAGGAAACCCTGATGAAGATTCCCTATATTCTGGTGGTGTTGTTGGTTCTGATTGATGCCCGGCGTTGTTATTATTGTTACTCGATCTACCAAGGTCTTCTTGCATCTGCTGTAACTCTTGTTCTTCTCTTCGTTGTTGTAAGTCCAACAATTGCATCTCCGCCTCGAAGCGTCTTTTTTGTTCACGGAGTCGCTCGTATTCGAGTTTCTTTTTCTCTAACTGATAGCAGTGTCAGTTCTTGATATGCTGGCTGAAAATTGGGAGATATTAAGAAGCGCTTTGCACTGAAGAGAATATGCAATTTTGCTTTTTCCTAGAAGAAGAGGAGGCTGGCAGTAGAAAGGCGTGGTAATTCAAGAAGAACAATCGCTTACCAGCTGTACTTTATGGTAGGTCTATTGCGAAAGAAGTCAGTAAATGCTACAGCGTGAAATGGAATTTTATAATGGCTCGAAAACTAGAATAGAACTATTGTAGGATAATAGCTATTGTGATCGAATAGGCAAATTCGATTGGCTTACTGAGGGACCGTATTCTTGAGTTTCTTGCGTGCTGCGCTGGTGGGTAATAGAAGCGATTGTTGGCACTCTCCCTGAATCAGTAGTGAATCTTCTCGTCAATCCTCCACGGCTCTCTTGCTGTTGAAATGATTGTGCCATTCGGTTGCCATTTCGCGGAGGAGAAACAAGGCCGAGCATAGATGCATCATTCCTCGAAGTCTGCTGGCTGCGAAATCGTAGCTCGTCCATTCGATCACTAGTGCTATTCGAATATGCCATAATGATTATCTATATGACTGTGTTCGGTCAGACTTGGAAATGCGCAATTGAAGGCTGGCTGGAGTGAGGTTTTGACGTGGGGTGAGATGCGCGACTATATTGAGAATAAATCACCCATACACTTCACAATTTTACTCACCTACAAAATATAAAAACAATCCAAAAAAATCCTCCTCGTCCTGGACATCCAGGCGCGGAAAACGAAATGTTGTGTCAAAATGAGTGTATATGGAAGTTGGGAGGTTGATGGCGCTAAACGAGGATAACCTTAGACGCTACCACGCTAAGATGTGTGGACGTGCCCAAAGGATTGATGCTTACAAGATATCTAAGATTTTTATGGGTATGGCGGAAGTATGATAGTTTCTCTAGGTTGTTAGGATATGACAGATTCAGATACATTTTATTTGCGTTTCTCGAGTCAAATCAATTCTACAAAAAAGAAGTTGCGGCAAATTGAGATACGCCGGTGATAGGTAGAAAGCTATTGGCAAAGTGTCAAACTCGCTCCCTTCCCTTCATGTCTGCACCCAACCGAGTATGATCAGTACGCACTCGATTTACAACTCGATAACAAACAAGAGTACTTGAAGTCGGAGAACTCGGATTATACCAAATCGTTTTGCTTCTGTTTAGAACTGGATCTATGGAATTTAGATATAAAAAACGTTTATATATTTTCACTTGAGTATTTCCCCTTTCTGTTTCCTTCTCACCACCTCCCACATTAATGCTAAGATGGACCCTGATTTGATTCGAGGGGTAATAGTTTGTTGTTCTGGCCAATCGATCAGGGATTATAAACTCTCAGTAACGTGCAGCAACTTCCGTACAGCTGGCAGGATCAAAGCACTTTTGCCCAACTTACTTGACATCAATTCCCAATGGTAACGGTGAGCTCTGAAAATATTAATGAGGCGTGAATGTGAATGCGACATATCGCATTCTCGTGGAATCAGCAAAAGTGAGGAAATCCCTAGGTAATCACGGGGCGCCATGATCCCTAATCTCAGATACTTTCGATACTACTTTGAGGCGGGGCGTTGATGAAACATTGACAGTCATCCCCCGGTCTCCATCCTCCATCCTCGGGGTGTCCTGGCTTCTCCCTTCAACCTGTTAATAAAAGACCTTAATCCTATGAGCCTCTGGAACCTTTTCTCATACTTGAGTCAAAACATACTGCACATATCCGAATCCTTTCTATTTTCCATCGATGTCTAATGATCTCATTCGGATCGACTGTTAATCCATCATGTACTTGAAGTACTCCGTACTGTACTTCAGCACCTAAGTATGCAGCTTAAGCATCCGTAGAAATAGTAAATCCACAATTGTTCGCAGGAACAATCACAAATTTGCCTCTTTCAGACCTTTGAAATTCCACTCCTAAATGATTCGCAAGCTACCAGTGGCAAAGTTTTAACTGTGGAGTACCAAACCTATTTAATGCGTCTCCAATCAATTTTGGTCACGACCTTCTGCATGCGACTATGGATTCTTGAATTAAACAGAAAGTCAACTGCAACTCAATGACGTTAGTCTCTCTCTCTCGGGAGCATAAAGAACAGCAGCAGGCTTTAGTAAGGAAATCGTAGGAAATTCTTCCAGATAATTGTTACTTTTGCCATGAGACTTGCATGCTAAGTCAAATCTCCTCATTTACCATTCAACTTGTCACGACATTGAATTCTGAGTGACCGAGAGTGGGGTTCTTGTCCTGTGGCGTCCAAATGATAAGAGAGCCAAAAAATATCAAATCTGGCGGTGAAGCATATGTCCCAAATTTAGAAATCTGGGAAAATGAGTGTCTGTTGATGCGAGCAAAGCACCTTAGGAAATAAAAGCCATAGAGCTACTGTAGCTGTGCCTTGCAGATACAGTAGTGCAAATAAGGATGAATCATGAATCTAGACTCATGTCTGTGAAGGAATTGAAAAGTTGTACAGACACCTTATTTTAGTTTCAACTTCATTCGAAACCAGTTGAATTTGAAAAGGCTGCTCGGTATATCTATCTAGATATACGAGATAGGTAGCGTTTACTATTGGCTATGAACCCGTTTATCGTGATGATGATTGTTCCAAAGAAGTCATGGATATACAAGGCTGAGTAGCGTCCTGTCAGCCTGGTAGCCTTGCATTATCCAAATCTTAGCGTTATCATATAATTGGCTCTTGTTCGCGGGGTATTCGGCGTAAAATAAACTTTGACCGATGACTTTGTAAGTAACCAACCTAATAATTTTTAATTTTTGAATCCACCGACTGAATCTTGTCGATGCACACGCTCATCAATTAAAGATGCCTCCTAAGAAAAGAGTTGCTGGGCCTGTAGAAGCTACAGTTGGGGCAAGCTCCGTGAAAAAGGTAAGTAAGCCCGTTCGAATTATTATGCCAGAAACTAACTACAAATCTAGGCTCAAGAATCTGCGCATGAAGGCGATGGACCTTCGATAGAACCCGAGAATCCAAAGCGCAAGAGAGCTACGAAAACAAGACAAGCTACGGTTATAGGACCTGCACCTAAACGAGATGATGATGTAAAGATCCTTCTCACTCCGTTCTCGAGCTTTCGTTGACAATTACTACAGGGCTTTGCCGCCTTACTCGAGCCATTCTATGATGGGAAGAGTTTGACGGATCCGATCAGTACAGCGAAGGTATAAGACCCTCAAAGACTTTTTAGCACATTTCCTAATGCGCCTTAGGATAAATGGAATCTGGTACCGGCTTTCTTGAAAGTGAAAGGTCTTGTCAAACAGCATATTGACTCCTTCAACTACTTTGTCGAGCACGAAATCAAGGATATTGTTAAGGCAAACAAAAGAGTTACCAGTGAGGTCGACCCTAAATTCTGGTTGGAGTCAGTTGAACCTTACTGCAGAGATATTTGTGTATCCACTGACAATTGGTAGGTATACCGATATTCGTGTTGGTGAACCCGAACGAATGGACTATGATGATCGCAAACCGCAAAACGAAATTACACCGAACGAATGTCGTCTTCGTGATATGACCTATGCAGCACCAATTAGAGTCGATATCAAATACATGCGAGGGAGAACTATTGTAGCTAGGAAGAATATCGCGATTGGCAGAATGCCTATCATGTTGAAAAGTTCCAAATGCCGGCTGAATGGGAAGAATGATCGCCAAATGGCTCATATGAATGAGTGTGCTTTGGATCCTGGCGGCTATTTCGTTGTCAATGGGACAGAAAAGGTCATTCTTGTTCAGGAACAACTCAGCAAGAACAGAGTCATTATCGAAGCAGACCCAAAGAAAGGGATTGTTTCTGCGTCCGTTACTAGGTCAGATAATATTTCCCGTACTCCCATGTCATTGCTAACCCTCAACAGTTCTACGCACGAGCGCAAATCGAAAAGTTATGTAATGCTTAAAAAGGAACGAATCTCTCTTCAGCATAATATTTTGCAAGAAGCATTACCGATCGTGATTGTACTAAAGGCCATGGGAATACAGTCGGATCACGAATTATTACTTTTAGTCGCTGGATCTGATGAGAGATACCAAGACGAATTTTCAGTAAATTTTGAAGAAGCCACTAAGCTCGGTGTCCACACTCAACATCAAGCTCTTGAATACATTGGAGCTCGTGTAAAAATGGGTAGCCGAGCAAGAGCACCAGGAGGAGGCCCTCAGCGTCGCAATTATATTGGCGACGCTCTAGAAGCGCTCGCAAACATCATAATTACACATGTTCCGGTCGTTGGGCTAGACTTCCGCCCGAAGGCACTCTATATTTGTTTTATGGTTCGTCGAGTCCTCATGGCGATGGTAAACCCCAAGCTTGTTGATGATCGAGATTATGTTGGTAATAAACGCTTGGAACTCGCTGGGCAACTTCTTTCTTTGCTTTTTGAGGATCTGTTCAAGAAGTTCAACACTGATCTGAAGATGAATATCGATAAAGTTTTGAAAAAGCCTAATAGGGGTATGGAGTTTGATGCATACAATCATATGCAATCTCACGGGAATTACATCACCATTGGTATGAACCGCGCTATCTCCACAGGAAATTGGAGTTTGAAACGATTCAAGATGGAACGGGCAGGTGTTACTCACGTCCTGAGTAGACTCAGCTATATCAGTGCTCTTGGAATGATGACCAGAATTAGCAGTCAGTTTGAGAAGACCAGGAAAGTCAGTGGACCGAGAGCTTTACAGCCTTCGCAATTTGGCATGCTTTGCACATCCGATACTCCTGAGGGAGAAGCTTGTGGACTGGTCAAAAATTTAGCACTCATGACTCATATTACTACGTATGATGATGAAGAACCGGTTAAAAAATTAACCTTCGTTCTTGGTGCAGAAGACATTGTTTCCATGAGCGGAAAGGAGATTTATGAAAAGGGAGCGTATGTCATCTTTGTTAATGGAACACCTCTTGCTCTTACTCGACAACCCAAAAAGTTCCTCAACTCCTTTCGAAAGTTTCGACGCATGGGTCGTATTTCGGAGTATATCAGCATTTTTATCAACCATCACAGCACGTCCGTCCATATTGCTACAGATGAAGGACGAATTTGTAGGCCTCTAATCATTGTGGAGAATCAAAAACCAAAGGTCACGAAACGCCATCTGGAGGAGCTGAGAAAGGGAACGATGGATTTCGACGATTTCTTATACAAAGGACTTCTCGAATACGTTGACTGTAATGAGGAGAACGATTCTAATATTGCCATTAGAGAAAACTATATCAACGAAGCGACAACGCATCTTGAAATTGAACCTTTTACTGTCCTAGGAGCAGTTGCAGGACTTATTCCCTATCCTCATCACAATCAATCTCCCAGAAATACATATCAATGTGCTATGGGTAAGCAAGCTATTGGAGCCATTGCATACAATCAATTTTCTCGTATTGACACCTTACTTTATCTTATGGTCTATCCACAACAACCTATGGTTAAGACTCGCACGATAGAATTAATCAAGTACGATAAACTTCCAGCTGGTCAAAACGCAACAGTCGCTGTCATGTCATTTTCAGGTTACGATATTGAGGATGCTCTCGTTCTCAATAAAGCCTCTTGTGATCGTGGATTTGGACGTTGCCAGGTGTTCCGTAAATACTCGACACAATTGAAGAAATACCCTAATCGGTCTCAAGATCGTATTGCCGATAGGCAGGTGGGCGAGAATGGTAAACCTATTGCAAAACATAGGATACTGGGAGTTGATGGAATTGCCATGGTCGGTGAGAGAATTAATGCTGGCGAGACTTATTTGAATAAGGAATCTCCTTCAAATCCAAACTCATCCGGGATGGGCAATGACTATGGTTCAAATGATATGAAACCTGCACCAATGGGTTACAAACTACACGATTATGCTTACATCGATAAGGTCATGCTATCACAAACCGAGAATGAAAGCACAGTCCTCAAAGTTCAAACCCGACAAACCAGAAGACCTGAGCTAGGAGATAAATTTTCATCTCGCCATGGTCAAAAGGGTGTTGTTGGTATCATTGTCAATCAAGAAGATATGCCGTTCGCCGATTCTGGAGTTACTCCTGATATTATCATGAATCCTCACGGTTTCCCATCTCGTATGACAGTTGGTAAAATGTTAGAGCTGCTTTCAGGAAAAGCCGGTGTTGTTAATGGCTCTCTTGAATATGGTACCTGTTTTGGAGGTAGTAATGTCGATGTTATGGGTAAGATTTTAATCGATAAAGGATTTAGTTACTCAGGTAAAGATTTCGTCACAAGTGGTATCACTGGAGAATCTTTACCAGCCTACGTCTTCTTCGGTCCAATCTACTACCAAAAGCTTAAGCACATGGTTCAAGATAAAATGCATTCTCGGTCTCGCGGTCCTCGTGCTATTCTAACACGTCAACCCACAGAAGGTAGATCCAGGGATGGTGGTCTTCGTTTGGGAGAGATGGAAAGAGATTGTCTTATCGCATATGGTGCAAGTCAATTGTTACTCGAGAGACTTATGCTCAGTAGTGATGCTCACGAGGTGGATATTTGTGAAACCTGTGGTCTGATGGGATATTCGGGTTGGTGTCAAACGTGCAAGAGTTCAAAGGGGGTTTCGACTATGACGATGCCGTATGCGGCTAAGTTGTTGGTGCAGGAAATGCTTAGTATGAATGTTTTGGTAAGATTGAAGTTGGAGGATGAATTTCCTCATTCGGGTCATGTTCGTGGATGAGAGCAGGGTGGAGAGATGATATAAATGGAACTAAGGCGGAAATGGTTGACGGAGAAGGAAAGCATAAAATCTGATATCGTAAGGGCGTAGAATATTTTGAGCGTTGGTCTCTAAATTAATGCATAGCAATGGCGTATAGGTAGATGATTTATTTGTAAAATACCATGGATGTTGATCAGAGGATGATGATTTTGATGTTTGATGCTGAGTCTATGTTATGCCTCAACGTCCCTCTACAAGGTCCGCGAATCAAAATCAAGTGGTTTGATACTCTGACTTCCCACCTAGACTCTGACCATGCTACACGAGAGTCACTTGTGTATAACTAACTATCCTTCCTTTTCTATCACAAATATCCTTTCCCATTACAGGATTAATATTATCGAGAGGTATACGAACCTTTTTGTGGCATCTCCCGATATGATATCCAACCTTATTACGAATAAGTTCATTTAAGGTTACCCTCGCAAAGTAAATATTCGCGATACGCAACCTTCAGTCACTAAAATAACCCTAATAGTTAATCAAAAAATCTATAGCTCATGATCATTGCCCTTATGATCATATATATGATTACAATCTTCTGCTCCAACCTATTCGCTTGCATTTCAGTTGTTACCGTGCAATGGAGTACTTAGATGTCTCCCATAAATTGAAATTAGATTATTATAGATAAAGTTAGTCTCTGTACTTGATTTGGTCGTCGTGTCTGGTTTTTCCACCTTCATTTTGATATATAATACAATCTTGTTTTGTAATTTAATACTATTATCTTCATTTTAAAATAAGACTTTAGCGAACTTGAAGGGGGCCATTGTGTTTGACAGGTATCGCACGTCTGCACAATATTGATGCAGGCACTTCAATTGAATCTATGAAATGTTTGCTGCAAAAGAAGAATGCCAGGATTGGAAAGGTAAAGAAAGATATCTGGTGTTTCTGGTGTTTCTGCAGGTAACATACTCGATGCTTCAATCTTTCCCGGTCAACTGCAAGACAACACGCTTCAACTTGTATAGGATGCCAGCATTGAGTGAATAATCCGGGTTTGATTACCCTTCGGCGAGATATTCTGCGCCTCTGTAAAGTACCCTTCAATTAATTCCAATCTACATCGGTAATGATCTAATATTCCGATACAGAATAGCGCGCTGTAGATGGGCACCATAGCCCGACAGTCAAGTTCAACGCCCCCTTTACTGCCTTTTCTATACATCAGTCAATCGCCAAAATTTTGTCACTTCCGATGCTAGTAATGTCCTATATTCGACCGCTAAATGTATTCAGCATTTCTTCAGCTTTGTCAAGTTCTCCGTGGCCAGTCGATATCCTACACCTATCTCACTCACGACGATGAATGCGTCGTTTTTTCGTCTCTCATCTTTACTATCAAAGTGAACTGGCCACCACCGAATCTTCAGTCCCATCATCCCGAGAAGGCAAAAGGCAAATTATATCCCAGATGAGCACTGAGCAGAGCCAATTGTCCGATCAGATATTTTTCCTAAACAAACAAGCCTCTAATCTTCAGTTCCAGCATAAAACTTTAACGATGCGTGATACCACGCATCGTCCATCTTCAATTCAATCGAAGTCCGCTCAAGCGCTTTCCCTTGAATAGGCTCGAAGCTAACCTTGGATTTCCATTCCAACTTTTTCGCCATCCATGGCCGTTCAACCCTAGCAAAAGGGTTTCGCGAACGGCTATTATTCACATATTGCCATGCTAATGATGATGGCTCACAGCGGGCGATCGACATCTGCAGCCTTGGGATATCTGTCCCCACGGAGTAGCCCTGAACACGGGCGACGCAATAATCGGACAACGCTCTAGAAAAAATCATGATGATTTCAAAATAGCCTGGTAGAGTTTCCCAGCCGAAATTTTGATCCCGGGCATGAACTGCAGGCGGAAAGAAACTGCTCACTTCAAAGCCAGCCTCGTCCATCTGCTCGTGATCAATTCTGATTTGCGTTCTGGGTCGTCTATTTTCACTAAGAATATATCCGAATTTGGTGCGGTTCCAGACCGGAAACACGGCTCGAGACTCAACAAGATAGATCGTTTTCAATTGAATATTGCGTCCAATTGCACCCTTCTGTAAAATGATTGAGATTACATGTGGACTACCAGGAAGATGTTCAAAAAGTTGGCTGTCACCTCCCTCATCTCTCTTCAGCAAAGGCAGTACTAATGCTTCTGCCCCTTCCCAGTCACTGATGAACGCAAGATAAATACCCAGTGACGAGTCAATACACAGCAAGGGCAACTTTATGTTCAAACCCAAGTTAGTGATCATGGAATGGGTGGTAGGTTCGAAGAATCTTAGACGTGACGTGAAATATTTATGGAATTCTTTATAATTTCGGATTGACGACGCAAGAGTGCCGTACAAGCGTGATCTATCGAAGCCGGATTGCTCAGCGATTTCTCGCCAAGTAATATTAAGACCCCAAGCAAGGATACTGAGATCTTGTCGTCGTTTGAGCACTTCTTCTTGTAAGCGTCGAAAAGCGTTGTCTCCCTCTCCATATAGTAGCGGCATGTTGACTTGCAATAGACCTAGCAGACAGTAGGCAAGGTCCTCTTGACGAGACGTTTCTCGCATAGCAGCCCATGAGAATTTAAGACCAGCTGGTGCGTCACGGATCTTTTCTCTATAGCGCAAGTAAAAATTTTCAATGCCGGTGATATCTTCGAGTAGAGAGACATGATTTAATTGTTTATATCGGTGAACGTTAACGACTGGCACTTCTACCCACTCGCCTACGTAGTTTACTGCAAAATTGCAAACCAAATTCCATCTTCTGTCGAAAAAAGCAACCCTCCTAGGCGCAAGCAATTCTTGCAATGTCCATCCTCGAGTAAACCAACGACTTTTCCGAAATGCCGAGTCGCTTCGACCGGGATCTTCGCCAGGCGGAACATCTGTCAGGTAGACATAACACACAATAGCGCCTTCGTACCAAGCGTACATTGAGTTAATTGATTCAGACAGCTCGGCACTGCTACTTTTGTCTATACAACACGTATCAATCCAAACGAATTTCAATCGATCGAGGATTGCCCGTTGACAGCAACCTTTAATCTTCCTGTAACCTTTCTTGGTTTTGTATATAGGATTGGAGAGATCCTGGAAAAGCACCTCTTCATCGCCCCAAGTATGAGACAAAATTGCATACTTGGGGATATTTGTGCTGAAGAATTCCTCCAGTTGACGAGTGTAAACGTTGAGTAGACGCATTTTCGCGCCGCTCAGCCTGGGGATCAAAGCCGCTATGTGGCAGTAACAATTAGCAGTTTTGCGTATTTTCTATGCTCAAGTGAATATGGCTGAGCGGAAGAATGAGAAATATTTTCCGCGAAGGCAACGAATTCAGCGCTCAACACAACCGAAGAAGTTGACCGGGGGCAGAGACAAATAGTAAGTTGGTGCGTTGGCAACGAGGGCAGGGGAGGGAAACTCGGCACACGTAAAGATAAGATGACATTCATATGATGAAATGAAATTAGCTGAAGATAAACATCACCTCTTCAATCAGAATATTCCTGAAATACGTCAAAAATGAGATAAGAACACACACGATACCTGATTAAATTGATGAAATGAGGATATACTCTCTCGCTAGAGATGAGAGCGAGAGGTTGTTCGAGAAAGAAAGGAAGGAAGGAAGGAAAAAAGAAAGTAGGAAAGCAAATTCGGACGAGAAGTGAAGGTGTTGGTGAAAGTGTGCTAACGAGATGCCGGTATTTGGAAAGCGATAAAATGAGAAAGGGCATTTAATATTCTTTAAATTGAAGGTAGTGTATATATACTTGAATGATTTAAAGATTTAAAAAGAGATTGGAAATATTGAAGAGAATGAAGAAAGTTATTTGGTTGATTTTATTGTATTAAAAGTATATATATAGATCTTTGATATCAAATCTTGGTTAATGTAAAATATTTTGTCTGGGGAATTTCTATTCCCGAGTCGAGCCAAAATTTGCCCTTAAGCGAGAGAATAGTAAGGTCAACAGTAATGCCCAATTCCCAGTGATGCTTCGAGTCTTCACATTCACACATATCGACATTGCGAGACGGTATGAATCGACTACTTGAGATGCTTTAAATATCACCAAATATTGAAAAGCATTGGTTCATGTAACCTTCTATATACCCTCCATAATCTATATACTAGGTATCCATAACCTAATATCCAATAATAGCTACAACCAATGTCAACATACCCGAAAGATGACATCAAACTAACCCCCTAATATTTACCACAGAAACAACAGTCGAAGAATCCAAAGTCGCAGAACATGCCTTCAATCCCCTCTTGTTGACATCCATCGCAGCAAGATAGTAGTAAGGGTGCTGAGCATAGCCATGTTTGGAATGAAGGTTCTTCTTCGTAGTGTCAGTGTATCTGTCGCTAGAGTCTTATACTTTTATTATTGATAGGATATCTCTACTCACTTGACTCTGCATTTAAGACGTCATTCATATATACTAATATATGGACATAACATTATTCATTCTGGAAAGCTGAAGTTCACTCCAACGCGTAAACATTCAATAGAGACGATGAGTAATTATAAGAAATTCCGAAAACGGGAGCCGCAGTCAAAGCAAACCTCTCATCGCGAGACCGATTTCGCAGTTTCTTGTGCAATAGCCATATGCATTTGAATACTTCAGTCTTCCAAACCAGAGACGTGATCATGCGTGGACTTGCTCTACAACTTTTAGATTCTAGACATGAGCTATTTGCAGTATCTAGAGGATTAGTAAGTATAGTTTTACTTGCAGGAACTAGTATCTTCAAGAACGGACTAATTTGTAACAAACATTCTAGGGAGCCCCATAGCTACAATTTATCGAGATATAAACCCCGATTTACGTGGAAGAATACTGCGAAAACGCGTGGATGCTCTAGAGACTGTCGACGCAGTTTGACAGATTAAAAGCACTGCTGATCAGCCGTTCTGCTAAGCTTTCCGAAGTTCTGATAATATGGAAGGTGTCACGGTCATCAGGATCTAGCCATGACTTGGACTTCTTGACCGTTTTACCTCATTGCAAGGGGTCGCGAGGAACGATTCTCTTTCATATCAGCCATCATGTTAGTCTCAGAGAGGAGTAGGTAAATAGTTGCAGAAGCACTTACAGTTCCGCGATTTGCATCAGATGAAGGTTTGCATGTTGAGTCGACCTTGTGATGTATTTGGTATATTTAGTTCAGGCTAAGAGTTTTGCTAACTACAACACTGCGATGAAGTGTATGAGCTGCGCAGCAGGAAAATATAGTATTTAAGTGAAATCTGGTAGCATGCCAATTGGTGCAGTAAGATGGATGAAGACATCATCTGTGTAGCTAATTTAAATTCAATTGGGGGGGGAAAAAAAGGAGAAACGATCCGTAAGGTATATCGAAATGTAGCAGATGTGGTATTGGAAACAATCCAAATACTTCTGACTGGAGCTGATTTTTCTTTTAGTTTTCCATTTCCCTAACACATAATCAAGCCAGAATTGTTTCCAAATTATCTATATTTCATTCTAATAATCACACACAGCCCAATTATTCAGAATTTCAATTTTTCAGGTTCCTAGCAAACCACGCCATCGAATTCTCATCCCACCCCTTTTACCTCCCGCCGCTCTATATCTACAAGAAGCGGGGTATATAATCTGAAACTGAGTAGCCGAGAGAAAACCTGCGTATATTATGCATGTTCTCAAACTTCCCCGCTCTAACTTATCCTCCATATGCATTAGAAACCTGCAGCCCGCCGCCGACATCTAAGATATCAAACACTTCATCCATCACTAATAAGGTCTTTAGCTCCACTCCAGTCTACTCTACTGTGTGCATGTGTTTCCCATCTCAAACTTCTATTCAGTCTTACATCGATATCGATATCCCCGCTTCAATCCAAGATCCTAAGATCATACAAACGACCTAAAAGCTAAAAGTACACCTCGAGCTCAAAGCTCAAAGCCACCCTACATCTCACCTCCCAAATGCAAACCTAAAACCCCATCAACAGCATGAAATCACACATAAACTAGAATGTAGCGAGGTCCTCAAAAGTATCAAAGAAGAAGAACTCAAAGACGGAAACCCCTACACGATTTACGCGCATCACCTAGCGCGGGCATGTTGGCATGATACTCGGATTATGTTAAGACAGACATCTGGTGAGGCGGAAGGGATCTTTGATTTTATTCTTGCGTTGCATGGGGCATGTGATGGAAAATGGGGTTATCTTCTCGATCGAGACGTTAGACAGACGGATATTGATGCATGGCTTGAGTATGCGGGGATGTTTTTATCGAGTCTTGGTAATTGTTTTGTAGGTGTTTCGTTTCGTTTCGTTTGGTTTAGTTTGCTAGAGAATCATTCTCCGCTACGATTTAAATTGCTAATGCACAATATAGGACGATGGAAATCGAAAAGTAATACCCAGTATTTCCCACGAAGTACTCCGCAAAATGGCAAGTGTATCTCCTGATGCAAGCGCAAAGCTTGAAGAAATTATCACCCCGATGGTGGAAATCCAACCAGCTGCTCTGGGATATCCAGATGGTGCAAATCAGTCTGGTTATTACATCAGCGATATCGATGAACAAATAAAAAAGGAAGATATTGAGATCATCACTAAGATGATGGAAGCAAGAAAAATCTCCCCAGAAAACACTCGTCTCCGAAAACTCACCACCAGCATTCGTCCAGCAGATGAAAACATCGACGTCTTTGAAATCCTTCAGGCTTCTGCGGAAAAAGATACCCAGCCTCTGTTTCTTGGTGAACTCACTACTGGAGATAATCGTCGCGCCAGGGTTTATCTCCGGCGTGGTGACCATTGCAGAATCCCAAAATTTGTTCCATGTTTGGAAGGATAAAAATCGAGCGTAGCGAGGAAGGGGGCGTTTGGGAATATGCTTTTATAATAATGAATGGATGAATGAAGAAATAAATCAAGCGTAGCGAGTAATATACAAGATTAAGAGTAAGTTTTTTGATAAGAATTAAAATCAGGATATGTACAGAGCTAACTCTAGCATGTAAAGTCGCCGCAACAAACGAACAAAAAAACCGCGCTTTCCCAGCTTGTGGAGAGTTTCGATCGGGGGATTATAATATCTTTCGCTCTGCGCATAAGACATGGGTCACGGACAAGAATCCTCGAGTGGAACATTGCTGGGTTTTCTATTCGGGTATCGCGATCCCCATGGCGTAAGAGCAGAATGGCAGGCTATTATTGGGATTTGTCATTCTGGAGAGACGGATAAAATGAGAGAGCTTGTTGCGAAATCTACAGAATTCATTCGTATGCTCCCTTGGGCTGTACAGAATGATAATGATGGTAAAGGACCCGAGCGAATTATATGTTCCTAACTTGGCGGTTATTCATGGTGAGTATATATATCTAGGTAGTCAAGAGAGATATACTATCCTAACAATAACTAGTACTCGCTTCCGTTTCAAGCACCGCTTGGGAAGCTACTAATATTACAATTATAAGATCAAGTTTCTGAAAAGCTCATCATATCTCCAAGATGATGAAGAGCATGATTTGAAATGTATACAGGATGACGATGGCAAAAGACACGGCGTCAAGAACATGGTGTGTGGTAATCGAATGAACCTCAACAGCAGTCCCGATCGTACCTGTTACTATATCCACCCTTCAGAGGTTAAAACATATATGACCTATGCGCATAAAGTTCGTTTCGTCACAACAGCCATCCACGAGCTCATCGGGCATGGAACCGGAAAACTCCTAGCCGAAACAATCCCTGGAAAGTTCAACTTCGACCATGAAAACCCGCCGACAAGTCCACTGACCGGTAAACCCATACAAACATGGTACAAACCGGGCCAAACGTGGAACAGTGTATTTGGAAAATTAGCAGCAACAGTAGAAGAATGCAGAGCATTTTTGATCGCGAACTATCTAGCAGACAACAAGGAAATTCTTGCGCTTTTCGGTTACGATCAGGAGAGCACTCCTACTGCAGACGAGTGTAAGTATACGTATTTCGATATCCAGAATCCAGATATATAGCCTGATATCAATCCAGTGACTAACAAAAACAAGTCATCTATTACACATACCTACAAATAGGAGTAGAAGGACTCCGCGCTTTGCGCAGCTATAAAGTCGCTGAGAAAACCTGGGGCAGTGACCACGACCAGGTAAGTAGCGTTCATGAGCATGCATTACAGCAAACTAACCCCCCGCATCTCCAAACCCTAGGCACAATTCACCATCCTAAAGCACCTCCACCAAACCAGCAAATACAAGCACCTCCTCCAAATATCCCACGACGCCCAAACCCAAACCCTACGCATCCATCTCAATTGCTCCAAGCTCCTCTCCGACGGCAAACCCTCACTCGGGCGCATGCTGCGCAAACTCCACATCTGGCGCTGTACGGCCGATATCGAGGCATGTCGATCCTTTTACGAGGAACAGAGTGTTGTAGATGGAGAGTATGAGGAATGGAGGAAAATCGTAGCGGGGAATATGGAGCCCAAGTGGAAGTTTGTGCAGGGGAATAGGTTTTGGGGGAGGATGGTACTGGTACTGGTACTGGTACTGGTGTTGTTGAGTGGAGGGAGTATGAGGAGAGTAATGCGGGGATTATTAGGTCGTTTTAGGAGAGAGGGATTTGATTTGTTAATCTAAGGTTAATAAACCTACATGTTTCGTCTGGAATCTGGAATGAGCTGCTAGTTAGTTTATCAAAGATGACTAACTGGTGGGCTAACCAATAGATGGATCAAGAAATCGATAAGAGTTAATAAAATATACTTATATCTATTGAAATATTCATAGTCCACTACTCACTAGCTCTCTCTTAGATTAACCTTAACCTTAGTCATCCGACTTCCTTCTTAAATTGGAAACTAACTCTGCTTCCTATAGACCCTAAGGTTACTATACTTATAATTAAATCATCAAGTACCGACTGACTACTCTAAATCAATCAGTTCTTTCATCCCCTCCCAACCTTTTACCCCGCAACACTAACACCAACAGAAAAGAAAAATTTTAATTAACCAAAGCGACACCAGAGACCATGCGTGTGTGAGTGAGTATACTAAACACCCAAATAAGATCAAATCATTTGCTTCAATTATTTGCTTAAGGTATTTACTTCAAGGTATTTAAATAAAGTAAAAGTAAAGTAAAGTAAAATAAAGCTATTGATTTCTCCTAAACCCAAAAACGCCATGATTATATGTTAACTCCTCGTCCTATTCGTTTCATACACCCGCTTCCCAAGTAAACCATCACCAACCCATCACCAAATCATCACCAAATCATCACCAAATCATCAGCACCCAAGCAGAAAACCTTCCCCAAAGCCCATCCCCACCTATCTCCCATTCATCTCCTCATCCTCATCAACATCAATCTCCTCAGAATGTCCCAAAAGTCCCGCCACATTAGCCATATCATAATGTTTCCTCCTTAACTCCTCAAACCTCATGTTTTCCCTCTCCTCTGGCGTCATTCCCCAACCCCATCCCCAGCATCCCCATCCGCATCTGCATCCCTCCCCTCCCCAGCAACATGAACCTTCTTCTCCTCCGACTCCCCCATCACCACCTCCCTATCCGGCACCGCCTCTTCAGGCTCTCCCAAACTCAATCCAGGGATTTCCTCATCCCGTGCCCGAATCGACCGTGGACTCCTCATCTGTCCCGCTTTCACCCTATCTAATTCATCCACTACTATGTCCCCCGCATCAATCGTCCGAATCTCCTCTTCATCCTCGGCAGGATCATAATGTTTCGCATATGGAGTTTTTGGCTCGTTGATTTTCATCGTGCTGCTTTTTTCTTGCTCGGTTAAATAGAGATTCGCTTCGTCCCATTGGAGCCGCATGTTGTTGTTATCATCGTGATGGGCGGATCCAGATGATTGACGACGGATTGGGTGTCCGCTAGATGAGGATCGTCGTGGTCCGGCGTTTCGGAGAGTGTTTTTTAATGTGACGTCTTTGTCGGATATGCCGGTTGGGGAGGTGGGGAGGGGAATACCGACATGTTTTGGGGAGGTGATGGGGGGTGCGGCTGTGGTGATGGGAGCTTGGGAGGGAGGGGATCGGTGGAAGGAGTTTTTGAGAATGCCTTTGAGGATGAAGGTTAGTTTTGATCATTGTTGTTTGATGGATGAATGGATGGAGAGAGGGAGTAGCGGGGTAATTGCTAGGGAATTTTGTAAATAATAAATAATAAATACCTTTTGGACGTTTTGCAGTAGGACTTGGAGGACTATGAAGAACTGGTGCTTCTGAAGAAGACATGGTGGTAGTCATTGCTTAAAACGGTTTTCGTCTCTTTGAGACTCGTATATGTTGAGGAGTTGTGAGATTTCTTCAAGATGAGATGGATTTATTTGTTCTTATTGTTGATGTTGTAACTTGCCACCCACTTCTTTTAATGCGCTTGATTGGTTGTTTGTGATATTTCCCGAGTACCTAAGCTTTAAGTTTCGACGGGGTTTTGCTTGGTTCCCGTGTGTATCCCGAGAACTTTCTTTGGAGGTTTAATAATAAGCAGGTACTACCAGTAGGTATTTGTATTTGTATGGTAGGTAGATAGGTAGGTAGATCAATCGCTGTGACGGTAGAAAATAAAAAACTCTTCGAAAAATGTAAGGGAAGAGCAGCGGAGAGCGAATAGATATCTTCTTTTCTTTTCTTTTCCCTTTTGTTCCAAAGATAAAAAACGGTTATCGTAAAAAACTGTTCGTGTGACTTCGTCAAAAAGAGGGCAGCTGAGTAAAAATATTTCAGTTCTTAAGAAACAGATGGGTTGAAGTGAATCTAAAGTGTGAATGTGAAAGGTGGAAGTGAATGAAAAAGTTGAAATTGTCTCTCTTGTCTCTCTTGTCTCTCTTGTCTTTGATTTTTAATGGAGAAGGACAGGGATCCACCTTAGGTTTTACCCTTAGTATGGTGATGAAGTTGAAGAATTGTGGCTCGGAAGCTCATAAACTCATAAGAAGCTTTTTCGGGCTGGAGTCTGGAGATATTTGGATGATGATATGATGTTATGTGATGTGATGTGATGTGATGTGATGTGATGTGATGTGATGTGATGTGATATGATCGGGTATGACCGCTTGAACTGGATTGAATGGTTTGGTTTCTATCAAATTTGATAGAATTGTAGAGTGCTTACCTAGGCGGATAGGTAGGAGGTAGAGGTAGAGGGAGATAGTATATATATCCAGACGAAAGAGAGGATGGGAATATCTTCTTTGTTTAATATCATATCACATCACCCGTTTTACCGTCAGTCAGTCAGTCAATCAGTCAATCAGTCAATCAGTCAGTCAGCATCAGCAGTAATCATGGATAAGAGCTTCTCTCAATCCAAGAATTCATTCCATTTTCAATCATTCCATCATTCCATCATTCAATCCAATCCAACACAACACAACACAACCAAATCAACATTATTTTCATCAGGAAATCGCGGCAACAGAAACCTCTAATATCAAGGATTAATCCCAAAGTCACATAACGTCATCTTGCAGCCGATCACTTTGATATCTTCTCATTGGGCATCATCAACCTCATGAATCACGATACAGATATGGATATGGATCAGTTGTCTGACTAAAATACTTGGACTTCACATGAATATCTCATGCATGAGGAATCTAAAACGTCGAGTTTTGATGGAGTAGGTATGTCCTTCCGTGGGTACGTAGGTAGTCGTAGATACAAGATGTGGAGTACATTAGTGGTTTAGTTTATATACCGAAGTATAAAGTATATTGTGCAAAATACGGAGTAACCAGTAACCTTACTTGAGTTGGATGGTGGATGGTGGATGGAGATGGAGATGGAGATGGAGATGGAGATGGAGATGGAGATGAAGCGGGGTATGGATGGAATATGTAACCTTACTCCGGATACTCTCTTTGTAGAGTCTTGGTATTACGCTCATGGTGTCACCCCTCTTCCATCACGTTTCCACGTGCGCATGTATTTATGGGAGATATGGTATATGATTGGTTGATATGAAAATGATTAGTTGATAGGTACTAACTATACGATGATTACTGTACACACCATAAGGATAATTGAATAATAAAACGGGATATTCGGATTTCTCTATAGATACCTAAGTAAATACCTAGGTAGCATTCAAAAGTTCTCCATCGTTTGTAACCTTACAACAAGCTTGATTAGGAATTTTACTTTTACCCTGTCTCCATTCTTTCTCCCTTCCATCTCCACCAAATTACTTCATTTCTCCATTTTTAATTATACCCAACGCCCCATTTGTTCATTGCATGCACTGACTCCATAAACAGATACACACACTTCATCTAATCTAATCTAGTGAATCTAATCAGCTCGCCTGGCAATGCAATCTAATCAATCAATCAATCTCATCTAATCAAATCAAACCACTCCATTAAATGCAATCTTCCCACAAATGTCCCATCCCACTCGATACCTCCCCCAAACTCAACCTCCTCAACGGTAACACCCCCTCCCAACCCATCCTTCCCGGTACCCCGTCACCATGATCTCCATCACCATCTCCATCCCCGCCCACAACCCCACCATTCAACCTCCCAAACAATTTCCGTCTAAAAGGTCGTGGTCCCCGTGGAGCAGGCACATACAACGATTCCCGTTCATCAACCACACCTTTAAATTTCTCCCTCTGTTTCATCTTCTCAACAGATGCAGAGTTTGCTGTCTCTTTCTCTTTTTCTTCCCATTTCTCCTTTCCATTATTTCCAACAATTTTCGTCTTTTCACTCATCTTAACCTTGGGTCGTAATTTCAGTGGTCGTACCCCCTGTGGTTTTTTCCGGGGAATACTTTCTTCTTCTTGGGTTTTATCAATAGAGACTTTCTCTTTCTCAGCTAGAGAACTAGTAAAACTACTATCGATATAAGCACCTGGAACTTTAATCTCGCGACTAGTTGGTCGTTCCGATGAATCTGATTTCGTGCATTCGATAAAAGCGCCGGGGATTTTCATCTCGGTACTTTTTTTCTTGATTACGACGGCGGTGTTGGGTGATTTGGTGGTGATTTGTGTATATGTTTTATTTTCGTGGTTCTTTTTTGCTTTTAATGGTGTTGGTTTCGGTGAAGTGGTGGTGGATGGTTTGTTTTCATTGAATCCTCGTGATATGTTTGGGAATACGTCACGGATTGTTGCGCTTGATCTTTCGGTTTCAAAACTTCCTCCTCGGATGGGTAGGGAATCTTTCCAGGATTTTAAGGATGGTCTTTTTTCGGAGGGTTTTGATCGGGGGGTTGATTTAGCTGCAGGGCTTTGAGTTTTATTCGAGATAACTTCTTTAGTTGTCGCCACGGGTTTTCTTTCAATTTCAAAACTGCCTCCTCGGACTGGTAGAGAATCTTTCCATGATTTGGGTGGTGGTTTGGTAACTTTACTTTCCATGGGTTTTCTCTTGAGTGGTGTTATATGTTTAGGAGGTAGTGGTACATGCTCTGACGTGACTGGTTTCGGCATTCTCGTAGGAGAAGGTGGAATTGATGGTCTTCTTACCATCATTTCATTGAGAACCGCTATGGGTAAAGGTTGTGTAATAGGAGGTTTTCGCGGAGATATTCGATCAAGTGATGAAGGAACCGTCGTTGGAACAAGTGCCACTTTGGGCTTTATAGCTATATCTGGAGACTCGGCAGTTCTAATCTTGTTAGTATACTTCCAAACATGTGTGATGCTAAATACAAACCTCATGGTAGATAATGGTGATCTCATTGCAACATCACTAATACTACTACTCGGCGTCACGTTCCTCTGTTTTCCTACTCTCTGCGTGACAGGAGGAATTGTTGATTGTCTTGTTGAAGATGGTGCCTGGGTACAGTTTCCGCAAGTGCCGCATTCAGTAATGTTATTTTTTCCCAGAGAAATTGCTGAATCGGAATGTGTTATGCACTTTTCATTCGTGTCGGATTCTGTCCCTGTATTTCTCATCAAATATGACCAACCAATTCCCCAACCTTTAGATTTTGGTTTAACTTCTGACGAAACGGGAGTAGGTGGAATGGTTGTAGATGAGGCAGGTAAAGGTGAAGCAGACGAAGGTGAAGCAATAGTAGATAAGTTTTGCACTATTGTCGATTTCTCCTCAGGAAACTCCCCCGGCATAGAAATCATCTCACTCGGTGACTCCTCTTTCGGTAACTTCAACTCTACCGTATTATTAGGAACCGGTTTCCTTCTCACATTCACCTCACTCTTAATCCTCGCATTCGCTAACGCCAAAGATTGATTTCTTTCCCACTCTTCCTTCTCATTCCCCATAAACAAATAATCGTCATGCAGCGACGGGATCGTCTCGTGAGAAGTCGACGCGCTAGTCGATACACTCCTAAATTGTGCTTGCGATAATATATTCGCAGCAGATGGATTAAGTGATGTAAAATTACTATCTACCAAATCATCCCCAAATGAACTAACTCTGCAATTTACCGTGCCCGGAAGAATGCTACTGCGAGTGGGTAATTGAAAGGGATATTGACAGGCTTCTAGCGCGGTGAGTATAATTCCTATACTTATACTATATTTCAATATTAATATAAATTAGCCCAGTCGAATTTTCATCCCTTCGTTATTATCTTGCAGCAACTAAGTCATTATACACAGATCTCTCATCTAGGAGAATAGAAAAACACTCACAATCCAATAGCACTAATAACCACACCTCCTATCTGCACAAGACACTCGTGACTGCCGGGTACGCACACCTTTGCTTTGGATACTATGATGCTGGATATGATGAGTGATATCATCCAACATACGAGCGTGACGCGCGCAACGACGAAACTGTATCCGTGCAGTTTTAATTCTGGTGGTCGGACGAATCCTATAGGTGCGTTTTGGATGCTGTTGGTTAGGTGGAGGATTAGGTAGAGGGTGGTGAAGAAACACTGAGTGGAGGGTTAGTAATTTTGATTGGTCACTCTTCTTGCGCGTGTTTTTCGTGGGGAGGAATATCTCATGTGTCTTCACGTCTTCTTCTCATCTTCTCCCCTCTACCCCTCCCATTCCATCTCCTCTCCTTTATCCACCACTCCAAACTCCCAACAGCTCAAGCTCAAGCTCAAGCTCAAAAAGAACTCAAAACAACTCAAATAAAAAAAAAGAAAGAAAAAAGACTCACCCCAACCCCCACAAACGCAGTCCCAACTCTCAACGCCGTCCCAACACTCTCCTTCTCCCTATGCCTCTCACCACCCACTTCCCCAAATAACCTAACACACAAAAAAATTCCCCCAACCACACAAAGCAGTAAAAAAACCAGCGTCCCAAAAATAATCACCGGTGTTAAGATCCGCTGTGTACGCGAAGCTCGAAGAGAGATGATGGGGATTTGCGCGCGGGGAACGATTATCGTGTGGGACTTTGTCATGGTGGCTTGTTGTTGTTGTTGACGTGTTGTTGCTAGGTGATGGATTGGTATGCTTTTTTAATTATGTGTGGATTGGATTGGATTTTGATGAATGGCAATGGGAATGAATGGGGATGAATAGATAGATAGGGGTTTTATATTATTGGTATGGATATGGATATGAATATAAATCTTAAAGATGAATAAAAAATAAATAGAGGGTATTTCGAGAGATTATTCTAAATATCTTATCATAATATGCAAGAGCATCAATTAATTAGTTCTCCATAATTAACAAGAACAGGAAAAGAGAAAAGGAAAGGAAATCTTATATCTATATCTATATCTATCTATTTTTCCAATGCGAAGCTAAGCTACCTACCTATCTTCATATCCAATATCCAAATGCGTTCATTTTGAAGCTTACCTCGGATTAGATATTAGATATTAGATGTCATATCTCATATCTCAAATCTCGAATCTCGAATGCAAAGTAAATCTATCTATCTATCCCAATTTTTCCGCTTGCAGATAAAGATTACCTGGAATATGGGAATGTAGTGCGGTTACTTATCTAGTATGTGTATGTATATATGAGTTTCGCCGCAATCAGATGAGAGAGGAAGAAATTATTATTCATATCTATTTTAATAGCTATGAGAATAAATATGCATATGCATATGCTTACAGTAGAGAATCGAATCGAATCGAAATGGGATAATTTAGGTAACCTAGATGTTAATTTTCGAAAAAAGGGGGCTGGGTTGAAAAATTAAGTAAGATGTTTATGGAATTATGAGGCTGGCCATGGTGCATCTCTCTCTCGCTCTGTGCGTGTGTGTGTTTTCCCGCTTCAGATTTTATTATGATGTAATGTAATGTGATGTGATGGCTGGCTACATTCTTGACGATGGCGAAGGAGAAAATGTATAACCTTAGGTTTTGTTTACATTCCAGGGGTTGTGATTTCTGTAATGCGCGCTAAGCGAGCCAGGAAATATGTAAGATCTTGTATAGGACGGGTGCATCTTTATTTCGATGACCTGTCTATCTATCTATAGGAGTCCACCATTTATTTACAAATGAGCTTGAGGTGGAATGAACTGGTTGGTATTGCAAGATTATATGTTATATTGTGAGAAAGTTGGAATTATAAGTCATATATATAAAGGTTTTTAATTAATCAATTATATAACCTTTCGTAATTAAATATAAAAGCAGAGCTTTTGTCTTTTTTCTTATAATAATCAATTTTCTATATATATATTTTTGAATCTATATAACCTCAATCTCAAAGCTATTATAAATCTCGTTTTCTTTATAAATGATGTATTACAATATAATCTAATTAGTTTTCTCTTTCAATTCCTCTTTACAATGTGTTATCAGGACGTACATATCTCGACCTACCACTTTTAAAATATTTATTTCACGTTTGTGTTATATTCTGATGGGATTTGGAGATATCCATGGAGGTGTTTTTTAGTTGTTGTGTTGTCTTGGACTGTTTTGTGTGTGTATGTGTATATTTGCTATTGTTCTTGATGTAATTATTGTACGGTGAAATTAGAAATGGTTATAGGTGGCAAGATTCCAAATACATGAGTTTTATAGATAGGTGTAGCTGCATTCCGGAATAGAGCCATTAATTTCGCCATTGCTATTGTTGGAGTTGATATAATTAGGATATCGATCTTTTAGGAAGGCTGTGAAATGATCATAAGAGGTGAACTGGATAGGTAAGAGCTGGGAGATCGAGAAACTAGAATACTATATTTCGTGATAATATGCTATAATGTTCTACACTCAGATATTGGAGTTGGATGTAATGGATCCGGAGTGAATCCCATACATGTCACACGGGTAGTATGGATTTATATATTATATAAAGAAACAGAAACGGTCTTGAAAGGAATCAATAGTGATTCTAGAAAGAATTTGTATGACTACGTGTATATAGGTCTACCCGTGAAGTATCCACGAAGTATCATTTAAGGAAAGAAGAAGAGAATATTAAATTAAATGTTTATTGATGATGTAATATATAGATCACTCGAATCGACATATTTAAGGTATATAAGATGGATATAGTAGTGTTCTATATTGGGTCTGGGTGATCGTCCGGATGATTAGTTTATGATTTTATTGAATTAGATGGATTATTGGAGGATCCAATTTGACAATTCTAGACACATTATTCTAGCATTAAAAGATTTAGATAAGTTTCCTGACTTTCGGATTTGATGAAGTTGATAATATAATATATTAGATTTCTAAATTATTATAGAAAGTTTGCATTGAGTCGAAAAGTTGACAATATTACTTGTCTTTTGATAGTAAAAGTGAGATATTATATAAATATGAGATTCTTCTAATCCAAACTTCTTGACGAGCTGAACTGTGAGTCTGATTTGTTAAGGATTTAAATATTATAGATGGGTTTCCGCTTGACTGTTTAAATTGAAATATGTAATCCGCCCTACACCCGGACTTTTAGACACACTGGTGTACAGAGTATCCACTGATGAAGGACAGATCTGAGAAGAGAGGAATATCAAATTTTGAGACGAAGCGTGAGGTATACCGGAAATATAGCGTATCAGCCTAGGAGTATACATGCAGTTTTCAGTACTGGCTGAACATCAATAATATTGAGTTCGGAAGGCTAAATAAGATACAAAGACCGAGTTTAAAATCTTAATCTTGAACCAAGAACCACCTTTAAACGGCAAGGCTATTCGATACACTAGGGCTACTGAACGTCTGCACATAACGTTTGTCAATTGGTCAGAATGAAGGGACGACAATCCAACTAATTGTCATCCATAATATGACATAGTGAAGCAATTCCCTAGGGATAGCATTTTGAGGCACTGCAATATCACGTTCACCCACAAACTTGGAGTTTCTCAGTAATTTATATTCACTTGAACTGACAAATATAAATTGACAATACATCTTGAATCAACATGAATTCATCATCTCTAGAATAAAATATATACTACAATCAAAAAGCTTTCGTACAATTGAATATAAACTACATAGAAATAATCCGCCCTGTAGATTATCTATTAGGATTTTGAACAATCCTTTCTGCAAACGAATATTTATAAATAATTTAATAATATTTACAAATTGATAAGTAGATAGATTATCTATAAATAAATAAATAATTTATAAATTAAATTAAAAAAATTTAAAAAATTTGAAGAAGATTTATTTGTTTATAAATAATTCATCAATAATCTATATAAGGTTGTCACCTATTGATAATTTTAAATTATCTACCCCGCAAATAATTGAATCAATGAATATCTATAGATAATCCATGAATAATCCATACGTAAACCATTTGGATTTTCTAATAACCTGTTCCGCGTAACAGATTATTTACGGGATTATCCCACAGGGCAATAATCCGCCCCGCAAGTATCAATTGCGCAGCCTAATTGAGTAGACTATCAGTGAGATAGTATGCACTGAAAATAAACTCTATTTTGAGTTTGTATTCAAGGAGGGCAAGATGCTAGAGATTGATGCAAGTTATACTAGGATGGGAGAGTATATAACCTTCCTTGTTCTCCTCTCGAATTATTTTATTATCACATTCACAATCTTTCTACAGTCACTTCCATACTCAGATCAAACATGCTATAAGTCACTCGACTTCACTTTTTGAAACCTCATCCTTCCTTCTTCTCTGAAAGGAAACCAGTCAGAAATGTGCACTTTCATCAAAATGAAGCTCTTCGCTGCCACTATTATCGCTTTCGCCGTCATGTCCGATGCAATTGCTGTCCCGATTATTGCATCTGAGCCTCCACAAGCTGATCGCAATGCTGTCATTGCTCCTTCAGTCAACGCCCATTTCAGTGGAATGATACTGGCAATTTGATCTGCAAATAGAGAGCTTAATAGCTATCAGTTTTCTGAATAGGTATACAAGCGCCCTATTATCAGTACCATAGATTGCTTTTGGACATGTGGACTAGGTGAAATCTAGTCCGCTGTTTGCCAAAGATCTTTCATGATCGCATGTTTTGCTAGTCTCAACCTTGTACTCCTGTTTATTTTGATAATTAGGTGCGTAATTAGGCATAACTCGGTGAGTTATTTGAATTGAGATCCTTTCAAAGATTCGGGATTCCAATGGTGCTTTGATACAGATATTCGCGGAACTTAATAGAAAATAGGGAATGTGAAATAAACTTATTCAAGGCTGACATTTGTTATAAAGTCCCTGTGGAAAACTAATGTTATAGCCCAGGGATACAGGACACTTCCCAACTCTAAATACCTGTGTATTTTTTCCGGCCGTGAGGATCCTCGAGCGGTTTGGGGGACCCGCTGAGGAGGAACGACGATGCAGGGGAGCTCGTAGGACGAGGCCTAAACACCACATACCACTGCCCGGCGCAGCCGATATACGGTCCATAACTGCCAAGCCGTCGAGGTCTCCACATTGTGCGTATATAAGCAAGACATATTTAGCGTGAAAATCGAAAGTCATGTGATAGAAATGTTGTCCCTTTGAGTCTCTGGGCTAAACTAATATTATAGCCCAGGGACGGGGACACTTCTAATTATAAATACCTGTGTATTTTTTCCGGCCGTAAGGATCCTCGAACGGCTTGGAGGACCCGCTGAGGAGGAACGACGATGCAGGGGAGCTCGTAGGACGAGGCCTAAACACCACATACCACTGCCCGGCGCAGCCGATATACGGTCTATAACTGCCAAGCCGTCGAGGTCTCCACATTGTGCGTACATAAGCAAGACATACCTGGCGTGGAATGAAAACGACATGTGACTTAGAAGGTGGTTCCAAAGAGTCCCTGGGCAAAACTAATGTTATAGCCCAGGGACACAGGGACACTTCCCAACTATGGCTTGAAGAGAAATACTCAAGATAAGACTTACCAGCAGGAGATGAAGCCTCAAATAGGTCAGAATACTACCTCTTAATGACTAAGCGAAGAAGGGCCATGGACATGTGGTATTGTCCTGGAAACTATAATTCTATAACAGTCTCAGAAGAAAAGCACGGATTTCCAATACAGTGGCAGAATAGAGAGAATACCATCAAGGTATACATTGAGAAAAGTAAGATGCTAAAGACCCTATATTGAAACAAACATTGGCTGAGCACGACAGCTACAAGTCTTTTTTGATTATTTGGCCATAGACTAGCAAATTTTTAACGACGTAGCAACTCTATACAGCAGTAGTTTCGAAGCGCCTTAAGGTTGAATCACTTTCTTCAAGATAATCATTCAGACAGTTATACTCTTCGATAGCTTTTGCAGGACTACTGAGAAGCATTATACAAAAACCAAGGGATAAAATATATTACTTGGTGAATTTAGCAACTGCTGGCGCACAAATTCGATAAACCATTGCAAACAAGGAACTTCGGACACGCAAAGAGTAGTCGATAGAGGTTTACCGTTTACCAATATAAGATTTAAGAACAAAAAGCCAAATACTCGGTTTCTATATCGGACCTACTCAATAAGCGAAATATTCCCTAGCCTTATTCCACTCACTGATGAGAACTCGCATATATCCCTCGCTAGAAACTGCTACCGCAAAAGAAAAGGTTTTGGAAAATGTAGAATGTGACAAACCAAGACCGGCCAAAATAGCTGATCTGCAAGGCTACTGGAGTATCGAGAGCTGAATGAGAAGCTCCTCAGATATAGTTTAGTAGATATTTGGTACTCCGGTGCCAGCGCATGATATGGACATCATCCCACTGACTCCCCAATAGTGCGCCAAAATTGAAAGTAGCGAGAATTTGTCACTTTTCACTTGAGGTCTACCATATTATTGTCGTTACCAAGAGAATCTATGAAGAAAAAAATTGTAATCACTCGATACAAGATTAACCTCAAGCTCACCATTTCTTTCAAGAAACCCTCAAAAAGTGGGGGAAAAGAGAAAAAGAAGTGCAGAAACTCCCAAAGTTCAAACATCTTCTATCTTTGATATCTTTAAGAAGGATAAAATGAAATTGATATCATTGATAGCTCCGGATAGAAATGATGGGTTTTCACGATAGCGAGAGGAGAATAGTTAGGAGAAAGTTTGGGGAAAGTATGTGAAGAATCAAGTATGTGGGATATATCGGCAAACAAGCTTCAAGAACCTTGAGCTTTATAGAAGGTTGTAGAGGGAGGCTGTAGAGGGAGGTTATAAGAGTACTATTTTCAATCGAAAGAATTATTAGAAAGATATACCTAGTAGCGGAACACAGAAAGCGAAAATAATAATTTTATATCTAGATCTATAATTGAAGAAAGTATAACAGTAATTAAATTAAAAATATATATAAAGATATAAATAATCTTATAAACTTTTCAATATTTAAAAATTCAAAACAATAAAACCAAAAAGAATATAATACCCCTCTTAAAAAAGAAAAAAAAAAGTAAACACCGCTCGCCCAATCATCATCAACGTCAAATTTATATCAGATTTTCTATCACTTTTAGATCCGAGGTTCAAAAAGAAATAAACAACAATAAAAGCTTCATTTCTAGATTCAAAGGGATGAAAAAAAAAAAGAAGATAAGATAGATAGAGTAGGATAGGACAGGAAAATAAACAATCACTTTTCAATCAAATCAATCTTCAAATCGCATAACTTTTTTCTCTTCTCTTCTCATCTTAACAATTAAACTTCTGGTCTCTTATTCTCTTCACTACCATTTTCGCATACAACTTCTACTAAAATAAGTTCAGATATTAAAGTCGCATCGCATAAAAGTCGCGCGCAATTGTTTCGCTGGAGATGTGTAAGTGGATTTTTGCTTTTGTTTTGGCTCTTTCAGCTCTAGGTTTAAATCTAGTATACGGTTCTGCTCCTACACGATACCTCCCAGATTATCCATCTTGATCCTACGAAAACAAACAGAATTAGACTAACAAAGCTAAAAACTCTACAGCGCATCCAATGGTTGTTCTACCCAGTAATGGGAGTCGCCATCTTCATGGTATCAAACGTGAGCATGATCACGATCATGTTTACGAAGCCATTCCCAAAAACACAAACGGCAGTACCACCGACACTCATACGCACCAGCACAAGAAAAAGAAGAATCATCATCATCAGCATCGAGATGCGCAGCAGAATGGTGAAGGCGAAAAGAAGAAGAGGCAAAGGTCAAAACGCAATTCTCGTGAATCGCAGGAGGAAGAAGATACATTGATGAGTGGAGGTCTAGGGGAGACAAGCGCGGAATTGGGAGAACCAATTTTACCTCCTGCGCGCGATTCCCACCAGTCAACACCTACAATGCACAAGGCCATGAGGGAAAAGCATCGAAATGCAAGTGAAAGCAAAAAAAAGAAGAGCAAGTCCAAGGGTCCAAAGGCTGTACATTTTGAAGGACTGAGCAATGGTCATACTCAAAATGGTGGAGAGAAGGCGGAAGCTGAGGGAGCCAAGATGAATGGTGATCCGGCTCAGCGCAGAACATCGATCTTACCCGTTCGATCTCACATTCCAATCTTACCACAGACCTCCAGCCCGATACTTCCTCCCATACGTCCAAGAAGATACTCCAGTAACGGACAGACACCCATTCTCCCACCAGCCTCTCCAAGTCGTTTGAATCTTCTCCGCGTTTCTCCCATAGCTTCAACTCCAATTTTACCACCAACTTCACCTTTCAGAAAGAGGCGTCGCTCTACTGGCAATGCATTTTCTCAACCACCACCAACCTTTTCGGTAGAGTCCCCTTCCTTGCAAGCTAGTCTGCCAGCGTCCAGCGAATCAGCTGAGCCTAAGCGTAAGGATGATGATTGGGAGTTTAGCACTGGAAAAATTCGTGCAATGGTCGGTAATCCCATGGAAAAGGATGCACAACGTGAAGAGAGTAAGTCGAATCACCTAAACCCAACATTTGACTCCTGCTAATATGCTTCCGCCCACTCAGACATCGCATTCTCATCCAACTATATCCGATCGCCAATGCGCCAATCGCAAGGTATCAATGTAGCAGGCGTCAATTTCAACACCATCTATCTTAAAAGCCGTGAAACTATCGTCTTGAAGGACAAGAATAATGGACTTCAAGTTTGTTCAGTGGCTCAAGGTAGCATATGGGTGTCCCTTGGAACCGAAAAATTTCGCATATCTAAAGGTGGCATGTGGCGTGTTAGAGAAGGCGAGAAATGCTCGGTCAAAAACCAAGACAGTCAGGAGTGTATCCTACACATGACTTCCATTCCAAGTGCTTCTGCATTGATTTGATTTTTTGTTGTCAGGGGAGATAACAACTGCCTCAAGCGTTTACAGGGTCCTTGATCACTATTGAACCTGCCTGTCGTAGACCCAGCTGATGGTTGATTTTGCGTGCGATGCTTCTGATGGTTCCTTCAGGATATTATCGCAGTTGCTATTGGAACCAATCGTCTTTTCTGATACGGTAGCGTAGCTGCGCATACTTTTCTCCCATTGTTGGTACACGAGCAAAGGGTAGTCAGAAGCGCATGCCTGGGATGTACTGCATACGGAAAGGAACTTACTTCAATTGTATCCGCAACGCAGGGAAGGAAGTTTGCTTATTTAGGAAGGCTGGGGCTCGTGATATAGGAATGCACATACTAAAATTCTACGTAAATTCTCATCGGCAGAGCAAAGAAACTTCCGTTTTGGGTGGCCAATATTTTCCGAGATTCTCTTGACTCGGCCAAGATTGAAAACTCGACTGAACTGAATATTCCATGAATAATCATCCGCTGCCCAGAATGTCTCATACTCCGTAAGGACAAACTAATTTTCGTTGTGGCGTTCACTTAGTCAGATGGGCAGCTGAAACCAATCAAAAATTCTCGTTTCGCGAAATGATCCTTCTGGGAATCTGGGCCTAAGCTTTCGGTGGTTGAACTTTATATTCACGTTAGGCGTTAGGCGTTAGGCGTTAGGCTTGAAATGGTACTTCTATTTTAAGTATGTGTTGAAATTGGCCAAGGCCGGGCCAGCCCAGCATCTATTCCTGTAAATATCGTGACTCGTGTGCTGATTTGATCATTTTGCTTTTGTGTCGTATAATAGCCAGTAGGATAATAGAGGCTTCGTACTATTAGAAGTTTATTTTCATATTTTGTCTTCCTCTGGAATACAATGCACAAAATGAGTCCCTTTATGCCAATCGCCCAACGATGTCGTTCATAGTGATCGATCAGTTTGGATAGTGACTTACGTACGGCTAATGTTCTGGGGTTCAAAACCATACACAGTTAAGGCCACCGCAAGGAGATTAGCACTAATATATGAAGCGGAACCTTTGACTTGTGCTCGTAATTTGTACTCTGCAGCTGGTTTCTGTACGAGAGATAAGGAACTTTGCAATATATTCACGACTTGCATAGGCTACTTAGGAGTTTGCGCTAGTAGGATCTTTAACAGGATGCTGAAATGATGCCGCATGCCCGTACTATGCAACTCATCTCTGGAATGATCCGCAGAGAAGCATGATCCGTTGCGTCAAGTATGCGGCATTTTATCCCATGTCCGACTAGCCCGTTACTGATACCGAATCAATATGTGTGATCACTGTCATCGCCCTATCTCGAAGTATCGCTTCAGCAGCAAGCGATATTTAAAACGGAGATGACATTGAAGATTTAACCAGTGCATCTGGAAACAATTTGTCCACAACAGGTGCACGTAGCTCAGCATCTTCATCTTCATCGTAACTAACCACTCCAGTCGCAAGTACAGTAATCCAAAAGAAATCCGGCATTCCACTAGGAGCCATTATAAGTGAAGCTGTGGGTGGCGTGGTAGTGACCGTCAATTAACTTTTGCCATCGCTTTCATCATCAGGAGAGAAAAAAAGAAAGACAGATCTATCACCACCCCAACCCCTAATCAAGTCTCATTGACTGTCTCCAATAATGCATATCAAGTACCACGCCGAATATCCCTCCACCATTCCACGGGAACCGGGTGAGTCTCACAAGACTAGCATCTCATGTAGAACACAGGTTGGAATTGGCAAAAAGTTTGTATACCCCTTCCGTTACCCCGGATTATTGTTAGTCGCCGCAAGACAATGAGGATATTTTGCTCAAATAGAGACCCATCGACCTTCCAATCACTAAGGATATGATGATCTTGAGTATCAGTACTCTGAATTGGATGCAACTGCGTTAAATTCTTTCAGTGAAAATGAAGTGGAGATAGGTGGTATGATGGAAGACTGGGCCAAGAAGTAGAAACCGGCCCTTCAAAGGTAATGAGGTCAAGGAGTGGTGAATTTAAAGTTATATTAATGCTTTTAGTCCCATTCCTCTCGATCGATGATTCCAGACATCTCTTCCTTTCATGAAACGCTCATCATAGGATATTGAGTGGTGAGAAGTACGTTTCGTGAGATGACTTTGGTTCATAGTAGGGGCTTTCCTTATCTGATCTTTGAGCATTGAAGATATCCGACAAAGTTTCCATTTATTGTTTGATTTGAGAATCTAAGAGGTTGTCAAGGAATGTGAGATCTTATGAAAGAAGATTCTGTACAGGATTTAGAACAAAATTGGTCCAACAGTTGGTCTTGTCGGAAAAATCGAGTGTTACGCACAGACCATTATTTTGGTCGCAACAAGCCATGAGAACAGAAGCACAAGCAAGTTTCCATCCATTGTAAACATCGACATTATGAGACATCATACTTTTGAACCTTGAGCCGTCGAGTGAACGAGACTGAACAGCTGATTTCATCGAAAGATAAGTTTTATTGCGGGGGGTGAAGATGTAAAACTATGCCCCACCGTCTGTCGTGTACATCTGATGCTATACTGCATTTTCGGTTGCCTTCCCCTTCATTAGGTTGTATATATTCACTTGCTAAAGACTGGCGCATTCAAATACGGGAATTCAATATCAGAGTCTGTTCCTAGTCAACATTACAATATTAAACTAGTTCTTCAGTCCATAGACCCAGTGTTTTGCCAGGTCTCCTTTGGACGATCATCCATACATATTCATTACCAGACCATTGGACATTCACATCTTTCAACCATGCCTGAAATACTGCGAGTTGGTATCATAGGGCTTGGGGAGATTGCACAGGTACTTTCCAATTCAAGATGTCTACAGCGGAATGCAACTAACCTCTAGCCTCCAATGTAGGTCTCACATATCTCAGTTCTGAACAACCTCTCCGACTTCTATACTATCACATACCTCTGCGATCCCTCTCCAACTGCTCTTGAGCATTGCTCCTCAAAAGTGACTGGGAACAAACCCCAAACGACCACCGATGCAGCACAACTCTGTTCATCTCCCGATGTCGATGTAGTTTTGATAAGTAGCGCACACGGCTTTCATCCCTCCCAGGCTATATTAGCATTACACAACGACAAATACACGTTAGTCGAAAAGCCATTGGCATTATGTTATCGAGATATAGAGCAACTCGAAGAAGCGGAAAAAGGATCGGCAGGCAAGATCTTTGTTGGATACCAAAGACGATATGCTCAGGCATTTGTTGATGCCGTGTCCGAAATAGGCGGGCTCGGAAAGATCCAATATGCACGCGTTAGAGACATTATTGGACCCAACAGCGCCTTTGTAGGTCAATCGGCAACATATCCTAGGAAATTCACAGACTTTAATCAAGAAGATTCGCAAGCCATGTCAGCGCTTCTAGATGAACAGATTACGCACGCACTAGGAACAGAGTATGGGGTAGATGTAACACCATCAGCTAAGGAATTCCTAGGGTTCTTTGGAATGTAATGCTTCCGCAAAACTTCAGCTTGCAGTAAAACGCCTGCTAATCTACCTAGTCTCGCTACCCATGACCTGAGTGCAATGCGAGAAATACTCGGGGGTATGCCTCAAAAAGTCTTGGGGTCGTCTCTCGGCTTACCGTTTTGGACGGTTCTATTCCAGTACGACGGCTTTGCTGTGACTTATGAGTCGGGTGTCAATAACGTCCCAATTTTCGATGCTCATTTAGAAGTGTATTCGGAAGATAAGATCGTTCGGGTCAATTATGACACTCCGTATGTCAAAGGGCTCCCTGTCACAATGACGATCAGAGAAAGAATTGGTGAATCAGGATACCAGGAAAGAACTGTGAGGAAAACATATGAGGATCCATATACTTTGGAATTCTTGGAATTTCATGATTGTGTAGTGAAGGGGAAGACTCCCAAGACAAGTGTCGGGGACGCAAAGAAAGACTTGGATCTTTTCAAAATGATTATACAATCTTCCAAAATCTCATGATGGAATATGGTCACTAAATTTCGACGTTTTCAACAAGTCAAAGCGCAATAAGTTAGCCATTTTTTGCTGAGTAGAGCTGCTCACTAGAAACCGTTTTGTATCAAATTTCACTATTCATTGATTCCAGCCGATCTCTCAATGCTGCTGCTTGTAGGATTCGAATTTCCGTTCCAGCTGAGCCCAAATGTCTTACGTCCACTTTCGTAATAAACCAATCGTCCGAACTAGTAACAGTTGGGTAAACTAGTCTAGCTATTTAACAGCTTCTTCCCGTCTAGCCGCTCTTCGCTTGTCCACGTTCTTATCTGAGACGCCACTTCAAACATCCGCATTTCAGGAAAGGAGTTCAGCCTCACCATCTGATCTCTATTTAGCAAGGAGCTTTTCACCAGGAAGTAGAAGTTCTTCTACTCGTGATAAATTCTTTTCGCGAACTGTTTAGGTACCGAAATGGTTCAATAAAAATAACAATATTCCAGGTTGCTTATGTTGGCGTCATAGACTAGATCTTGAATTTAGTTTAAAGCCTATCTTACAAACTTTAGATTTACCGAGGCACATGAGTTACCCAGATCATATTGAAAAGAAAGTGGTGCCGTATAACCTCAAGAAATCTGCTTCACACTAAATCCTTTTCAGAATAAGGTTATTTATTATTTCCTATTTCCGGGTGGAAGAATTAGCAAAATGGTAGAGCCTCTAGAATTGCAGTCATTATACTTCTTGGCAAAAACCGAATCAGGTGCTATGGTTGGTCCTGGGCGACGGTGAAGATTGTTTTTATTCCTCAGGGTCTACATCACGAATAAGGAACAAGCATTATGGGATGTATCACCGATTCCCGCAGCTTGCCTTCTTAAGGGGTACATGGACCCTGCCCTATTAGTCCCGCATTAATATCGGCGCTATGGATAGGGTTGACGCATGATCCCCGCTAGGGAAGTTCCCCATGTCCGCGCGAGATTTTCCCGTCCCATACGTTGATCATGCTAGCTTCCACATAATATACGCACTGCTTGAAGCTCTAGATTAATCTGAAGTGATGAATCTATAGGAATTATAAGGTTCATTTCATGCTTGTATGATGGGTAAAGCTTGTCCCCTGCGGAAGGGGGAGGTTTACCGCACAGACTTTTTCATTGCCTACTTTGTCTGAGTATTTTCGTTGGTAAAAATCGTGTCGAGACTCGAAGAGAAAATCTGGGGACGTCGAAATATGAAAAGATTTCTTCTCCCTTATCTATGACAATGTTGATACCTTACCCTGGCGCGTCCAACACAAGTAACTCGCCTCTGATGTCTTCAGTAAGTCGAACTTCTTCGTTCTTTGTAATCCATGAATATTGGCAGTAGCCGTATCCGTCATTGTCACTTGATTTGTGTTGAGCGGGGAGATTTTGATCAACCTCTCAGCTCGACTGACCAGTGGTTGCGCTAGCATGTCAACGTGGAGACGAACGTTCTATGGCTTAGTTGTATAATTGAACACTAACGGGAGAACTAGAACGATGCATATTTACAAGAGTCGCGAGTACAATGGTTACTCGTAGGGACGATACTTCCCGCGGCTTTGGGTACGATGTTCGTCGTAGGACATCTATATACACGAGCAATAATCACAAAAATTTTGGGTTGGGACGACTTCTGTCTTGTTACAGCATGGGTATGTCAAGCTCTATTCTGCTCGAAAGTAATCATCCAACAATCTTTTACTAAAATTCCCTCCAGATCCTTGTCATCTTCCAAACCGTTGGCGCCAGCCTCTCCTGTGATTACGGCGGCGGTCGCCACGTCGAGCTCCAAAGACACGACGATCTCAAACCCTTAGTCATCCTCGCATTCGTATCCCGACTTCTCTACCAGCTTGGACTCATGATGGTACGGATCGCCATGTGCTTGCTCTATCTGCGAATTTTCCAGGATAAAACGAGTAAGATCATTATATACCTTTTGATACTTTTCCAACTCATTGCGACCATTCCTGCTACGTTGGCTTTGGTTTTTCAATGCGATCCTATTATTTCGCAGTGGGATCCTAACGTAGAGGAAATTCACTGTGATGATCCGATGCCCGCCATAACTGCTTTTACAGTTTGTAGTGTGCTCAGTGATGCGGCGCTGATTGCTTTTGCTGTGCCGAGAGTTTGTACGTATTACCTTTTCTTTTACCTTTTCCAAAAAAAGTCCATGCATTCTTCAGTTTCGGAGACCATAGACGGCTAATGGTAATCTCACAGTACCACTTCAAATACCCAAACTCCAAAAGGCCTTTCTCCTAGCTATAGTCAGTTTCGGAATTCTCATAATCATCGTCTCGATCATCCGATACGTACGCCTGGAACCTGTCTACTCGGGAAACGACTACACATGGGACATGTGGCAAATAACAACCTTCGCATCAATTGAACTCAACACGGCACTTTTCTGCGCCAGCGCTCCTTCGCTAAGACCTCTCGTGCGCGCATTGGCTCCAAATATCAAGTGCTTGAGAAGTCTGTATGCTGTGTCGGAAAATCAGCGCACTCGTATTGCTCATTCTCGTGTAAATTTGAATGATAATGGTGAAATGGGAGAAGGGGGAAATGGATCGGAAAATGATGAACTCAAATTGGTGAGTAGATCTACAGTGGGCGGTTCAGAGATTTCGCTTGATAGTGGGAGAGCCGGGAGCGGGAGGATAGAGACGGGTATGGGGAGAAGGAGAGAGGAAATGAGTGTGCGGGGCTCTGGGATGGGGTCGAAAGCGATAGTGGGGAGGGATGCGGAGGATTGGATGGGTTTGGTGGGGGATGGGGTGGAGGATGACAAGAGGGGGGGGGTTAGGGTTTTGGGATGGGGGTTGGGGAAACGGAGATTAGTGCTAGAGGGTTTTGAATGGTTTGGATGAGGAAGATACGGTTATGAAGGCGTGATTGGATAAATAGAATGATGGATATGGATACCATGGATTTGGGAGCATGGCGTTTGGAGAAAAGGTGTGGATTTCATCTAGACGGTGTTAGGCTGTTCAATAAATAGTCTGGACTGATAGACTAGATGTGAATTTTTCAATATTTCCTATATTCACAATGTTGTGTATATTGGAATGTAAGATCTAATTTAACATTTCAAATGATATGAAACTTTCTACTAGATCCAATGATTTAACAAGTTTTTATCCATCCTTGAATTGCAGCCTGAACTATTGGACGTAAGGCTTACTATACCACCCCACAGTTTTAGTTTATAGAGGATAGAGGAAAATGGCAGGAATAAGTCGGAAAGAGATCAAGATTCCTCCTGTAGGTATAAATTATATGTCAATTAGAAAATGATGGGTTTTAGGAATAACCAGATCGTGATTCACTATAAGATTACATTAGATGGTAATGTTGATATTATTCCATGAAAAAAATTAAAAAATTTAAGGAAATATGACAAGTAAAATTTACAAGTCCAGATTGAGATACACTTTATTCAAAAATTTGGATCAAGAACTTCTTGACAAAGCGATAATAAATAATCAAGGAGGGTAAGCATGAAAGTTCTCTTGGGAGAAATGTACAATTCTCGTATAGATTTCATCAATCGATACTTCAAATATCTATCCCAGATATATGGTTTCAATACCTGAACGCCGCCGCTTTATGCATACATTGATTACCTAGATACCTTTCCCTCCCATTGCATTTCCTTGCGTTTCTTTGCATGATACACAAGCGAAATGAAGGATTACCTTCTACCTCTGCCTGCAGGAGGAGCACCTCCCATACCCGGCATTCCCGGCATACCCGGCATACCTCCGCCACCTCCCATCATTTTCTAAAAGACTGTTAGCGAAAGCTAGATACTGGAAATGAATCAAGCCGAGAACATACCATCAGACTAGACATGTCAGGCATACCACCGGGCATACCTCCCCCGCCACCGAGCATTTTCTATCGCAATTGTTAGCAACGAGTACATAAGAAAAAATCGATAAGGCATACCATCATGCTACCAATATCTGGCATTCCGCCAGCTGCGCCACCTCCCATCGAGGCTAATCTCTTTTGCATAGCAGCCAACTGTTGTTGCTTGTTTCCACCTCCCATTGCTCCTTGTGCTTTCTGCATATTCTTCATGTTTCCGCCCATTTTTTTGGCCATACCCGCCATCATCTTGTGTTGAGTCAACAAGTCTTCTATTTCCCTTACACTGGTACCACTTCCGCAAGCTATCCTTGTCATTCTAGTAGGTTGATCGATAAACATCTTTCCGTCTGAATCAAGTTCTTTCGCTGTCATCGAATCACATATATATATCATACGTTTGAGCTTCATGGCGCCATCTTCGTCATCCATTCCTTGCATCATGGATCCCATACCTGGAATCATACCAGCCATTTTTGAGAGAGGACCCATCTTCATAATATTAGATAATTGATCACGAAGATCACGAACCGTAAAGATACCTTCCACGATGTGTTTCATAGTATCTTTCTGATCTAATTTTAGAGACTGGACATGCTCCATAAGTCCTTGCATATCTCCCATACCCAGTAGCTTGGAAACGAATTGCGTGGGGGCGAACTTTTCTAGATCGAGCATATGCTCTCCAGTTCCGATAAACACGATAGGCGTATGTGTTGCTGCAACTGCAGAAATTGCACCACCTCCACTAGCGTGTCCATCAGTTTTAGTGATAATGATAGCTCCAAAGTCAGCAGTTTCTTTAAAAGCTTTACTTTGCGCCTCGGCTTGTTGTCCTATACTAGCATCCAATACCATGACAGTTTGGTCAGGCTTCACAGCTGTTTGAATATCCACCATTTCTTGGAATAATGCATCCTCTTGTCGATGTCTTCCACTGGTATCCACAATAATGATCTCGAATTTCTCTTTTTTAAACTTATCCACACCCTCTTTGGCTACAACCGCTGGATCCGTCTGTGTAAGAGAACCGTAATATGGAATTTTAGCCTTAGTAGCATTTTGCTTCAACTGATCAAAAGCACCTGCACGAAAGGTATCCGCGCATACCAAACAAGCCTTGAAGCCTCTTGATTGATACCATCTTGCCAATTTCGTACATGTCGTGGTTTTTCCAGCTCCCTGCAACCCAACAAACATAATAACATTCGCTTTGCCTTTCTTTGGTTTAAAGGGCTCGGCATGGGGGTCGACAAGTTTGACTAATTCATCGTATACAGCCTTTTGAATGACTTTTTTTTTATTGACCGCCGGGGCGAGTTCTTTAAAGTTCACAGAGGCTTTGATGGATTTCCGCAGATTTCCCACTAATCTAACGTTTACGTCGGCCTCGAGTAATGCAGAACAGATCTCTTTGATCATGCCATCGAATGCCTAATTCGTATTAACAGGAGACTCACTGGGAGATCTTGACAATTGTCCTCGACAACTGACCTTTTCATCTAAATTGCTAGACCTTGTAAGATCTGATACTGCAGCATTTATGCGCCGGCCTAAATCTTGAAGAACCATATTGACAATAACTTATGCGATAGTTTTGTTGAAAATTATTGATCTCCGAGGTTTCTGGTCTGGATGGATGCACTTATTGATTTAATGTGGCTCGAGGTGTGGGACAAATCAGAGCGCGGGGAATTTAGTGTGCCGAAAGGTTTCTCCGAGCTCCGAAGAAGATCCAAAAATTTCCTGGCGGCGATAAGATTTATTTTTTGTATCAGTTATCGTTCAGAACACAATAACGTTCAATAAAATTAAGACAACAATCAGAATGGCAGGAAATGTCTCAAAAAAGCGCAAGGTGGAGGATGGAATGAAAGGAAAGACTGGCAGACCTGTCAAGAAATTCAAGAAACAAACACACTACGAATCCTCATCCGATGAAGAAGAATCAGCAACAACGCAAGATTTTCAAGCAGTCAATTTGCAAGACTCAGACGAAGAAGAGAATGGAGCCGATGATGCCATCACAGGGAGTTTGTCAGATGAGGATGATGAGCCGAACCTCAATGCCGCGGACAATGAGTTAGAAGAAGAAATCACAGATGCCTCAAATTCCGATTCAGAAAATTCAGATGAAGATGACTCGGATGCAAACTCAAATCCCAATTTAATAAAGGCACGGAAGCGCAATGATCCAGATGCATTTGCCACATCTATGTCTAAGATTTTGGGATCGAAGCTATCGGCGAGTAAAAGGAATGACCCAGTTTTGTCGAGGAGTCAAACGGCAATAGAGGCTAGTAAGGAAATGACGGATTTGGCCTTGGAAAAAAAGGCAAAACATAAGATGAGGGAAGAGAAGAAGGCTGCACTGGAGAAGGGAAGAGTCAAGGATGTTTTAGGTGCCAGTACAGCATTTGATGCGAGTAATGGTTACGGAACTGGAGAGAATGTACCGAGTGTACAGGAGACGATGGAACTGGAAAAGCGATTGAGGAAAACTGCTCAGAGGGGTGTTGTCAAGCTCTTCAATGCTGTTAGAGCAGCTCAAATTAAAGGCGAAGAGGCAGCCAAGGAAGCGAGACAAAAAGGAGTGGTGGGGCAAGGAAGGAGAGAGGAGAAAATTAACGAGATGAGTAAGAAGGGATTTTTGGATTTGATTGCAGGTGGAGGCGGATTGAGGAAAGGAGAAATCGAAGAGGCCTAAAAAGGACAGAAAAAATTCTAATCAGATTCTCCATGGTATGGCGTTGGAGGTGCGATTTTACTCCTCTTGGAGGTTTCGTTCATATAAAGCATCCAGCAAGCCCGTGTCCCTCATGGTGCGGATTATATGTACAAATGATAAATACCCTTTTTAATGTGTCCATCCTACGACCCAAATGCAATGCTTTCCTGCACCATTATTTAGGAATAGCGTTGCAAGTCATTCGTGATCATACAGGTGATAAGTTAAGCCCTCCTCCGGCTCAACTCTTAAAATCGCTAGCCTGAAGGTTCCGTGTCATAGAAGGGAGTCTTACGCGCAATCCATCTAATTCTTTTGACATCACAATTTGACAGCCCAATCTCGATGTCTCTCTTAATCCGAACGCTAAGTCCAACATGTCGTTCTCATCATCGTCCGGCTCGGCCATTTTATTATAGAATTCTTCATCTTCGACTATAACATGACATGTTGAGCATGAGCAAGATCCCCCACAGGCCCCTAGAATGATTATTAGTTTGTGATCGAATGGTGATGAACTAAAATACGGACCTTCCATTTCCAAATCATTGGCCTGTGCTATATCCAAAAGATTGTCCCCTGCTGAGACTTTGAATGTGTGTTCATCTCCCTCCTTGTCGAAAAAAGTAACATGTAACCTGCGATTCATCAACATGGGTTCAGTGACAAATTCGACGAGTGAAAAGTCCTACTCTTCCCCGGGCTTAGGAGGGGTTATATGGCCATGCAAAGCTTTTGAAGTTGCAGAGAACTCTCGACGAGCAGCTGTAGATCTTGTGTTTTGTCTGATTTCACACATTTGCTTCGTACTAGGACGCGATCCTGATACCGAGAAGGGACATAATAAGGCGGGCGATGCGGGGGGCCTGCAGGCAAATCGAATGGGACTATCAGCTACTGTCGCAAACTCTCTTCGTAGAGATTGAGTTGTAGTTCTGCGAACACCTGCAAAGGCTCGGCTTGTACTTCGAACCGCAGACATCTCGTTTTTATCGCAATTGTTGTGAAGAATGAGTGGGGGTGAGAAAGTGAGGAAGATCCGGAGTTGAGGGTGGATATCTAGGTAAGATAAAGACTTCTTTTGCCTGAAGTGAGTATTTGAACTTTTGATTGTTTCTTCCCACTTCTAACAATTGGAACTTTAGGAGAGATGATTTCTTAATATAAAGATAAGTGTTGGTATTGTTTGAAATTGTTATGAACATCAACCACTCTTTGAATCTTTAAGTAAAAGCTGGTGGCTTGCTTTACAGTTTGTACTCATATAAAAATATTCGTGAATTCAGCTACAACCAACCAATCGGTATAATGTGATTATGTACTCCGAAATTCTAGATATACAGGACGGCGTATTCACGGATAAGGCATATCAGTCCAGCCAGCCTTAAGCCAATCTAATCCTTGCTCTCATCCTCTCCAATTAATTGTAGCTCTTACATAGGTACATTGTAAAAAAAAGCTTTGAATATTTACAAGGTACTTCCACCCTGCATTGGCCGACCGACGTGGAAAACAAAGAGAGGACGACGACGACAACGACATCATAGATTTCCCGTAAATTTTCCTTCCCTCCTTCTTCTTCTTGAATGCAACATACAACAAAATGTCGACCTCGAGAGAAGGTCCAAATCCGTTAAGACCATACTATGTTCCACCTTCGATTGGGATACCTCAAGAAATACCTGCAACGATCTCGGGAACTCATCGAGTAGGATTAAAGAATGGGAGTGCAGCGTCTTACGCCTCCTCCGCTCGGGATATCTTCTCGGATATCGACTACAGTGACTACTTATCGGATACCTCACCATCTACTATTGAATCCCTTCAGAGATTCATCAATGAGACTTTTACCAATTATGCGGGAATATTATGTGGACAACCTTTTGAGGTTGCAAAAACAATTCTGCAGGTGAAAATTCAGGATATGGAGGAAGGGGCAAAGCCAGTAGCTGCGGTGGAGAAAATAAAGCGACGTCCTTCAGAGTATAATGAGGTATGATTCTCCATATGAGGGGTTGAGTTTTGTGGAGCTAATCTGGATTTAGAATTACCCCTCCGATGATTCTGATGCAGACGAAACCACTTACTTCACATCAGCGGCACCAGAAGCGAAGTCGTTATCTCCTTCAAGGCGTCGGTATAGCAGTGAGGGGTCTGGGTGGGAGGACAAATCCGTTCCTAAAATTACCCCGCCAAAACCAAAACCAGCACATCAACTGATCCTCAAGCGATCAGATTCTATAATGGAGGTGATAGCACAGGAATGGTCAAGGGAGGGAGTTTGGGGTGTATGGAAGGGATCCAACGCAACATTCATCTATGGCTTTCTGGCGAAGACGGTCGAAAGTTGGTCAAGCAGCATGATTTCGGCGGTGCTGAATATCCCGGATCCAGGATTAGCAACACTCGGAGCACAAGTTGATGTAGCTGGTTCTCCTAGTCCATGGACATCTTTAAGTGTAGCAATAGCAGCAGCAGCTACTGCCAGCCTCATTCTAGCTCCTTTGGATCTTGTACGCACAAAGTAAGTCATATGTCGCTTTCTACATAGCACAATGCTAATCCAAGCAGGCTGATTCTCACCCCAACTGCGAATCCTAAGCGATCGCTTACCCACAACCTCAAAACCCTTCCTTCCTTCATATGTCCTCCGTTACTTCTCATTCCCACCATTCTCCATTCCATAATAAAGCCAACTATATCACACTGCACCCCGCTCATTCTTCGAACCCGTCTCGCCATTGACCCAGTTCTTACCCCTACGAGCTACACAACGTTTACATTCCTTGCTCAAACACTAGAAATATTCATCCGTCTACCACTTGAAACCGTTCTACGTCGCGCACAAGCCGCAGTGCTCATATCCCCACAATACAACGAATCACAAGACCTCAAAACAGTCGTCGACATTGGCCCATATAACGGGGTAGTAGGTACAATGTGGTCCATTGCACGAGAAGAAGGCGAATCATCTAGTCCAGAACCCATCGCCAGTGTAGGCGCGGCAAAGCAAGTAAGGAAAGTCAAGAAAGTGCAAAAGAAGGGACAGGGAATTGAGGGACTATGGAGAGGTTGGAGAGTCGGAGTATGGGGCTTAGTAGGAATGTATGGGAGTAAGGCTATGAGTGGTGTTGGAAGTACCGAAGGAGAGTTTTGAGGATACCACAATACCTACTTTTTGTCTATGACGATCATCGGCGACTTTTGCAATTTATGAACATGATGGGATGTAATGGAGTTGTTTATTTGGTAACGATTGATTGGGTTGGGAGCGTAAAGAGAGATGGCGGAACATCTCAATTTGCGTATATATGGCGTGAAGGAAACTGGCGTTCGGATAGGTAACGAAGATATGTGCAATGAATAAAAAAGCGTACTCATCTCCACTTACTGTTCTGTTTTCTGCTTTATTATACTTTGCGTTATGTAATGGTGAGATTCACCTAAAAGTCCAAGTGGCCCGGTCTATTCTTCTCCATATAATATGGTGGTATTGCAGCAACCCATCTTCTCTTTGGCCTGTGACTTCCCCGCTTTCTGTCTTCAGGAGATCTCGTTTCTCCTCCAACAATCACTACAGTATAGGCAGACCCACTTCTCCTCTCTCAACCGCGTCCCCATATCAATATACTCAACACTCAAGAATAAAAATGAAAAAGAAATGGAGTACAGGAGATGTAAAATCTTATCGCTCCATGGGCGGTAGGAGGTTTCCTACCCCTAGAGTGTTTTCTATTGTAATCTTATCTGCTTAAACCCCGCGAATTGGTTAGGTACTGGAAGAATGTGGTGAGTGGGTGATGGTGAGTGGGAGGAAGTTGGGTTTACTAGTGGGTGATGGTGGGTTAAATGGGTTTGGGGTTTGAAATAGCAGGTTAGTTGGTTGATGAGGATGGCTGGTGAGGATGGTTGGGGAGGATGTACCCTTTGGGGATGAATTGGTTTTGGGGATAAGTTGGCTTTGGTTGGTGGTGTAAAATAGGTGGGTGGTTTGTATCTTAATTATTGATTATAGTATGGTTGGAGATGAAGAGCATTGGAATTGTAGCATGATATGGGGAATTTAAAGACATTTCCATTTCCATTTCCATTTCCATTTTGGCTTGGTTTTGGTTTGGCTCGGTTTAGGATGGATATCTGATTATTTGATCATTAGGCCTTCTCACAAAAGACCTGCAATATTCTCTATAAATCCGTATAGTCAAGTTCATTACTGGAACAAAGTACACTTTGACTTAAATGAGTAATGGAAAAGACCAAACCAGCTCTTCTCATTCCTAGGTCTTCAATTTGCAATAAGTACTAAATAAATAAATATACATGACATCGATAACTCATCCGAATGAATCAATCAATAGTTCTACCCAGTCCCCAGACTGACTTGTCATTATTACTCGACTCCTCAAAGGAAGATGGCTTCAGCCTCACTGCTAGCTAACGCTCCTAGAAGCATTCCTGTTAATGAAATAAAAAAAACGAGTTTCCAGCTCCTTTTAACGCCATAATTCTGAGGATTGGAATTGTTTACAAAGGTATCTGAGAATGACAGTGGATGACTTTGAATCGCCTCTTCGAGTTAGAGGAAGAATCTTCGGATTCCTTCTGCTCATCTCGCTTGTTTGGCACCCTAAGGAACTTTCAGATCACCGTGGAAGGGCCTTCGTCCATCGGCATAAGGGCTTATACGCGCTCCGCTTTTGCCTTAACCTACACAAATCATGTTAATCTCATCATTGATCTTATCCCAAGCTTTGATATGCTCTACCGCACTCGCAGGAGTTTGAGGTTGAGGTTGAGGCTCATTGGGAAATAGACATCATCCACCAGGATCTAGACGTATATTACTTACACCGTTGTCATTACCCACAATGGAAAGCTAAGTATCCTTTGCGGCACTTGAGGAGCTTTGGGGCTCATTATGAAATGGCCTCTGTCCACCGGGAGGAGGAGCTATACTCTCCCCACCTTGACTCACACCCATCATTTTCATCCCATAGCTGATTTTATCCCAAGGTATATTTTGGTCCGTCGCACTTCCAGGACTATGAGGTTCATTGTGAATTGGACATTTTCCACCAGGAGAAGGATGTGCTCCACTTCCACCCTCAGCACCCTTATGAACCAAGTTATTATCCCCCTTGCTACCCCTACCCAATGAAGAAGCTACTTCCATAAACGCCTTATTGCGATGAAACGCCAAATCATATCTCATCTGCGCTGCCCGCTGCTTATCCTGCGCACTCTCGTGCACTGGAGACTTCGGCTTTTGCGCCTCTTTCCACGCCTCAAAGAGCTCCAACGTTTGCATCCTTCGTTCACGGGCGGCTGCTATTTCTTCGCTCAAATGACGCCATTCAGCTGTTCGAGCTGCCCTTTCTGCATCTTCTCGCTGCGTGTTTTTATAGCTGCGGTCATATTCCTGCAACTTGGCGTCCATCCGAGCTTTGAATTCTGTGGGAGAAAGCTTTTCGGCATGGAGTGCGTCGAGCCAATGTATTTCTTCTTTTTCATCTGTTGTTTCGGTGGGAGAATCCACAATCTCAACCTTCTTCCTTTTCTTTTCAAGCTCAGCAACCTTTTTGAGTAAACTTTTCGGATCATCTTGTTCTTCGTTTTCAGAGTCAGAGGAGAAATCCTCTTTTTCATACGTAGCTTCAACCCTCCTACTCCATTCATCGAGCACATCATCCCTCAACTTTTGATTTTCGTCATCTCTCCTTCTGATTTTCGCCTCAATTGAAGAATCTTTGCTCCCTTCAGATGCATCAAAATCAGGCCGATCAACTGAATGCTCACCCCGATCTTTTTTCGCATGTTCCTTGGCATCTCTTTTGCGCGTCACATCAACAGAAGAGCGGGTATCTGTAAGTTTTTCTTCCCCTGAGGACTCGGATGACTCGGATAGTGCAAGTCTATATACACGCCCTTGGGCTGCAAAATCGCGTTTTACTTCGCGCATTATTCGTTCTCTTGCATCTTCGAGTAATCCTTTCCTGAAGGCACGTTGGCTTTCGGGGCCATCTTTTTCTGGAGGATTCGATGGAATGTATTTCCATCTAGAGCCTGGATGTTGCGAGGTTCCTGGGCCGTGGACATCCTCATAGTCAAGTTGTTTATCTAAGTCGTCCAGGGCTTCTTCCCACGCTCTTGCTTCCGGGCTGAGGTGGTCGCGCCCATGGGGTGAGGGTGGGAAATCTGGGGGCCGGGTGAGCGGATTGTCGAGTTCGCGAGATGATTCCTCTGTTCCTAGTGGTTCTCTTCCGGACTGGATTGACATTTTAAGAGTTCTCGCAGAATATTTTACGTGATATTGCTGTAGATGACGGGAAAAGACAATCAAAATTTGATATTTGATAATGCAGCTTAATACAACAAAGAGAAATTACTCTTGCTTGAGACCTTGAGATGGAAAATAAATGACGCATGCGGAAGGAAACCAAACAAAGGAAACAGGATGTAAGAAAGGCATAAAGCATTTATTGAACAAGACAATGCGTTTGTTGTTTTTTGATAGACTTTCTCAGATTTACACTTGAACGTTTGAACATAGTCCAACATGGAGTTATCGATCTACAACTCATCTTTCCTCATTTCTAGCTCTAGCAGTAGTCTCGAAATAATTGATTCAGGCATTGCATCTGGGTTGATTTGAATTCTCTGCCTTGAAAAAAAAAAACGTCTTGAGATTAACCACCTGACTTGTGATTTGACTTTTTGTCTCTGCTGTGCTCCAGATTTCCTACAGATTTGCTTCCGAAAGGTATTTTGGGGTAGTATATTTGAATATTTTGGAGACTAAACTTCGAAAAAGCTTTTAATCATGGGTATTCATAATCACCTCGAGAACTAAGAGAACAAAGGGATTAGAAAGAGAATTGTGAGGATTTTACTTGGGTAACAAAGGAATATTTAGCCAGACGGTGCTTAGGTAGACTTGATGCAATATTTCTCGCGAAGGCCATTGTTCAAGGACAGTTCAGAATTTTGGAAACAGATGCTAAGATAGTGTATAAAAAGTAAAGACATGGAGAATAAACTTATCCTCACCAACCTACTGATATCTCCTGAGTTTGAAAGCATAGTCCCAATCACTATACCAAAACTCTCAAATATCTTACAGGAATCGTTTCTAACCCCGTTCAAACTTCACAAACTGAACTTGAATCACCAACCGCAAAAATGCCTTACACTGCACCACCAACTAGCAAGATATCCATCTTTTCGCCAAATGACTTCACTGATATTGATTTGCACTCAGATGAAGTCCCAAAGGAGCAGGTAAGCACGAAGCAGAACCCACAGTTCGACAAGGCAAGCAAGAAAACTGCGAGACGATGCTACCTCATCCCAATTGGCATCTTGATCGTCATCATTGCCATTCTTGCGGGGTTTATCGCCTTCCTGTTGAATAATCCTGGTGTCATAGGAAAGCCATGCCCAGTCCCAGCCAATTTCAACGAGCCTGCCACATTAGTCCACACTCGAACCATCATTCGAACAGGCTCCTTGAACACAACGAAAACCACCACACAAACAGCCAACAAGACTCCTCTTACGTCTCAAGCCACAGGTATGGCCAGTGGCATTGATCCTGTCGCAGTTGCAACTTGTCTAGGTGTTTTGGAAAACGCCTGCGCAATGAAAAATTCATCGACAACTTTCGGTGAGTGCGATCCGTTGTTCGAGTTTTTCTATTGTGACCTGACCGATATGAGAGTGTTTCGAGGTGCAATGGAGCCCGATGCCGATGGTTCGAGTCCCGTCTGTCAGCCAATGAAGAGATTTTGTTCAAAAGCTACTACCTTGAACAAAAAATCCGTTTAGTCAATGTCAGTCCGTAAACGGTGAATCCCGAGAGCGGGGTGCAAAGAGAAACAGCAAAATCACGTAACAGCAATATAGAATTTTCCCCATGAATTTGTACTCAACCTTAGATGTGAAGATAAATCAAACTGAAAATACAATGTACACTTGTTTTAATAAAAGTCACAAAACCTTAAATGTGTAGGGAATTGCGAAGGAGCGGGCCCCTAATATTGACACTGCTTGCAGTGACAAGCTTGCACATATACAAGTTCTTGAACCGCGAGAACTTCCGAGGAGCATTGAAAAAATTGTAGGAATATATGTACTGCATCCGTTTCTTTTGCGTTGTGTATATATTAAGCCTAATCCGACCATTTAAAACATCTCCACGCCGGATTTTCTCGCCTGCGCGGCAAACAAGACTCTGGAGAGATTCATTCTTCACGGAATAACGACCTCAGAAGCTTCTGCGGTGCCCCGTATGAATGGTGTAGTGTTAAACTGGTGTATCCTTCCGCCGTCCTTAACTTTCTCGTTTGACCCGTCTCGCCATTCGTTTGTTCTCTCTATTCAGGTTGGCGGGCGATGAGCAATAGTAGAAAATGTTCGATCAGAAGGTCCAAGCATTCCTAAATTCATAGATTAGAGTCTGCCGATGTTGAAGCTCCAATCTGCGTCAATTTGAGAAGTTCCCTTGGATTTCGCCATCCGTGAGCAACGACAAAATTACCGGTAGCCTTACCTACCTGGTAGGTAGCTGGCTAGCGTTCTAAGCGTCTGGGCATAATTAATTAGCGAGTCAGACTAAGATTTAGTATCTCATGAACGTCGAGACTACGAACTTCAAGAAGACTTTCAATTATTTCCAATATTCTCGACCGCCGCCGTGATTGTTAATTTTTTGGTGTTCTACCACTTACACTATAAATATAAACTACTAGAAGTCTAGGTCATGTGCATCTTCCACTTTTGAAATGAGCCTTATTGTGTTCCCAGGTCGACTGAGGAATTCCAGAGTTCTGGATGCCTTTGTGCAACGACGGGGAATGAGGCACACCGAGTAGGAATATCCGCAAGTTATCATTTTCGATCCTTGGCTGACATTGTCAGACCTTGCGTGTGTCCTTGGCTAATGGAAAAATGCTTTGCTCAAATGGAGCCGCCCTCCAATTTTCAGGGATATAAAGTTTTCCAATTTCTGCTCCTCTGATTTCTTGCTGGAAGTTGACAAGTCACAGTTATTGACCCGGCTTCAGTAACTTTTGCAGTAGTAAGCCGCGCTCTAATTCTTCCGGACGATACATACCCCAATCACTTGCAGGCACATATTGCATCGCAAGTGCATGACTGGACTCAAAAGTGGCCTTTATTGGCGGATATCCACAGAAATATTTTTGTAACTCGTTGAGACGAGGCAAATTTTGTGATCAAAACGAGGCAACCGTGCTAACGAGAAAAGGGAATCACTGCCCAGCCAAAGTGTCTTTGTACGTGTTGTCTGCGAGGCGCATTCAACCCATGACTGCATGGTGTGCAGTAAAATAAAGTATATATTGGGGACTTCCCACCTCAAAAGATGTTGAAAGTAGAAGCAATTTTAGATATAGAAAAAGTTGGCATGCCCCTTTTCTCCTGTGGTACATTATGTACTCAGAAACTCTCATCCCGTTTTCATGTGTCTCGATCATCGCTAAATAACAACAGGCCTCGGAACATTTGATTCGCCCATGTGGCTATATACCCACATGATCACATCTGATTCAACAAATCATGGATTGTTTGAGATTGCACAAATGGATTGAAAGTTCGCAATTCTTTGATGAGGACTCTCCAAGTTATAGCTCACGCAGCTTATCCGAGTCTTGTCCGAATTTTGAGCCTCAATATACAACATGCATTCTTCGCCTGAATAAAGACAGCTCAAACAATTCACGATCTTTCAGAGATATGCGCAAGGAGAAGTTGAGGTACATTACAATCGGAAAAATGTCAAATTTTCTTGAGTATGTAGTTCACATCCTTGCCAATTTTCTTTCTTATTGCTCAGCGAAATCATTCCAAGATGGGACACTCCATGTTTATCTCGCGATGTTCTACAACAGCCACCTCGTTTGTGATAGGCTTTTTGTGCGCAACTAATACCGTATCAGTAATAAACTAATCCCACACCAGTTTATATCTACTAGGATGGCCTTTTGCGCCCCTACCTTTGTCTAAGTGGATGCTGTGGAGTAGATACATGGGTTAGCTAGCGGTACTTCTATTTCACTGGTTGAAATCAGCAGATATTCCCAGAATATTGTAAATTCTGGGACAGAAGGGTTTTCGTTTGCTTGAAAGACCATAATGTGTCATTTAGGTTAATATTTATCTCGTCGCTTTTCCATGCCAGGATAACTCAAGGTGAAAGTTGCTACTACGTCCCGATGTATTTTGGTCGCATCATCCCGTCGGACGGCAAGAGGTGCATAGAATGTGCAGTGTTAGGCCAGGATTATGGTTTAAACATTAGGCCGACATCCAATCAATGCCCGTCACGAGGACTATATAAAATCTCGGTACATTGATCTTGCTAACCTCCAAAATTGAGTTGGATAATCGATATTTGTTTGCGGTTCCTTACTAAACTCCTTCCCCTTGGAAGCTCAAAAGATACGAAGTTCTAAGCCAAAAAAAAACTAGCTTTTCTTGGTAAATCGTTGCAAAGACAAGCCTGGGGAAGGATGCCTGTGTTGGCTCAGAAATGAGTGTGAGTATGCTACCTCTCTGGACTTGTAATGTCTCCTCATCCGTTTTTCGATATAGAGACACTTGCGACGATAAACAAATCAGGGCATGCCAACCGTTTACACGATGGCTCACCAAAGTTATACTAGTTTCCTTTTCAACGTGAACGAGCTGCACGTCAATCAGGAACCCGATAACGGGGGAATTCCGCCGAGAGCAAACGAGAATGGTCGATGGGTGCCGCCCATTTACAGAGCTGGGTTTGCCTCTCAAACTTCCGGGCGAGTATTCAGATGGGCCGATGGTTATATCACTGATGCTGGAGGCAATTATCACTGGTTTGATGGAGACGGATGGAACTATCCAAATAATGAAATTCTTCACCATTACAGAAGCACAAGCTTATTTTGGTGCAATGAATTCACGCAGTTTCAAATGATGGAAGCGGACGCAACCACGATTGATATTGCCACGTCAGATTTTCCGAACAACAGATGGTACCCGTTAACTTTTCAGCATGATGGGTCGCTTTCACGGGTGTCTGCTTCTTTGGAGGAACAATACCTTGCTGGGAGAGAAGGAGCTTGGATTGATCAGCTAGGGCTTCAAGCGTACCGACATCATAGGAATCGACCAACCAACGGACTCGCTGGGAATCTTGCTACCATCGTGGCCTTGCTTGCATTCTCTTGCACCGACGACCATATGTTATACAGTGCCCTGGTTAACTATGCCACATGGCGAAGGCAGTGGGGTAATCATGATGCACAACATGGACGTAAGATATCAGTCCAGGCCACAGCGATGACCAAACTTCTGACAAGAATAGGGCTTCACGAGAGAGGGGTTGTGGCCAATATCTACCTGGACCCAGAGAACCCCAACGGTTCCACTGATGATACACTCTATCATCTCGAATGGGAAGATGGTCCTATTATTTATTGAAACCCGATCCTTCGGGGCTACATCTACCGAACACAATTTGTTGATATCTCCTCACCTCGCTTCGATTACTCGAAGAGTGTTCAGATACTTGAAAAAATCCTTGCGATTGATATTCCTGGAATTCAACTCTCCTGGCGATCGACTGAGAGCTTACTTCCAATCTGGAAAATATGATATGGTGCCCTCTGGTTGATGATTCTTCTCTTCAGCCATGTACACTTTCCAGAGTGTTTGGATGCATGTCTTGCCGATTCATTTTCTTGATTCTACCTTATTTTGAACTTCATATTGAAACACTTGAGGAGTAATCAATATCTGATGTTGTACAACTTGGCTGGAGGAGCCAAATTATAAATATGTGATGGTAAATGATTTGCAGCGAGTCTCTCACATAGTTACACCAATTGCTTGTGATCGAAGTCGCGGATAATTCTGTCCACAAATCTGTCTATTTCATAATATACTAATATGAACTGAATATCTCATAAATTTACCATAAAGATGTGCCACGAGCAGGCCGTTAGTATGCCTGGAATTTCTCTCTGATGGTGTGTATCCTCGTATTGGCTGGCTTGAAATGCGCCTGCTAAGATTATACACTCAATTTCATAACGTGTATCCAAAACTAGGTAACATTCAAATATTTTCATAAAATCAAGAAAATTAAAAATTCAATTTATAATAATTTCGTCAGATGATATCCAGTTGGAATAAAGTTAATATCAAATGATAACAAATAAATTGATTTATGTTTTGAATAAATTTCAATTAATTCTAAATTATCATTATAAAGATGCAATTTTGAAAAAGAAAAACTCGAATATATTTTCATTAATTGAATACAAAAAATCACATTTTTTTCAGACGCACATTATGAAAGTAAATATATGCCGAGTACCTATCACAGCATCGTACGTGGCTTAGCATAATACGGCCTCGCTGGGTGGTGTTTTAGATCAACCCCTCCCTCCCCCATTCGCATCATTTGTTCTCTACTTGCTCAAACTTTCTATAATATCAATAGATCACTATGTCATTCGGCTGGTCAGCTGGCGATATTGCACAAGCGATATCTGTAATTTTCAAGACGGTGAAAGCACTCGATGATGCTGAGGGCGCCCCGGCCGATTTTCGCAATACTGTAACGTTTTTCCAAAGTGTGAATTTGACCTTACAAAGGCTTCAATCCCTCATAAATACTGGAAAACGCTCTTCATACGACGATCAAATACGAAAAGAAGTCGAAATCATCAAGCCTTCCTTGGAACGATTTCTCGCCATCAGTCGAACCTTCGAAAGTAGTTTAGGAGACAAAGCGACACCAGGTCGCTGGAAGCATATACCCAAGAAGTTACTATGGAGATTCAAGGACTCCAAAGCCGTAAAAAATCTAAAGGAAGAGATCAAAGACCACCTGCCAATCTTGGACAAATGGATACTTTTCTCCATGGTGTGAGTTATCGTATTCAAATATTCAGATTGTCATTTCACTAACAGCTGCATTTCAAGCGAAATTATTCAGGATTTGCCAGCGGAGCTTCAAAAACACTTCATCGACGTTCTCAATGACCAGATAGTCTCGATTCTACAGCTCCAACTCAATCCCGTTCATGACGAGCTGCGAATGGTAAGAACAGAGGGAAGAGAGCATTACAAATATTTGTTTTCAGAAGTTGGGCAGAGCATTCTTAAATTGAGTTCTCTTCAGTTGGATATTGCATCACAGGGCCATGCGACACAGCGAAATTTTGACAAAGTCATGTCAAAGCTTGAAAACAAAAATTCATATGACGATGTCGTTAAAGCCATCAATGAACATACAACGAGTACTGTCAAAGACATGCTCGGTAACATTCAAGCACTACCTCATGCCTCTTTCCAGCAAGCCAGTATTATTCGGGCCGGTAATGGAATACCCATCCTTCCGTCTTCTCCGAAAGTAAGCTCCCAGCTCTTCGACCAAGAAGTTGGAGACACAGAGTCATTACGAAAGGTGTAGGTGTTCATATATTGTGAACGAAAAATTTATTCTAATAGATATATGCAGATACTATATGATACTCCTGTACGCTGGACTGATGGCTCGTAATATTTTGTGAGCTATTTATCTTCCCTTTAAGTCAAAATCGGCACTAACAGACTAAAGACTTCGCTTAGCTAACCTGATGGAGCCGTCGAGGGCTCCGACCCCATACTTCTTGCAAAATACCACATAACATTTTACGATGCGCTGGGGCGCCGTCCCAGAATTTTACAGTATGACACTTTCGTGAACTTTAAAGTACTAAGTATGTGTCTAGTATGTTAGGATTAGACTCTAATAGGCGCGTAGGTCTTTCAAGCATTTCTACACGAATCTTTCACTGGCACAGCTGGAAGAGACTGGGTGGAGCGAGGGTCATATCAACTCGAAAATAATTCAACTAAGACAGTACTATTGGCCAATACATGGTCGCGATCAGTATTCCCTGGTTGCCGCGTAGGTATGGCCATGATGGTGAGTCGGTCTAATAGTTCACGAGACGTACCTGTTCTTGAGAACAAATGTCCTGCATCTGGTTGCTCCGGCACCCTCCGTAGCCAAGTCTCTTCTTTATGGCAGAAGTGGTTCGTAAAATCTACTTAATTTTGATTGTTTTTAAGCTCATTTTAAAAGTCCACTATGCCAGATGGAAGTACGCGAGTCCGACATTAATAACGTTGATGAGGGAAGCAATGCTGTCTAAGAGTAAGCGAATATCAACACTTCTGAGGCTATCGAGAGCGATATTATTCATTTTTCTCGACTGGTGTATTTGACGCAGCCAAATAGATGTGACAGCTGCAACAGACCAGAGACTCTTGAATGGGGAACGCAACCAGACGGAACCCGTACGCTTTGCAATGCATGCGCGTCAAATTCTGTGATGCTTAATCGCAACGAGGTGGTGGAAGTCACCGAAAGTGAACTTCAAATAACTCATACCCTAGAGCCACACCCTAGACTAAACTATCGCCAAGGGTACGTACGGGTCTGGTCCTGCTGCTGGTGCCGGGATCCGCGGGGAAGATTCAGGGCGTCAGGAATGACAGTCGAAATTTCTGGATGTCCGGAGTGTGGTCATATAAGGTGTTACGTCTGCGATGTTCAACAACTCAGGGTACGCAGGTAAAGGTAGCCATAATGACACAGTAATTTCAGTTGAGTCATTGCCCTGTTCTATTTCTACAGGTAGGGAAGATATGTGACAAGAAATTGTCATGTACATGTTGATCCACCAAGGTCAACACATCGTGAATATTGAATAGAGTGGTTCCCATAATATCTACTGTGAAATACTAAATACCTTCTGGTACGGTACAGTATGAATAGGGTTCCTGTACCTGCAGCGTGTATCATTCTCCGTTTCACTCTAACAGCAATGACGTAGAGCAACACTGATCATCACGAGTCTCTTCGAAAGTACACAACATCAAAACTTTAACATTTCATTTCAAACATTCCTATAAATCGAATGATGTTACTTTTCCCCTTGTCATAAGCTTGAATTGGAGCGCATGCAACTGTATAATTTATCTTCATTACAAAAGCTATATTATCTCATCTAAAATAAAGAGAAAAGCCTTATGATATATAGAGACTACTTGCTTCGCATTATCCCTTTTTCCCTTTTCCCTTTCTCTCATCTCATACTACCTGTTCGCATAAAATAATGCAATCTAATGTTGCAATGCTGTAATGCTCAACAGCAAGCGAGCTGGAGATACTCCATTCATAGCCTATCAATTCCTTGTGTATATGTAAATAGTAAAGTATTCTTAATGCTTTAAGATAATATTTTTCCACTTTATTATGGAATGAAGTTCTAGTTTCCTGAGTCCCTTTTGGGTAGCAACATGTGACTATGGTAGTCGACCTGGCTCTAGACCATAAGATTGGCAAGTCACGCAACCAAAAGAAATCGCGCTCGAGGTGTCTTCAAGATATAGAGAGACTTTCTTCAGGGTTATTCAATTTAAAGAAACCAAGAACTGGAGACTCAGCAGCTGAGATGTCCCGGAGAATCCACTTCCCAGAGGATCAAGGGTATCGGCCTCGTCCGAAAGAAATCTCTCGTGAATTTCACCAACATTTCCAAGGAAACTCAATCCCATGCTCCTACTAGAAGTATCACCATAATTGAAATTATAGATCAAGACCTGATCAGGTGAATGATTATTCCTATCATCAATGTCAGCAAGTCTGGTAGCTAAAGAAAGAAGTATACTTTCCTTGAAGCTACCGGCATGAGAATATCTATTGTAGAAAGCAAGTGCCAAAGAATTTTAATGAGTGCTTTGTGAGATTATCCTGTGAAGAAAGGATCATTGTAAAGAAACCAATAAAGCATTTAACTTTTCTAACCTTCTCATGGAGCCAGCCTAGTCCGGAATTCATTTCTCCTATACGTCATCTCAAGCAAAGAAGAAGCGAAATGAGAATGATTTAAATTTTAGGAATCCAAGTTCTATGGCTTGATAATGTACCGTACGAGGAGGAAGTTAATGCTAGTCGCCATATTTAAGAGTAAACATTGGCACGCTACACTAATTTTTACAGAAATAGCAGAATTGTACGGTAGTAATGGATTCTATACAGCCTCAATGGAATCGGTTCGCTTAGTGCCAAAACAAAATTGTTATTTATTCATCCTCCTAGGGTTGATAATTCCCTTCCTGATTTTTTCCTATAGTCATTGATCTTGGACAAAGATTAACCCAAAAAATTTACTTTTCATCAACACAGATCTATCAAGTATAAAGGTATTTTTAACACTCTCAATCCAACTGCCCATCAATCCAAGAAAAACTAATAACTCACTCATCCACTCTATATGCAACAAGATGAATTCTAACAGTTTCGCAGCAGATTCTATGTCAGAGTCAATCGCGGCTCTTGAAAAACAAGAAGATTTCAAGGAAAACATGACGGCCGATGAGTTTGACAGAGATATGGTTGATCATCGTCGAGAACTTATGGCCGCAAGTGCGACAGCGCTTCAAGTTGTTCGGGCGGATCATATTAGAGAGCTTCAGGTTGCTCAAGGGGGTCATGTGAGAGAGCTTCAGGCTGTTCAAGAAGGCCATACAAGAGAGCTTCAGGGCCTTCAAGCACAGCTTCGGGCTGTTAACGCAGGTCATATGATAAAGCGTCAGGCTGTTCAAGCACAGCTTCAGACTGTTCAAGCAGGTCATATGACAGAGGTTCAACGTATTCGAGCAGAGCTTCAGGTTATTCAAGCAGGTCCTCGGGCTGTTCCCGCAGAGCCTATGCGAATGTTAGTTGCCGGAGTCACAGTCTTTAGCATTGCCGTTTTTATATACCTCATTTTCGCATGGTTTTTAAATCAACCCCTTCGAAGTAAAAAGCCCCCATTCCTAAAATGTCTTGAAACTCTGCCAACTCTTATTTCCTTTCGAACAGATCAAAATTAATTCCTCTGAATCTTCTTCCCGCATTCGCTCTAAGCGGTCGATTTCGTTAAGCTCCCTGACCACCTCTGCATTTCGGTACGCGAAGTTTAGTTGGATTAGTCAAAATTATAGAATGCGCCCCTGGAACTTTATTGTATACGGGAATCGGAAGGAAGGCCTGCGTGGACCAGTAAATAGCTTTTATAATTTCATGAAATATTTTATTCGGGGATTAAAGTGTGTCAATTATGATGGTATCACGCGTTGTTTTTACCTTTATTAAAATATAAGGCTATTATCTCCAAACATCCCATTCTTTATGATTGATACTGTGATATCCTCAATACTTATCTTGCCGTCATAATACATGTTAATAATAATAATAATAAGAGATATTAAATATTTTAAAAGAGTTGAAATTGTGAGTCATATACCTTGAGGTTTTCAACTCATTCATTCATCTATCCATGAACCTACCCATCATATAAAAGGAGACTTTTATTTCTTTTTTTGAAAAAAATTCATCTTTTATATATATGCTTTAGACCTGTTGTGAAATTTATTTATATAAATAATTGTCGGCTTGCTGTTACAAGGTAACAGTCAACCTGTCCACATGAGCTTAGGCCTCATCGAAAAACAAGGCAATTTGTATACAAATTTGTATGATAATCGATTCATGTAATCTCCCCACACCCTCAGCAAGCTCGGACATATGGTCTGATCCTAATTACGTGATGGAGCCCCTAGGAGCGTGGGCTCCCTTAGGCTCCCGAAAAGGATTAGTATATATTCAGAATAGTTTCATAGTTTAGGAGCTTCGTGCTCAACTTAGTTATCAATTAGTTTACCTACATTCCAATTGATCTAGTAACGAATTCACTTTCAAATGGATAACCAATGATTAATAGCCTTAACCCACAACTACCAACCATACGAAACCTCAGGCAGCCGCTGCCTCGACCAGATCGTTACAAATATATTATAAAGATATATTTATCTTGATCTTTTTTTATTTTAAATATAACTAATAAGGATAATTATAATAAAGAATTAAAAAAGAATTAATTTGATTAAAACAAATTAAGAAATGATTTAAAAGATTAGGAAAATATTAGTTTTTGAGTCTAGATTATATATAATATATAATTATTTTTATATAAAAAATTATATTTTTTTTTTAAATTTATAATTTTCTCTCAAATCCAAAAACTTAAATATAATCTTATATAACTATTTATACTTTCTCAATCAGTTTTATATATTCAAATTCAAAGATAGAAATATATATACTTATTTGAATAATCTAATCTTACAAAACCTCCTTGAAAATAAGCGAAATCACGTGGTAAGTCTCAGGATTAGTTAGCTCTGTTCTCTAGTTCTATAGTCTATAAGAGAGGAATAACTAGTGTGATTATTACGATAGGGGATTTGGTGTATTTTATGTGGGAGTTTGAGTTTGTGGAGAAAGAGCTATTAGAGGGGAAATAAAAGAAGTGGAAGTAGAGGTAGAGGTGATGACTGGTTGAGGCCAAGGGTATAAGATTGATGATAGCGAGGGCTGGAGCGAGTCGAGTTTAGTCGAGTCGGCATTATTTGGGTAATGATAGAATCTTATTGTGAAGGTATAAACTACAGTTATAAAACCGATGATAATCGTATTCACATTAATCAGCGCATATAAAAATAATTACAAATAATAATCTAACCACTTATTACGAACTCCTCAAATTTCCACACACACAAAAACTAACCACAACCCCCAATTCCCCAACCCCAATAAATTCCCCACCGTAATCCCATATCCCCCAAAAACATAAACTAATCCCCTTCTCCAAAAACCCACACCAATACCACCAAACCCCCTAACATCTCTAGATCGGGTGACGCGGGTCCGTTTATGAGAAGATAAATGCACAGCAGTATGTATTTGCGATAAATGGTTAAGTCCTGCATCGACGGGGTAACTTCGTGGTCGTGAGGGACGAACATGTGTATTTGCTGGTATGGGAAGTGAAGGGTCTGTGATTTGTAGTGGGGATATTATTAGGAAAGGAGGATCCGGAGTAGTTGGAGGAGGGAAATCTCGTAATGGGATGGCTTTGTGTGCTGGTTGTGGGGTTTGTATTGGATGGTCTGCTTGTGAGGTGTTTGATGAGTTGGCGATTGCGATGTCGTTTTGACTTGATTCTGATTCCGTTCCGTCTCCATTTCCAATTCTATGGTTTCTTGCGCTAAATTTTCCAAGTAACATACCAGTCTCTTTCAACCACTTCAAACACTTTTTCACTCTCCGCTCTTTCTTTCCCCATAACCTATTAATCGCATCGATTCCACTTCCCCCCTGCCCCTCGATCCCAATCCGTAACCCCCTTTCCGGATCATCCGTACGCATCCCCCCAAATTGTCTTCTCAAAAAAAGTATCATCCGCAATGCACACCACAATCCAACAATAACGGCAATAGTAATATAAGAAGCGACGATATATCGAGGGGGCAAAACTTTTTTATCTACAACGGTATAGATGAGGATCACGGTACCGGTGATCAGGAGGATTGTGAAGAGAGCGAGGGGGAGGAGACGGTTGGTGAAGGCGGTTAGCATGTAGTAGCGAGGGGAGCGGATTAGTGATGTAGAGGGTTTTGTAGAGGGTGGGGTAGGGGTAGAGGGAGTTGGTGTGGTGTTTGGTGAACTCATGCCGTGTTGATGGTTTGAGAAGGCGGTTTTGTGAAGGGGATGTGATGAATGAGTGAATGCGTGAGTGAATTCAGTCTAAATACACAAGTAAATAAATAAATCAATAAGGTTATAACTATCATCCACTACCTAGGTATCGAGTACTATTAAAATCTTCACAAGTCTGACAAAGGATTCTTCAAGCGTCACTACGAGTTTCTCGAGAATTTTTTTAGTCGATAGTTCTAGCTGAATCTACATCGTTGAAAACACGTTGAACTTATGTTCCACGGCAGATACAATGTATTCAGATCAGAGCCTCCGATTATATACTCGAATCATCAAGTCCAAGTCTCGAGGACTGTAGAAATAAGTTGTAGAGACATTTTTTCTACGGAGGCCTAAGTATCATCTACCATGTTGAAAATAAATTTGACATGTGAGGGTAGTGGCATTGTTGTGTGTGAAAGTAAATTTCAAGAGCCAAGTGTCAATAAATAATCTTATTCTGCTTGACTTCGACTTCGACTTCGATACAGAATCATAGATACTTCATATCTCCATTTCACTCGAAATGAAAAATGAAGGATAAAGTATGAAGTATGAAGGTTGATTAGAAACGAGACGTCTATATCTTTGCCATCTTGGTACGGTTTATGCGGGAATTGCATACGTGTGGGTCTTCGATATTTACACGACGAAACAGCTGAGAGAAATACTGCGAGGCAAAAACCACTCCACAAAGAATAATCCCACGAACAATCTCAAATTAAAAACGGCCAAAACATGGTCGTAAAATGTAATATTTATCTCATCAAAAATAAGTCGACCCCAAGACTTTAACACTAGCGCCTGTTAATGCAGAATTGCTACGCTCCTCCTTCCCTACCAATCTATCTATCGTTTTCCATCCCTAGAAAATATATTTGCGTGTGTGAATGTATTGGAGCCAAGATGATCTCAGCGATCTCAGCTCACGTCTGGAAGTCGGACCGCAATATCTCCTGATTGGGTGATGTAGCGAACCCAAGGGAGGGATGGATATTGTAACTATTAAAGAAGTTAGTAAGGAGTATTATCAAAGTGTACTTTGATGAAGAAACTAACCTTTGGCTCGATAATCTTCAAATACCTAACTTGAATACCACTTGTCGTAAAATATGGAATCTCAAATTTCACACTGATTGGCCTCTTCGCCCCTTTACCCCCAACACCACCCATACTTCCACCGAACCCTCCTGTCATTCCACCTCCATGTTCATCATCACCCTTCACACTCGGTAATCCTAACTCTGCCCTCATAAGAAATTCTTTACTTCCTCCAAATTGTTTGATCTTCCATACTATCGCCGATTTTTCTGGTGCATAGTGTACAGATCCAATATTTGTGCGGAAACGTGGTGAATCGGCATCCTCTGGAACTGGAACTGTAATTTCGACATTGTTAGCCGTACTGCGGCGTTTGAATTGCGCTTTGGCTTTCAGCATGTACTCGATTCTTGATCCAGAATGCGATTCCACAATACACTCAACCCAGATCAATGGTTTGACTTGAGTATTTAGACGGTAAGACATCAATTCGAATTCTCCATCGGGTGGAATGAAGGAGATAGTTCTATCGTTTTCGAAGCGTGAAAGACGGACACATTGATGAAATTTTACATCCTCCATTTCGATGGCCTTCCCTCGTGTCGCGCGTCCAGTAGTTTCAAACATTACTTTATCGTTCAGACCTAATCGCAATTCAGGCATACCTGACAGATAGCATTTCATCTTTATGGCACCGAGAATCTCGGACCGCAAAACATTTCCATTCGATGATACGAGTAAATTAAGTGATTCGACAACATCAAGGAACACCTCATTCTTCCTGTATCGAATTCCTTCTGATCTCCATGATACTGCATTTGTAACGGCTATAGGTGGACGGGCTTGGATTTCTAATTTATGCGATTCTTGTGTAATGTACTCTTGAAGGATTTTCGACTCCGTGGTTTGTGGATATCCAAAGTCCATCATTTCGTCTAGAAGTTCATAAATAATGACAAAGTTGTCTCGAATGGATTCTTCTTCAAGTTCTTTGAAGTATTCGGTGAAGACTTCGACTATTTTGTGTAAGAAAAGGAGGATTTCGGCGGCATTTGTGTTGCGTTTGGTGAGGGCTAGGAGGTAGAGATTGTTATGTCGAATATATAGATACTTGGAATAAGTCAGATATTACGATCGCAGATAGGTAAGAGTGAGGATATACATTTATTCCTTCATCTGAGAAACACGGTGGAACTGCGGAACTCTCTTCTTCTGCTTCACTTAAAAGTATTGGGAACTTTTCAACGGCGGACATAGGAATATCTCCTCTATAATTTCGGGCAAGAAGAGTCTGCAGTATTGTGTCAACATTGTTCAGAAGGCATGTCACCATAGAAAGTATATACCTTGCCCTTCAAATCGAGAAAGAAGACAGCAGATGCCATATTGTCAGGTAGGTAATCAAAGAAAGGAAAGTGATGATAATATCGATGATAGAAGGTGTGCCCAGTTGGCAGAGTAATATATCTTCAAAGAGTTTGTATCATTCGGAAATTTCGCAAAGAATTCCTCTTGATAATTCGACTTGGAATTGGGTTACCTTGAAGGTGTGTTCAGTTGAATAATAGCCCCACGTTCAAGCTTCCCCCTTCAAATTGATAGATCACCCATATCTATCTCTTCAGCCTTTCCCAGGTCCCAAACTAGTGAGATCTCGGCGGTCAACTTGATGAGGATCGACTAAGCTTAAAAGGTACTAGTTCCAAAGTGGCAGAATCTTCCCACCTTAAATATTTTCTTCTTTCAAGAAAAACTTCTTCTTTTTCCTTCAACGCGCCCTTTTAGACAGTGCAACTCAATCATATAAATATAACTTGTATTGACATTCTGTCAATACTTATCTTGTTTCCCATTGATGTAGTTAGCGATTTCGCGGCGCGGAGACGGATATCAAAGGTACCATAAGAGCTGGCCGGGCATTGTCTTTTTGACAACAGGTTGCCTGGGCGGCGTCAGAGGGACCATACATATGATTTTTGAAGAGAAGCGATTGATTTATGCTGCTCTACGCAGAGGCATCAAGAGCCATCGACGGCGGGCTTGAATTACTGTTAATTTTTGCTTAGAATTATATCTTCTTTTGCTTGAAGTCATTGGTACTTGTCTTGCTGCTGCCAAAGGGGAGCCATGCATACAAATGTGAAGGGGAAAGGTGATTTGATGTCACTGCACGATAAAAAATTCAAGAGCCATTCCGGCACGTTCAAACAACTTCAACCGTTTACTCGGATGTTATTATATTATATTATATGTTCTTGCTTGAAGTTATTGTTACATTGATACTTGGCTGTGAGGATTTGATGTAACATGTGGAAGGAGATGCGACATACATAAGCTGCGAAACCCTGCATCATGAAGTCGAAGATAATCATTTATCTCAATACTGCTTGCTCTGTGAACATCTTCAATATTAGATCTCTCCAGCCCACTACCGGTACACCTCCGTAACGATTTGTGGAATGCGGGATGCAAGATATTAGGATTAGGGTACATTCCTTTCGTTATCCCGAAGTTTCATGAAGTCGATGATAACTTGATCATTTTTATACTAAACATCTTGAATATTATCTTCTCCTACCCAATTTGCTATATATACATACATGTATCAGAATATCCTCCAACCAACCTTTGTCCTAATTCTTCAAAATCATCAGGAATCACCACCACCTTGTATCAAAATTTCATTGGTCATAAAGCTACACATCAAAATTGATTCGGACACGATGATGCGTTTTTACCGAACCAGCCAAAAGCAATCAAGATGGTCACATGTGAATGCGTTTTCTACGACTTGTATCCTCCGACCCTTCAATGGTTTGCGCCATGTGAATTTACGACCATATACAGCTCAAAATTAAGAGGAAAGAAAGAGGAAAGAACGAGGACAAAGAGAAGAGAAATACATTTCGACTGACTTTGGAGGATTTCTTTTTAATTTTCAAGGAGTCAATTTGTTTTGTTTGCCTTGACCAAAATCCTCATTTGCAGCATTTGAAAATCACCCATCTTATCGTATCACAAGCAAAAAACTCCCCGATCGAATACTCAACTCAACAAGTACAACCCTTTAAAACCTCCAGGGACACCATTATTTCAGCAGTACACATATGCCGAGTATTAATTGTCCAATTCTATCCCTCACGAAAAATTTGCAGCAATTTCCGCACCACCGTCGGCGTTTGATATCAAAATGGAGCACAATCACATGTTAGGGGAATGCCCCCCATCCTACGCATCTCACGACCCTCAATCCTTGAATTTACCTTCTATACCTACCACGGAACCACCATCGATTCATCATGACCGAGTTCTACCCCCATTACCTCCTATGTCTGTAGAGCAGAAATATCGGCAAGAACCAGTTTTAGAAGTACAATCAACATGGCCGTCTTCGAATCCTTTAACCGCATATTATCAACCAGGTCCCTCGCAGCTATCGCCTAAAGCAACAACCAGAAGAAACACGGATTCGCCGAACGCTATGGACTTAGATTTATCAGATAATAGAGCAAGGCGGGGAGGGAGTGTGCTATCTATAGACGATCCAGATGTGCGACTTGCTGCTGAAGCATTAGGTGATCTTCGCGCCGGTAGGTTTTTTTTGAAGAATTTTCGATATCTTAATTTTAATTTCATTGGCAGATTTCATACAGTCTCCTCCTCATCATCATAACAATGCTGCTTCCAACTCGCCTCGATTTAGACAAGGTAGTTCAACACAACCGGAACCTCTCCTCTCTCTCCTCACCACATCCCACCCGTTCATTGGTAACGCGATAGGTGGTTCTTTATCCGCATATTCGGCTTCCAAGAATTATAGTCCTCGTTTCAAATCTAGCGCAGAATATGTTGAGAGAAGGATTACTCCCGTCGTCAATACAATCAATTCCGTTAATCGTATCACTGGAGTTGAAGGGGGTGTACGTTGGTTCCTTGGTGGTCGTCGACCAAGTCATCATGGTCCTTCCGACACGGAGTCCGACTCCCCTTCTCATAAACGTCGAAAGGTCAATACCTCTTCTCCATCCGACCTCGAAGGACAGCCCATGCAGCTTGAAGTCCAATTTGATCAACAACGCCGTCGTCGACCCAGTCAGGTATCGACAACGGATAGCCTTCCTGCATATGATGATCAGCGCAGTCCCAGCTACGAAGCCACACAACAAGCCTTGATACCATCGAACCGGAGGTCGGATGAATCCGCATCGCCTGGTAGCTCATGGCAATCCCGTCTTGTCCTCTCGACCTCGGGACTTAGTGTCGCCATGTCAGAAGAGTCACTCAGAAGTCTGAAATACTGTCTTAGTTGGATTCGTTGGGCAAATGAGCACATAGGAAAGCTCATTGTGGCATTGAAATCAGTTTTGGAGCAATATGATAATTCTGGCACCATTGCTGACGCCCCTTATTCCGACAAACGAACTGATAATAATCAGAGACAAGTGGTACTTCATACAGATGACCAACGGTCAGCCTTGACTGCAAAAATTGCACAATTAAACAAGGATGTTTTGAAGACCCTAAAAGAGGTGGTGGACATCGTCTCGAAATATGCTGGCGGTGCTTTACCTGAAAATGCTAGAGATCTTGTACGTAGGCACTTAACATCCTTGCCTCGAAGATTTCAAATTGCAAATTCCGTTTCAAATGGTGAGAATAGGAGCCATCGGGATGGAGATAGTGAGGCCAAAGAAGGTGCGCAGAGGGTTATGGTGTTGGCGAAAGAAGGTTTGGATATGATGACTCAAGTATCAGGAGTTTTAGACGGCACTATTGTTAGTGCGGAAGAATGGTGTGAGAAGTTAGGTCGAAAGAAGCGGGAAGAAAGGGAAGCTGCTACTCCACAAGATGAAAAGATGACGAATGATGGAAGTGAAAATGAAATTACGGAAATGTTACCCGTCCCAAGTGGAGACGTCAAGGTGGGCTTCACGGGATTTGGTGAAGAGAGACCTACACTCGTTTAAGAACTCAAGACACTCTTTCGTCCATATTTTGTTTTTAACTGTGGGCACACGGCCACATGTGATGGAGTACTTCTGGACATGGAATTGGAAAGACATGAAAATTGGCGTATTGATATCGGGGAATCCAGGCGTCGAATTGTGAAATTGGATAAATGGCGAAGCGCGAAAGGGAAATATGAGAAATGGTTATATCTCTTCTGGTTCATCGAGATAGTTTTGCTATATACCATACGCGTTACTGGGATTTGTACTGTACTGTACTGTTGATGGATTTGTGAAATGTGGAAATATTCCTTGTTTTATTTTGTTTCGATTTGTTTTGATGTGATGTGAATGAATATTGTTATTATCATGTTAAACTCGGAGGCGAGGTATATGATATTCATCCACATACCTTTTAAACAGTTTCTTCCGTTTGAGGACCTGGAATAATAGTTATATCCATCCCTATGAGCAGTTTCCCCGAAATGAACCTACGAGCCTGTAGTTCTAGCTTGGGAATTCATCGTCGTTGAGACGGCGGGGTGTTTTTGGGGAGTGGGGGTGGGGAGAGATGACTATATTTTTCGATATAAATATTTTGGTATGGATGATTTTGGGATTGTTTGAATTTGAATTTATGGGCCTGTACCTAGTAGTCCTGGCCTGGGAAATACCGGGTAGGTAGGTAGGTAGAGAGGAAGGGGATGGACTTTTTTGGGTTGTGGGCTTTGGATTTTGGCTTAGGGTGTTATTGTTAGGGTGGGTGGAGAGGAGGGGAGAGGGGGAGAAGGGGATGGTTTTCTTGGGTTTGTGGGTTTGGTGTGAGGTTGGTGGGTGTTGTTTTGAGGGTTTGATGTGATTTTTTGAGTTGTGGTTTTTGATTTGAGGTGTTGTTTTGGGAGTTTGGAGTGATGTTCATATTAAAGAAAGTTGGGCTACATGAGCCCCAAGCTATATTTCTCGGATGAGGAATAATCGTTGAAAGTCCACAATGATTTTTCGAATCATTATAAATTTTTCTAGTACGAAGTGTTATCATCGAGAGTTTGAATTGATTCCTCAATCATTTTGTTAGTAGAAGGGATAGTCATCAAAAGTCCAAATGGTTTTTCGAAAAACGAATCACAAGTTTGATACAAAATTTAATCATTGAAATCCTGAAAGTAGGTTTCGAATTTCATTTTTGATATGAGATACCATCATCGAAAGTCTGGAATGATATTCATTCCAGAATGAAATGACTCAAAGTGGTATATATGAATCTCTAATTACATTTCTGGCTTAAGGAACGGTCATCGGAAGTCTGAAATGAAAACGTAAATCACATCTTTAGTACAGGATACCGTCATCGAGAGTCTGGAATGACACTCATATCAAAGGGAAATGACTCAAAATAGTATACATGAATCAATCGAGTTCTTGGTATGATGTGCCGCCACCGAAATTCTAGAATGATTGTTAATTGCATTGAAAGAAAATCATCCACGAGTACCCAAACTACATTTTTCGCACAGGGAGCAACCATCAAGAGCGCGAAATGATTTTTCGAATCACTTTAGCCATATTTATGGTACGAATGTTGTCATCGAAAACCGGGAATGACAATCATGTCCATGGGAAATCGCTCGAAATAGTATAAATAAGTCTTCAAACCACGCATTTCGCACAAGGAACAATCATCAAGCGCCTGAAAATAACTATCCACGCATACAAATACCATCTTTTACATTCAATCATATATATACATTTCAGAGCTCGTAGCACCATGGAATATGTACAAATAGCCTCGATGCCCCCCTTTTTTCGAAAATTTTTTTCTCAGTATCAAACAGCTTCGATAATAGAGCTACAGACAGAACTATAAATCCCCAATACATCTTCGATGATACTCGGACTCTTGATAATCTTCCTCTTGTTCTCCGGTAATTTTGCGCGTTTTACAAATTTTAAGCAGTCTTCGCGACTTTCGGCTTGCATCTTTTGCGGATTATTACGCTGAAAGTTAGAGTATTTGAGGGTATTCTGTACATCATGAAGCTTGCCCAAGACCATTGTGGCCCTTCGGAAGATCTTAGGCTGTTCGTTCAGCGATAGGCTCGTCGGCGTGAAGCTGCGGCTGCGGCGGATAATCAGGAGAATGCGGCCCAACCCATCGTAGAACAGCGCCCGGCCACTCCTCAAGAACCATGGCGATGCAAAGCACCGTTCCCGGATTCTCAAACGCGATATCTGGTATGTTCTCTACTACCTTGCTCAACAACATCCATCTAACATAGTTCATGCAGTGCGATCATGTCAATGAAGCTGGCACGGAAACTTGTAACCGCCCCGAATATTACGATGACCCTAGTCCTAGAGGCGGAGGCATCAAGGAGGATGCGGCAGGCCAAAAACTCTCGGGCTTTTCCAAAGCCCGCCAGGGGACGCTGGACAACTGCCAAACGGGCAGGAAGAGTACCGTAGGCTTATACCCAATGATCCTAATCATCCTCTAAGATTTGTTGATCTACAAGATGGCACTCTTACCTTCTAGGAAAGAGTTGTTTTGTCATCATCGCATCCGGTTTTCGCTGAACATTCTACATTTGCGCCCAATCCACCGTCGTTGTTCGACTCTTGCTCACACTACCTATCAATGTCTGATTTTTCATCTCATAAAATGTACCCTCATTGTTCCACCGCAAATCGGAGAACATACACATTTCTCCTCCCATACTCCCATCTCAACCGGATGATCTATCTCTCAACTCAACTTCTTCGACCAATCACTCGTCCAACATTTCCTTCTATCTTTTCATCTTCATCCCGTCTTAACAAGAACTCAATCACCATCCCATTTTTCATTTCGATTTCGATACTTTTCTCGGAATCTATTATTCATCGCATGACTTTGACGGCGGTCTCTACATTACGAATCCACTCTTTACATCCTCGGTCTTCGCTTTTAGATCTCGATTTTCTACAATTTTTCAATGGCTGCATACTAGATATCATTTACTCCACCCCAAAACTACCCGACTCCGTTACATGTGCCGAGTCAGAGTTACAATTGAGATTGGAATTGGAATTGGAGTTTTGGATCTAACAGCTACCACAAAAGTTCCGGCGTGCTTTTCTCAAATTTTGATGAAGATGATATTTCTATTTATGTATTTGTCTAGGGGGTCTCATGGATAGGAGTAGGATTGAATGGATGGAATGAAATTATTAATGGAGATGAGAACTCAACTTCTCTTCAACTTCTCTATTCAATATTAGGCAATGTTCTGTGGAATTAGACAAATACAGTAGAATTGAATATATTTATCTTCCTATCTTTGCGTTCACCACTCGCTGATTTGTGATTGATATGATTTTTTTGATTGATGTGTAGTAAGTGATAGTTAAGGGGGAAGGGAGAAGGGGTAAGGGAGGATAAGCGATGCTTAGTCATCTTATATCTAACGACAAATGACTAGACACCACAACCACAGTACGATATTAGTCATTGAAATAAGAAATGTATTTATTATACTAATTTAAAAAAGGTACATTGAGATTTTGAAAGCTAACTTAAAACTCACCTTATATTCGGAGTTCTATAGAATTCTAAAGTAATTTTATAAATTTAAATAAATTTAATATTCTTATATATATTAATAATTATTTAATACTACTTGTTAATAACAAGATTTATTATAATTTTCTAATTCTCTTATAAACCAATTAACTTTTTATAAACTTTATATATCATTATTCATAAAAAACTTTAATAATTCAAAAATTTTATAATTGTATTAAATTATAAAGAATAATAAACAATAGAATATTATTCTCTTGATTTTTATTAGCTCTTGAAAGAATTTTTCAATCAATATATACATATATATATATTTGCTCCATGATTTATTTGATATTAGTATTATTCTCAAGAATACTTTAAATAAACAAATTGTTTCCGATTTATTATTTAGTATCACTGCTAGGGGTATGCAATTCCCGTCGTGACAGCAATTTTGTATTATAAAGGCTCACTACAATTGACGACTGTAAGATCTTAGATTCCTTCTACTTAATTAGCGAATACTTACTCCAACTTCATTGTACGAAAATTCATCGCATTTCTGCAATCAAACGGCCGTTAGTTAATATTGATATAGTAAGTAGATATTACTTCCTCGGGAGCAAGATAAGAAGTGCTTTCAAAATGAATGCGATTACGGATTTTAGAAAGGAGCTTTACCACTGTAGCGCCGCTACAGTAGCGGAGATTGCTCTGTAAGAGCTAAAGTCTTATCTATTTGTGGTGTGATATGGATATTGCTTGAATTTATTTTGTATGAGGAATACACAACACGAGATAAGTACGGATATATCAGTCTATAATTAAGAACACAAAAATGAGATCTACACTCCATACAATACTAAAAATCTAATCTCATTCTACAAAATCTATCGATTTAATAAAATCTAGTCCACATATCGCACACAATATGTATTTCAGCAATCCCTCCCCATAATATTATCTCGACCTTAAAACGTATAGCACAACACTATATATATATATAAAACGTCTACTCACTCCTCAAACAAAACTCTTATCAACATCCATCCCCGTCATCATCGTCTCATTAAGAATCGACTCATCCCTATCCATAATAATTCTTTTCTTCGGAAATCTATCTCCATCACTCGACCACAGCGATCTGGCTTGTGAATTCGATATACCAGAACGGCCTGTGACAGAATTGAATATTACGATACTCTTATGTGCTAGAGGTCGTAGTGCCGGGATACATGCGATGATGATACCGACGTATAGTTCCATTAGACTGAAATATCCTACTGGGACGTAGTCCCCTTTATTTGGATTAGTAGATGTGACAAAGATTTTTGAGGGGATACTTACAGGTGATGTTTTGAGTATTGGAGAATTGCCCGATGTTTGCTAGGCGTGTGATACTGACTGCCGTGACACTATCGCTAATAAGCATTGTGCTACAAATTTAGAAGGGAATATCTTACAATAATCCCAAAGAAAACATGCAAATAACCGTAGCTTTCTTTTGCCAACCCATCATCAAGTGGCTTACATTCCATACCGGCAATACGATGATTAATATATCCAAAGCGACGTTAAATACTGCATTCATCAAGACCTGGAGATGAAAGTTGCTGCAGAAACCTTCGTGTAATTTATCCCATTGATACCATGCATAATTAACAGGCGTACATTGGAAAATAGTTGCAACAGTAAAACTAATCCCATATCCGATGCAAAGTGCTAGTGTTCCATAGACCCAATACACGTAAGGCTTAAAGGGGAATATTCGTATGTACATTAGACAGAAAGAGATCTTGATTGTTGATATTGCTGCGTTGTACATAACTTCGCTAACGTAGTAAAACTGAAAAGTGTTAGATTGGAGAAAAAATTGTTTACTTGACTCTACGAACCTTTAGGATATCTGTTATGTTTTGAGGCGGTAATGTCCATATATCTTTTCCGAGGCCAAGATCCGCCACTGATTAGCCGATTAGCATATATTCACACTTTATGGTGAAACTTGTGTCGATGAAACTCACAGATAACTGAGATAGGTATAGTAGGAACCATGAGTATCTAATTAAGGTTAATGATGTACAAAGAGGAAGACGCATTAGACCTTACCACTGTGGCAAGTAAAGCCCAATCCTCCGACTCCCATGCTCGAAATCGTAATGCAGTTGTCAGACACCGGAGAATGTAAAATATCACTGCTAAGCTACCACCAATCAGACCAACAAGTTCCCCTGTCAAAGTTCTATCGCGCACTGGGACGCCGCATAAAGTATCCGTAACATTCTTTGTGCCTATAAAAAGTCAGTTATCGTGCACCAGTGAAAGATCACGGTTAATATCACTTACTGAGAAGCTCAGGAATGGTACAAGTCTTTTGCGCACACGCTGTTACATTGTGTTGGAGTGCAGTATTGGTACATATACACTCGACATCTGTAGAAGAACATTCGGAAGTAGGAAGAATCTCAGCTGTGCATACGAGCTGAAGTCTTGTCAGAAATAGGATCAAGCAGATTTGTTCAAACTTACCGCACATTTCGGGTATGCAGCTGAGGCAGCCGCCAGGAGTTCTGTGGAGTTTTGTGGTTGGCGTTCAGCAATGACAGCCATACTGGCCATGAAGGCCATGATGCTCTTGAACAATTTCATAATGCTGGGTGCCTGAGAGCTAATCTGCCCGCGCTCTATTCTAAATGTTCAATATCTATAAAGATGTATATGAAGACAGAATACCGAAGCGTAAAATTGGGCAAATTTTGAGGAAATATTAAGGAGGAAACTAGTAAGATCTAATATACCTGGGCCTCAATAAAGAAATCGTCCTCTTCGAGTTTGAACATCAGAGCCTCGAGGTTTCCCTTTGCGAAAAGTCGTTCGAGGGATCTTCGACTAATTGATACTTAAAGGTGGCTTGGGGTTCAACATAGATTTTACCTCTCAGGTCTAACTTCAAGCGACCGACTAATTCCGCTTCATCTTCCAATTCCGCTTCATCTTCCAATGCAGAGCTTCCCTGAGATCATTTTGACATTATGCTCTCATGACTGGATCCCAAAGAGGATTACTTAAAGTAATTGGTATTGGTTAATTCCATCGGTCACACCGGTAGTTGCCGTTTACACCCTAGATAGACCCTGGCCTAAATTCGCACTTATGCTCCTCCAAGGGAGAAAGGTTGAAAAATTCCTATCACAATCAATCATATAATACTGACTATGAATGACGAGCACTGCGAGAACTGTATGGATATTTCCAATATCTTTAGAGATAATTCTCACTAGTCTCAATGCTACTGATGATGATGGACAGTCAGCATGATTTCTTTGTGTTGCGAGCAAAGAAATATTGTTGCAACAATCAAAAGGTACACACTTCTGGATGGACATCTTTAGCTGCCAATACTTCTTATTCTATGCGGAATATTTTCCGAAATCAAACATCTTTCTAAAGTTCTACGGCTCTTCTCGAACCATTCTAGATCCGATATTTGTTCGTTCTTTGTCCTCAATGCCACAAGGAGGTGAAAGACAGATCAGCATTTTGGCTGAGAGATTGATGCTTCCTAGCATGGCATTTTACTGACTTTAAGATTATTGGTGAATGACAAGAAAGGAGACTACTCCAAACCCGAGTTCAAACGTTTTAGTTTGCTTCGTAGTGATGAACTTGTTATCTCTAATAGTATACTCAAAATTTGGGGTCTTTTCATTAAAGGTTATTTGATATTTCAATTATTCAGATCAAAAGCCTGGCTTTGGTATGGGACTAAAATGATTCGAAATTCTGATGGTCCCGATTCTGATGCAATATTGGCCAGCTAGTCGTCAATGTTGCCAATGACTCAATTGCCAACAACTGCAGGTGAGGGGGCACGGCAACTTTCTATCTTGTTTTCATCGTGGTCAACTTAGGCACATTTCATCTGTTGTTGTGGTGATCATTCTTCCACTCGGTAGTTGACGCCGTTCTAGAGGACGGGACCACGAAGTTCTTTGTGCACCTGAAAGCCTGCTCCTGATGAGCTAAATTCGAAGGCAACTCATCAACGGATCAAAATTAAGAATAACGAAGAGTTGGTTTGCCTAAAGAATATTAGTTGAGATGCGAGAAGCGGTAATTTGACCGGCTTGAGGTAGCGGGCACGAAAAGATGTTGATAATTGAGGTCAAGAACAGAGGCAATGATTTGATAAAGCCATGGAAACTATTCGTGCTGCGGTATCCCAATCATCAACAATGAGACCATGTTGCTATTCGGATTCGACCTAGCGCTCGCCTAGCTTGATAACATTATTGATCACTTCAATACACGTGATTCACACGTGATACACACGTGATATCTCTCTCTGTCTCGAGTACTCGCGCGTTTTCATTAGTCTCTCATGATATTTGAACATATAATCATTTAGATCAGGACTTTCTAAAATGCTCCCTTTTGCTTTTCCATCAGTCTTTTCACCCCTCGTCTCTTTCCCTCGTCTCAAAGTCTCTATAACTTTCCGCCAGTACGCTCGGACCCTTGCCGTCTTTCACAGATTGTCAAGTTCCCCGCGTTGCCAAAAACAGCTCGATTTTCCATGAAGGCGTACAATATCCATCCATACCTTGCCTGTCCAATAGCCACGCATGTTGTTTGCCAAGATCTACAAATTAGTGTGCGACAACTTTTGAAGATAGGGTTGACCGGCAAAGGCCTGAGAAGGCAAGAGGTGATATATCCAGCTCTCTCAATTCGGATTCTTACCTCTAGTCATTGATCTGATCTTTCCCGTTTTGCACTGTTACAATAGGTTCAAGGTATTTAAATGTGTTCCACGAGGCACAAGCATCTTCAGAGATTAGCTACATACTCTACCTTGAAAACATGTGTAAGCGAATCCATTTTGGAAGATAAAACCTTATCACATTATGATAACCACGACGAGCCAATGAAATATCAGCATTTGATCGTTTCCTTTTCTTAACGTCGTCCAAGCAGTGCAGGAAAATGTTTCTGTATTGGATCTTATTTTTCTTCGAGGCCGGTGGCACCGATCACTTGGTACAGCCATCTTTCTGTCACTTAAGCGCTGCAGATAGTGGCCGATCTCAATTCCGCGGCCCTTAAGAAAGAATTCATATATCTATCCCTTATGAACCTGTCCATGTCTATATGTACTTTCTTCGCTCTTTCGTACAGTATCCTAGCTCAACGTCCTAAACTTCTTATCGAAGAAGAATCTAGTGCTGAAGGACCCAGGTGTCTTCTGTGAGAATGGCCACAAAACCGACCGACGACGAAAAAGCAATATCGCCAACAACTTCTCCACCGGCTTCTAATGAAGTTGATAATCTTGAAGCTCTTGGATATACTGCTGAGCTTCAACGGAATCGATCGCTGTTTACTCTCCTCTTTCAATCGCTCGCAATCGCAGCAATACCTTATGGAGAAGGGGGGCCATTGATTAGTGCCATATATGGAGGAGGTCAGCTTTCCATTTTCGTTGGATGGATTGTAGTTCTTGTTTTAGATGAGTGTGTGGCTCTATCATTGGGTGAACTTGCTTCGAGGTATCCAACTTCGGCTGGACCATATTATTGGTCTTTTCAGGTGAGGAGATTCTCCAATTCTTGCTTTTCGTCACACAGACGTAGATGAAGCAATCTTCAACAAGAATTTATCTAGAGCAAAAGAAACATAGGCCATTGCTAATCCAAGAAATGGTAGGTGGCAAAAAGACACAAGACCATCCTCTCCTTCATCACCGGCTGGGTATGGCTTATTGGAAACTGGACAATCACACTATCCGTCAACTTTGGATTTGCATCTTTGATATCTGCAACCATCGCCATGTATCATCCAGACTTCGTAGCATCTAGCTGGCAACTTACCCTCATATTCTATGCCATTTGTCTCCTGACACTTTTTATATGCACATTCGGCAACCGATTCCTACCAATGGTAGATACAATCTGCGCTGCTTGGACGGCCATCAGTATCCTAATCATCCTCATTGCCCTTTCAGTCTCGGCAAAGGAAGGACGACATAGTGCTAGTTACTCCCTGGGCAATTACGATACCTCTTTTGCTGGATGGGGAGGGTTCACTTTCTTCATCGGTCTCTTACCCGCTGCATATACTTTCTCCGCGATCGGAATGATCTCATCTATGGCGGAAGAAGTCGCCAATCCCACGATCAAAGTCCCAAAAGCAATAGCCCTTTGCGTTCCTGTTGGCGGCACAGCTGGTCTATTCTTCATCATACCAATATGTGTAACGATGCCCCCTCTCGCCGAGGTTATCGGTGCCCCAAGTGCTCAGGCCCTCCCATATATCTTCCATAAGGTCATGGGGACACCAGGAGGTGGATTGGGTCTTACATTTCTCGTACTCGGCATTACTATGTTCTGTTCCATTAGCATAACAGTAGCTGCATCCCGCTGCACTTGGGCGTTCGCCCGTGATCAAGCAATACCCGGCTCCAAAATATTTTCCATTGTCAACAAATCCCTAGACGTACCAGTCAATGCCCTTATACTAGTAACCATTGTTCAAATGCTTCTTGGGCTCATTAATTTAGGTAGTAGTAGTGCTTTCACCGCTTTCGTATCAGTAGGAGTTATGGCGCTTGCTATCTCCTACGCTATACCAATCGGCCTCTCACTCCTATGGAATAGAAGACAAGAAGTGTCTCATGCGCGCTGGAATTGTGGCCATATTGTGGGAACAATAGTGAATGTGGTGGCTTTGGTATGGATCGCTTTTGAGGTGGTGTTGTTCAGTATGCCTACGGCATTGCCTGTTACAGAGGTGACGATGAATTATGCGAGTGTAGTGCTGGTAGGGTTTATGGCAATTGCGGCGATTTGGTATGGCGTTTATGCGAGGAAAGGTGAGTTTTATCTCCAAAATGAAAGTTTGGAATATACTAACAGAGCATAGTGTACAAAGGACCACCAGCATCGGATGGTCTCTGAGGCTCTGCTACGTCCTTTTACCAATTCTATGCGCGTCGCTCTTATGTGTTTCGCATCTTCCTAGGAATCTTTCCACATGTATACAGCTACTCATAATGCACATAATACCAAAGTCATGCAGATGTTGGATTAGAACGTGGCCAGCTGCTTTTCTGAATGTTCTAAGCCAAAGCAAGTGCACTTTCTACCATTGACTTTAGCAAACCTTCGAACTTTATGGTTCAAATATTTCTAACAATTGATTACGTTCGGTTAATTATTTTACATTCACTGCCGCTCGGCAATAGAAATAACTCTCTGTTGCCTTGAGAATCCAGCCGAACGTGCACATAAGATATAATATTTTCTTTCGTCCTCCCAGTGCTCTTATTTCCTCAACCGGTCTCCCAGTATCCCTTGAATTTAGGTTAGATTCTTAATCCTCTGATATAGACAAAACAGCAACGCTGCAATCGATACCTCAACATTTTGAGAACAATGTCAAGCTAAGATCCTGTTTGTCCTGGAGCCGCTGGCGGTGAACTAGCTAGGTTGGTGCTTATTGTTTGGGTTTGCGTGGAATATTCGTGCGTTGACAAGCTCTGGCAGCGATTTAAATAATCACAATGCCATTATTGGGGCAGCGTCAGTAGTAGCACTTGCTAGTATCCCCTCTTTAGCCTCTGCACCCCAAGCAGTATCGCCAAAGCCAAAGGAGTCCCAGCGAAGCACCAGAGCGAGTACTACGCAAACAAAGGCAAGAAAGTAAAGATTATTTCGCAAGGGAGAAACTAAAGAAACAGGAGAGGACAGACTTAGCAAACCGAGGGAAATGGAACTGTAAGGCGAATACAATGAATCGCTTAATGTGTAAAGGTCAAAGACCACCAGGAACGAGGAAGAAAGAGGTACCTGAAATGAATTTTTTGCATTCATCTTTTGAAGAAAGAAAGAGATAAGATCAAAGGGACTGGAAGGAGGCTTGATTGGAGTATCGCTTTTATGGGAGTATTCTGGAGTTATCACCGAGAGAGTTGGCGGAGAGTTGGTTAAAATGCTATTCCCTTCTCACTTTTCCGTGACTTTGAGCCTGTCTGCCGGTGTGAATAAAGTGCGAAGTATAGATCTATCTAGAACTTCCCAGATGTTGAATCATATCCTTGAAATATTCCAAAACCCTGAGATTCAAACAAGCAAGTGGCTATGCTATAGCTCTTTCTTTAACATTAATGCTCCTTTTTATCTTCTCATATGTTTCGTACATTGGACGTCTACAGCAGCTAGAACAATCCGCGATGATATCTAGCCAGCGAGCTATCGGGTTTTGGGAATAGTAAGGTTAAGGTCAATGTTAATGTGGGGTAATTTTTCGTAAAGGTATACTTGGTAGATTCTTTATCCTGAACCCTTCACATCTTTTCTTTGGGAGCTGAAACAAAACTACACTTTGCTGCGATTAATAGGTATTGTTTTACATCATATACCAATTGCGATTCTGAGATATGCATTTGTTCGGAGACACGAGGCGGTCTTATGCTAGTGGGTTGAAGCTGTGTCTATGGTTTTGTCATTGCAGTCTGGCAGAAAAGACTGAGAGGTTTGAAAGGCGATGGTTCGATAGAGATTAGTCGTTGACGGTGTCTTTGCTACCTTTTTTTCGCTGCTCTTTTGATCGCTTCCCTCTTTTTGATGTTGTTGTCGCGTTTGAATCGAGCAAGTGCCAGCTCGGATGCCGTTTATGGTAGTACCACAAGGGGTTTACTCTTCTCAGCCGCGTCTTAAGACCTTTTTAGATACTCCGGATTGTAACCCAATGTATAGGAGATCGTTAGCTCTCGAAGTATGGCGCGCAATGAGTAAGGATGAAACGGCGTGAAAAGACTTTGCGTTTGCTAGGAGAAGCTTAGCTGCCAAGCATTTGCTCCGCTTCTACCCGTCGTGCAGACGACATGCCTCATTTCGCACACACTATCTTATCTCCTTTTTATTATAAGCCAGTGCTCTCCCAGGGCTGTGCGTTTGCAATTAAAGCCGTGGAACTCGCTTTGATTTTGAAGTCTGAATCAACAAAGTGAATTTGTATCGGGCATAGTAAAGGATCTGCTACTGGACGGCGGGGAAATGCCCCTTTATTACCTGATCTCTTATTCGCGCAATCTAATATGCTTCTCGAATTTTCTCGGTATCGAAGTCTACTGTATTTGCTATTGGAACTGTATCTCGACGGAGCATGGCATAGTTGCCAGGTATGCATCTTATTGCGGGAACACTACTGGTGTAGATGAATTAGCACTTGTAAATGTTGGGAGAAGCGACAGACATCTCCTGGTATAGGCTACGCGCCTTGTTCTAGAGTTACAGAATTGCGTCTCAAAAATAGAGGTTTCGGGACAGTACTCGAATGAAAACGAACGAAGCGCTAGAACTTACATGGCCTACTTGTCGGGGGTATTATTAGACACCAGACACATCCTTTAAAGTTGTCTCTTCAATCATGGTGCCGAGTGTCTTCTATTTTGCTTTGAATATATTATTTCCTGAAGGCCACAGCCGCTTGCAGAGTGGGTGTTGGGACGGCTCAATAATGGAGTCTTTTCGTCTAGATATTAGCACAAATGAAATAATTTTAACTCAATTATCTTCTCATAGATCTCATAAATCTCATGGTTTGTATGATGGCCATGTTTCTTGCAGCTACAGTAATTACAACTAAAGTTTTACAAAGTAGAGCCCATGCCTTCCTGGCGAATATCACCATGGCTCCTTCCTCTCTGTAACTCCTGTTCTCATTATGATAGAGTTCATGCTCTCGCGTCTTTTAAGACTATCGGTCATCTCGATCGTTCGATCATGATAGACTTTATGCATCCAGTACCATCATTGGTCCTGTATTTCCGTTCGGCTAGAATAAAGCTTCGAAAGGAAGCCGTCCGATTCTAACACGACGTAATTCTCGGTCTAAGAAAAACGCGCCAAAGAATTGATATACATTCCGTGTCCTTTTCTTTTCCTCGATTTTCTTTTCCTCGATTTTCTTTTCCTCGATTTTCTTTTTCTCTTTCTTCTCCCTGCCGCTTTCACATACTCTCTACACTCTACAAGCTTACACATTTCCAATGTCTCGCTTTCACTCTTCTTCTTCCACTGGCAGTGCTCCTGGGGCTGCCAGTCCCAACCCAACCATCAACACGTCGGCCCTCCGCGGTCGTGGATATCAAGTTCCACAAAACTCTTCCACTCTCCCACCCTCTCAATTCCATTCTCTCCACGTCCCATACGTGTGTGACAATCAAATGGAACCCTCCTTGGAGCCTTCAACCCTCCAACCACCATCTAACAGGCTTGGAAACCTATCTTCCTCCACAACTTTCGGTCCTACGAGTCCCAAAAACACCAAAAAAAATCAAAACAAAAAACAATCACCAAAAAACTCTTTTTCTTTGTCTTTATCTGCATCTATTACTTCATCATCATATTATTCTGATTCCTGTTCTTACGAGACGATCAATTGGTCGTCTCTTGAGATCAAACCCCATCCCAATGCCCCCAAGCCCTATCGTTCCCCCACCATGTACACTGACTCAACCATGGAAGAATATACATCCTCTAGCCGAGGCTCTGGATCCAGCGACCTTTTTCCAATTCTTTCCCCTTGCATCAGGGTAGATCTTCTACCTGGTGCTCAACCCCATGCGGCCACTTCCATTCCCTTTTGTCCCAACATTTCCCTCGATCCTTTCTTAGATTATCCCACTGTTTTTCCTTCTGTTTCTTCTTCTTCAGCTCCTCTTGCCCAGGCCCAGTCCAAATTTGCCCCTACCATGCAATCTGCCACCCCAAGCCCAGCCAGCACCTCAAAATCCTTTTCAGCCCACCATTCCCTTTCTTTGTCTCCAACACGACCCATTTCTCTAATCCCCATCTACGAGTCCAAATTTCCCTTCAACATGCCCGACACCCCCAGCCCTGTTAGCACCAAACAATCCTTTTCCCTTCACCATTCCCTTTCTTTGTCTTCAACTTCCTCCCCTTCCCTTGCCTCTCCTTCCATCCCAACATTCTATTCCCGTTCCCGTGGCTCTTCAGTATTAGCTGAAGATGGTTCACATCCCCCTGCCCCCAAGCAACCTGTAGTATACGAGCAAATCCGCTTGTTCAGGCTTGCCAAAAAGAAGTCTCTTGCCCAGCGGTGGTCCGACTTGATCCTTGAAGAAGAACTTCTCATTTCCAGAGCAAACATAGTAACTCCAGTGCGACCTTTCAAGGAAAGTTCAAAGTTGATGGCAACATCTGAATCTGACAATGAAAATGTAGCTCAATCTCCTTTGTCAGACCCCTTCATTCGTTCCCCTATTCCCTTTGTCTACTCCCCCTCCCCATCCCCATCCCCATCCCCATCACCCATTACAGCACCCCAGCCTATTCCCCAAAAGCCACGTTCCAAATGTGGTGGTAGGTTCCACGATGCACGCCCATGCCCTGTCCTTCCCAATGACCTTCCCAATCCCACTCCCTACACAATTCCAAACTCCAATCCCACAGTAACATATGTCTCATCCTCAAGCGAGGATGACACAGACACAACTAACTATCCCTCCTCCCTGGACAGCTACTCCGAGGCCACACCGGAACCCGAGGCCACCCCATCGACAACCATTGCTACCGGGAAGTCCTGGATCCACCGAAACTCTAAGACCATCAAAACAGTAGCCACCTGGACCTTGATTGCAGCCGCAATCATAATTCCAAAGATTATTTGGAATTGGTAGATATAATCCCCTTCCCCTTCCCTTCCCCATGCAATGCTCGTGAAACTAACCACTAACCACCAACCACCAACTAACCCTCAACTCCCGGACACCCCAACAAAAAGACACAGAGAAAAGAAACATTCCCCCTCCCCTTGGACCCCGGACAAACGGAACAAACGTATGTATCCCCCCCTAACTATCTAACCGTGTACAGTGCGGCCAGAAAGATCCACGTCCCCGTTCGTTCTGGCTGGGCACCCTCAAGTGAGGAGCTAACGGATCAAAACCCGTTTATTCTCTTTGATTATTCTGGTAAGTTTATATTCTTCCTTATACATACAATTCATCTCTTTTTAATTTTCGAAGTTTTGCTAACTTCTTTTCTTTTAAAAATACTTTCTTTTTCCCCTGGGATTTTTTTGGGAAGAAGTTGCCGCTTTTGGGAATTCTCGTTTTGGTATCTGTGGTGCAGAAGATGTTTATAGCGCGTTGAGGTTAAGGTTAATTATAAGGATATTTTTGCCTGGAAAGATTTCTTCCGTGTAATGACTACTAGTTATATACCTAGATCATAGCAATGAATCTTGGGGATAGACATCAATAATAACAAATTCCAATTTCCCATTCACATTTTCTACACTCCACAACCCCAACATCATCAACCCAAACCCCCGCTTCCCAGCTGGTGAACCATCGAATAAACTCTATCTCATACCACTACAAATAACCTATAGCTAGGGATTGTACATCTTCTACTCACATACTCATATACCTACCTACCTAGTATATAACTAATCTATCACAACTAACCTTCCCCTTCCCTTAATCGAAGCTATATAAATCAAAATCAGAAATCAACAACATAAATATAAATATAAATATAAATATAAATATAAATATAAATATAAATATAAATATAAATATAAATATAAATATAAATATAAATATAAATATAAATATAAATATAAATATAAATATAAATATAAATATAAATATAAATATAAATATAAATATAAATATAAATATATAACTCCACCTCCAGCTCCAGCCAGCTCTAGCTTCAATCGAATCAACAAAAAAGACATAATTAACCTCATACACTCATCCAGATACCAAGACTCACTTCTAGATTCTAGATTTGAGGTCAATCAATCAATCAATATTACATTACATTACATTACATTACATTAGATTGACTAGACGAATCTAAGGCTACTTAATGATTCTCTAGGAATTTTTAAATCCTACAACTAATTAGATAGGGAACGACTATTTAATTATTGCCCTTTAAAAGATCCTATTAATTGATTTCTTAAGATTATCAATATAAGATCTTAATTAAGACTTAGCTTTTTATATTTATAGTATAAATAACAACCTACGAAAATCTATCATCAAAGTATCATCTATCTTCCCCTGAACTAGAACTAGAACTAGTAATATCTTACATTATACAGGTTTATATTCCCCTATATCACTTTTAGATTGTTTGATAGAATAAATTCATCCTTTTTGTAACTTTAGGTTTTGTGTTTCTTTCTCTTTTCAATCTTGAATCGGAGTCTTAATGTTTTCATTTTCATTTTCATTTTCATATTTTTTGCGAGCTTTCGTTGGCGTGGAAAGGGTAGGAGAGGAGTAAGGTGTATTTGTTAGATGGATAGATGGATAGATGGACGGATGGATGGATGGATGTGATACATCGTAGAAATTCTAATTGTTAAGCATGATGGAAGGGTGGGTATATTGTAGATGTTTTTATTTATTAATTTTCTACAAGTTCAAGGTACATGTTCAGTCTCTGTCCGCGCCTTTCCCTTTCCTCCCTCTCCTCCATTTCCTTCCCCTCCACCTCCTCTCTCTCAACCTCCTCCCTAATCCTCATCACAAACCCCAAACCCACACCTACACCCCACCTCCCTCCCTCCTAACCTCCTCATCTCCACCTCCCATCCCTCCTTCCCCCCTGAGCTCATCATAATCAAATTTCCTCCCACGAATCATATGGGTAAAACCGAATCTCACCTCTCCCCTCATAAGCAACAAACTCCTCTCCCTAAGCCAAACCTCCCATTTCTCCTCCCCATCATCCACCGCTTTCACCGTAACCCCCGTCCTATTAACCTCATCCCTCGATCGCCCAAGCGACCTCTTCGGCTTTCTCATTTTCCTCGCTTCATTTTCCCCGCACTTTTTAAAAACCATAGGCACAGAACTACCTATACTTAAACTATAGAGATATTCCCCAAACACGGAATGAGTATCGACGTGTGGGGGAATTCCCGTACCGGGAGGATAATATTGGACGGTAAATTGATCTGGTCTTTCCTCTTTTCCCTCTTTTCTCCAGGGCAGACGATCGACTAATTCTTCCAAATACCTCGGAACTGGGGTCCACAATTCCGACGCTCCAAAAGTAGTATAATCGAAATGGGCACCATAATGCAGTGTTTGTCTTTTGCCAATGCCACTCCAGCGATCATCGGAGAGGATAGAGCTGATGATTTCTGCTTCTTCTGCGGGGGTGATGAAGTCGGTATAGAGAGCTAGTCCAGTTTCCCAGTGTTGAATTTGGGGATTTGAGGGATCTATGGTGGGAATTGGGGTTGTGCTTCCCATAATGTAGTTACTTCCCGTGATGATCTTCTGCTGATGTTTTCCCCAGAAGTCGCAAGAGGGTTTGCAATTACTTGACTATTCGTTGGTCTTGAAAAACTGAGAATATTTTAGAAATCACTTGTACGTGAATTACGAAGATACTCGACTTAGCAGTCTTTTGAGCCTCTGTAAAATTCCTCGAGCGTTGGCATGAATCATGTCGTCCTCATGAAAGTATTGTATTTATTTCCTTCAATATAAAAAGTCCCGAGGTTTTCCCGCGATTATTAAGCCAATATAACCTTGGAGACCAACCAATGAGAAAACTCACGACATGATTAAACTGTGACTGAACTCGAAAAATGGGGAAACAGATTCTGGGAAGGAAAACAAAAAGGTATTATATCCTCAACGCCCCAGTTAGACCGGATGTCATGTCATGAATATAAAAATTTCACATTTCAGGCGATTGTCGATAGCCAGCGGCGGTATCATGAATTCTAACGAACTGGCTCGATCACACATCACATTTAAAGTGCTTTAGTGATTACTATGTGTATGAGCCTAAACCGCTGCAATCATAGACATCGATGGGGATGGAGATAGAGATGGAGATGGTTCAAGAATAATTACTTTTATAAAGTCCATTCGCTAGTTATATGCATACAATCTCATATCTATCACCCAACAAAACCTTGTTACAAGCTAAAGCAAGAAGTGCAGGCCGCTGTACCACTTCTCAGAATAATCTCCTATTAAGCATACTTCCTTTACTCGTCGGTGACTGAAGCAAACTTGTCGGTCATAGCTTGAACTAGATCCTCGTACTATGAAAATGTTAGATAAGTACATGGTCATGTGAGTACAAAAGATAAAACATACCTTCTTCGTGATCTTCTCCTCGCCTTCACTTGGAACCTCAAACTTCATGCTTCTCAATTGCGATTGAAGTTCTCCAGTAGCTTCACGTACTTTGGCCCAAGTTTGCCCTTGTGCAATAGCCTTTTGTGCCTCATCGTGGAAACCCATCATTGCCTTCATCATCCATTCGGTCTTCCAGATAGGGCAAAACTGATCGTAATCACTATAACCATTCTGTTGTAAGAAATCTTCCTTGATCATCGCAGCTACATCCAAAGTGATTTTATCCGGGTCGGACAAGGCTGACTTTCCGACCAATTGTACGACTTGATCCAATTCTTCAGAATCAGACAAAAGTTGCTTGATACGGTCTCGAAGTCTTGGGAATTCGGGAAAATCTTTCTCGTAGTATTTGTCGAGAACATTGGTATATTTACTGTAACTGACTGAGGTGTTGATGGAAGGGAAATGTTTACGTTGAGCAAGTTTCTTGTCGAGACCCCAGAAAACTTGCACAATACCCAAAGTACTACTTGTGACAGGATCGGAGAAATCCCTCCTGGGGACTGACGGCACCGACAATGCTGACACTACCTTCACGGTCAGGACCACCAAGAGCTTGAACTTTACCAGCACGTTCGTAGAAACTAGCAAGTTTGGCACCGAGGTAAGCGGGGAAACCTTGATCAGCAGGCATCTCTCCCAATCGACCAGAAATTTCACGAAGAGCCTCAGCCCAACGAGAAGTAGAATCAGCCATCATGGCAACATCCTTACCCTGATCTCTAAAGTATTCGGCCACTGTAATTCCTGTATAAATAGAAGCTTCACGAGCGGCGACAGGCATATTGGAGGTATTAGCAATAAGTGTCGTACGCTTCATGATAGGCTCTTTACGTCCATCGATGTCGATGGAAAGTTCTGGGAAATCCATCAATACTTCAGCCATCTCATTACCACGCTCTCCACTGTACATTTTTTGTTAGCATAACGTCACTGGTATTGATCAAGATTCAATCCTTACCATCCAACATAAACAATAATATCACTATTCGAAAACTTAGAGACAGATTGACTGATAACAGTCTTACCACATCCGAAAGCACCTGGGATAGCAACAGTTCCTCCTTGGACACTAGGGTAAAGTGCATCCAATACACGTTGACCGACAATAAATGGCTTATCTGCTGCCAATTTTTCGGTAGTTGGTCGTGGCACACGTACAGGCCAAGTGTGCATCATGCTATATTCGGTCTTTTTGCCGTCAAATTCAACCTCGAGGATCTTTTGGTCGACCTTGTAGCTTCCCTTTTCAGCAATACGAGTAATTGTACCTCTGGCTCTTGGTGGGAAAAGAATCTTGTGGTCATCCAAAAGGGAGTTCTCGTAAACTGTACCCCAAATGTCTCCTCCAGTGATGTGGTCTCCAACTTTCATGATAGGCTTAAAATCCCAATCCTTTTCTCTGTTTAAAGCGGGCGCGGAGATACCTCGAGGAATGTAGATGCTGTTTGAATTGTCTGCGATAGCTTTGAGAGGTCTTTGAATACCATCGTAAATTGTTTCCATAAGACCTGGACCCAACTCAACTGATAAAGGCTTTCCGGTACGTACAACGGGGTCTCCAACGGTAACACCAGCTTTATACCCAACAGTCAGTTATAATTTTAGCCCAGGGCCATATGTGCTCTCATACCTGTCTCCTCGTACACTTGAATAGTCGCTCTATCGGCTTCGATTCGAATAACTTCACCGACAAGGTTATCGTGACCGACTCGAACCTATTCAGAAGTGAGCAAGCACAATGCTGGCTATAAGGACAAAGCCAACTTACCAACTCGTACATAGCAACTCCAATCATATTCTCTGCCACCACGACAGGACTAGAGATGGTCAGTTCAGTGGACGCATACTGATGAGCTCTTGCACAAACCCTGATACGGAGTAAATTGAACCTGTAGGATCACGATTAGTATTCATTGGTAGAATATGTGAATAGGCAAAGACAAACCATATTGTTCCTCTCCATCGGCATCTCTTTGCGGAGCCATGTTGGCAAACTCTTTTTGAATTAAATTCGGAACTGTGAATGTAGTTGTTGTTGTTGGAGGGGGTGATAGAGGAAGTTGTGGAAGTGGTTCTTGATTAAGCTCAATTGGAGCTGTTGACAAGGTATCGATATGTTGGATTTTGATGAGGTCTAAGAATGAGGGCCGAGCTTTCAAACGAGGACGAAGACCAAGTGACATAAAAGGCCGAGGATCAAAGATGGAGGAGACCAATGAGATTTAATCAAGCAAGCAGGTACAGTTTCTGAGAGTCTCAAGTCATGACCAAGTAGTGGAAAGATATGTGCGGAGCATTGTATAGATAATTTCTAGTTTCTACCAACAACTAATGGATATTGGTAGGCCAAAGGGAAAGAGCATTGCAGACCTGAGCTTTCACTTGATATCACTAATCGAATCTTTGCAAGCTCTGGACACACAGGAATAAGTAACTCCATAGCAGTCAGTACCTGAGCTTGCCTGCCTAACCTGCGGAATACATATTTACTAATGGCGGCACGCACCGAGATAGACACACGCCCTCCCTATCTGGGTCATAGTCTCCCCGCTACTGTCATGTTGGTGTTTATTACTAATCTACTGGTGTTCGCAGTGGCGAGGGGAAATAACGGGTTAGCTAGGTACCTAAGCTTGCATGGAAGAAGGCGCAAGAACAGCGGGAGAAGGTGCGTTTATAATTATTCTAGCTCTACCTAGTAATACTGTTCAGTAGGTGCTTGAGTACTTGGGTATGATCGATCTCGTTTTCCCTTTACTCGAAGATCAGGAGGTACCTGGTAGGTCTTGAACTTACATCAAAGATAATTTGTGGTTTGGATATCTTCTGTATTCGTAACCTCACATATTTCTTCGTAAAATGGACGAGAAAATTATAGGAAGGACAGCTGTGTGATCGAGTTCTCTTCTTCTAGAATACCTACCCCAAATGTTAAAGTTTGTACTCAATTTGTATTTGTGACATCTTTTCAACTCAATTTCTCCTCTCCTCTCCTCTCCTCTCCTCTGATCATAAATCAAAGTAGTGCATTTGATGTGGTCACATTTGCGTCTGCAGTACGGAGTAAATACTCTTTTGCTTTCTCATTCTCATGGTGGGTTGAATTAGGTTGTACCACATGTTCTCTTAGTCTGATTTGCCTCTTCGATAAGAGCGATAGTGATACGGTGAAACCCCCCCAACCTTAAACCTTAATGACCCGCCGTATTCTTGCAGCTTTATACTCCTTCCCTAGCTTACCTCACCTACCTCACTCATGTGCTGGAAGCCTTACGTCTTGTCCGACATCTTTCTATTAAGACGTTACAATGAGATACATCAGAGAGCTTTATTGACTTTATAAATCCTCTCTCTTTTGGAAATATCGGCATTCCACTATTATCACGAATGAGTATGTGATTGATATTCTTTGTGAATCCCTACTGCAGCTCCGAGAACATTCACATTTACTCCACAACCTTTGCCCTCTCTTCGACTGATTTTAATCATTCACTCCGTCAGATCAACTCAGCTGCTACTCGCTCAAGCCCTTTCATCATCAGAGGTACAGGCAAGTATCCAAGCACGACAAGCCCGACGTTTTGTACTCTCTTGATCTCTTACCTCCATTAAATAACATCCATCTTTGAGCTTCGATTGCCCAAAATTTCAGATTCTTGAGGCCCCTCTCTTGAATCTATATTCAAGCAGCGGCACTCCCGCAGATTTCGTCCTGGCAGGCGACAACCCCCATATACCATTATCCTTATCCACTCCCGACGACCCATCCACCCCGACTTCCCCTCAAAGATCAACCAGCACTGCCTTCTCAGCCCATCCCCTTCCACCATCAGACCGATACGCAACTGAACAAGTCAATCCCCTTCCTACATTCAGCAGATATAACACAGTACCGACAACAAGAGCAGGTTCCAGAACCCGCAGCACACCGCAAGCTGAGCTCCGGCCGAGTCGTGCTCCAGAGCAAGTCCTTGGTCGTAGGCGTCGAGATCATAATATAGACCGAGGGGAACAATCAAATACTCTTCCGAGTCCTGGGGACTCTTCCAATATTTCGAACCCAGAAAACGAATATCGTCGTAAACGAAAACGACAAAGTGCTAGTATGAAATTTGACAGAGAGAGTAGTAACTCAAACGGTAACTCGAGGCCATTGTCAAATGGAGCCGGGCCTTCCTCCTTACACAAGGCAGCTCTTTCCAACTCCACCAACGGTGCAGTAGCCATGAATGGATCAAGTACAAATGGTCATTCAGACACAGGTATCAAGCCGGCATCTACATATTTTGGACATGATAGGGAGGAAGTTACGAGGATCTTGATTCAAGCATTGTTGGACTTGGGTTACAATGGTGCTGCTGGAACTCTAAGTCAGGAAAGTGGCTATGATCTAGAGAGTCCAACAGTAGCAGCTTTCCGAAATGCAGTCCTACAGGGCGAGTGGGCTGAAGCTGAAGAACTCCTTTTTGGAGGGTCTACAGAGGAAGGAGGAGTTAGCATTCATGGAAATGGCTTGGTTCTCCGAGACGGCGTGGATAAGAACTTTATGCGATTCTGGATACGCCAACAGAAATTCTTGGAACTACTTGAGCAAAAGGACATGGGCAGAGCGATAAATGTACTGCGATCTGAGCTCACCCCGCTGGATCAGGACACCCCCAAGTTGCATTTTCTGTCAAGGTAAGTCGTGTCAATTTACCTGCGAGCACTATCTGGATAGAGACTAATCACTTGTCTCAGCTTATTGATGTGTACACCCGAAGACCTCAAGATCAAAGCTAACTGGGATGGGGCCGCTGGAGAATCAAGACGACAGCTTCTTTCGCAGTTATCCAGTAAGTTTCATGTCGATGCTATTGGTTGGCATATTGTTGATTTTCTCCTAGGATGCATATCACCGTCCGCCATGTTGCCCGAGCATCGTTTGGTCACCCTCTTCAACCAAGTTAAACAACATCAAATATCTAGCTGTATTTACCATAACACATACACTTCTCCTTCACTGTACCAAGATCATACATGCGACCGAGGTAACTTCCCATTGCGGCCGGTTTTGGAGGTTGATAAACATTCTGGCGAAATATGGGATACCAAGTTCTCACACGATGGTACTCTATTGGCGAGCTGTGGGAGCGATGGCGTTACCGTAATTTACAACGTGCCGGACTTTGATGTTCATGTTGTTCTTTCCGAACATGAAGCGGGTGTTTGTTCTTTTGCTTGGAGTCTTGATGATACTAGAATGGTCACGTGCGGTCGTGATAATCGTGCGTGTTTATGGAACACTGCAGTAAGTTCGAACTTCACATCAGAATCCGTCCATTAGAAGCATTCTTGCTGACTATTCAGACCGGTGAATTAATGAACAAACTCCCCCGTTTCAGTGAGCCTGTGACCTGCTGTGTATGGGCTCCAGATGGACAGTCCTTCGTCATTGGCAGCTTGGGCAATACCAAGAACTTATGCCAGTGGAATCTCAACGGTGATCTCATCTATGATTGGGGTCGAGAACATCGTATCCGAGACGTAGCAATCACGTCGGACGGAAACAAATTAGTGGCCATCGAACACCTGACCCACATTTATGTTTATAATTTCGTAACCCGCGAGCTTGAATACGAGCTGGACCTCAAGGTTCAGCTATGCTCAATCTCCATTAGCCAAAATTCGAGGCACCTACTGGTCCACTGCTGCACTGGGGAGACACGCATGCTCGATGTTGAGACAGGCGAAACAGTACGATCTTTCATATCAGGGGACAAAGGGGGTGAATTCATTATCAGAAGCTCTTTCGGTGGTGCAAATGAGAGTTTTGTTGTTAGCGGAAGCGAAGGTATGATTCATACATCGGATGGCCGGTCAGTATTGCTAACATATCACTTATAGAGGGGAACGTTATAATATATCACAGAGAGAACGGTGCAGTGGTAGAGAAACTGGAAGGACATAAGAAAGGCTGCTGCAATGCAATTTCTTGGAATCCGACGAATCCAGCTATGTTCGCTTCAGCCGGTGATGACGGCAAAATTCGCATGTAAGCATCATCTCTTTGAGTCATTCTGTGGACTAAAACTAATAAGCACACCAGATGGTCGAGTGAAAACACTTCAGGACGATCCTCAAAGTCGAGGGCATCCAATGGTTCCAATGGTGCGCAGCGTGTATCTAACGGCTGGTGATTGGACATTCACGCCAGTACCAAGAATTCATAAGCACTTTCATCAGAAGTGACATCACAAATTTCATTATTTTACATCGACAACATCGTTATTCACATTACACACACATAGTGCGGCGAATTAGGAGAATTGGGTCGAGTGTGGAAATGGTTGCATATGGAAGGCATTTTGTGGTGTTCGGGGACAAACCTTTATGGTAGCGGCTTGGGGTCTTTGTTAGTGTGTGTTCGTGAATTGTTCTCGACTTTTTAGACCCTTCACGCAAAACTACTCTTACACGGATAGATCATTGCGAGTAAGTGGGGCCTTTGAGAGGGGTATGATTGAATGGTAAGGCAAACGCAAGGCAAGGCAATGCAAGGCATGGTAGATAATTATACATGCCAATGAAACAGTATCATTTGTAAATCAAAATATCCACATTTAATATTAGCTTTACAAGATCGATCTCTCCACTTCATCAGCCCAAGGGATAGCACTCTGAGCCCCTTCTTTCTCCACAGTTCGCGCAGCCGCCTTACATGCTTTCGCTACAGCAGCTAGCATAGCATCTGCATCAGCATCTCCATTCCGCACTAACTCAACAGCATAAGCTCCTACAAATGTGTCACCAGCAGCTGTCGTATCAACTACCTGTACATTTTTCTCCGCAGGAACATGTTCATACGTATCCCCCGTAGCGAATATCGCGCCTTTAGCTCCAAGCGTTATAATAACAGTTTTGCAACCGAGGGTTAAAAATTCGGAAGTAACAGTGCGCCAATTGAAGGTAGGAGAGGTGACGGAGGAGATGTGACGGGAGGTTAGGATTGCGGCTTCGGTTTCGTTGAGGATTAGGTGGGTTATGGAGGGGTAGGCTGAGGGGGAGTTTTGCGCCGGCGCGGGGTTGAGGAGAACGGGGATTTGGTTGCGGGAGGCGGTGGTGAGGATTTGGAGGATGGTTGGGAGGGGGATCTCGAGTTGGAGGATTAGGAGGGTTGGGTGTGGAATTCCGAGGGAGGTGAGGTGGGTGAAGTCTGGGGGGTTTAGGGACTGATGGGTGGTTTGGGGTTAGTGATTAGTGATTAGTTGGTGGAATGGGGATGGGAATGGATGGGGGGAGTCGTGGGAGATGAAAAGATAGGTGGACTCACGTGGTTGGCGCCGGGGGAGAAGAGGATGCGGTTTTCGCCGCTGGAGGATTCGACGAGGATTACTGCTACGCCGGTCGATTGGTTTGGGATGGTTTGGACGGAGGTTGTGTCGATAAGGGAAGACTTGAGAGAGGAGATGAGGGATGGTCCGAATCTTAGAGGGTTTTAGTTTTTGTTGTTTTGATGAGTGGATTGTTGGAGTGGAATTAATGTGCCATGTTTTGTACTTTAGATGATTAGAAATATATGAATGTTTGATTGGTGCAATACACTTGCATGCGAAATAGGCAGAAGTGAGAATTATACCACAAGTCCTTGACTTAAATGACATGGGTATCACTTGTATTGCGAAATAGGCAGATGTGAGGACTATACCACGAGTCCTTGACTTGAAAGACATGATGTATACTTTGCAGAATAGAACCACTGATAGATTTTGAATAAAGAAATTGTTACGGGAATTTTTGAAAGATAAATACATACTCATCGTCCCCAACAGCACCTATCATTTTGACCAAAACATCACTATCAAAAGATGGAGTGGAAGCGGGATTAGGTCTTGAAAGGCGAGCGCATGCTACAGCTTGATTGGCACCTTTTCCGCCAGGACCAGTGCTAAAAGATGTAGCGGTTAAGGTTTCGCCGCCATCCGGAACGCGGGGCGTAAGCGTTACGAGATCGATATTGAGGGATCCGATTACGGTTATAGTTTTGGGTGACATGGTTGGGCCGAGGAGTGGAAGTTATCCGCGTATTCGAAGTATTGATAGGGGGTTGGGCACGTGCTTGCTTGCTTTTCGATATATAGGTGCCTAATGCTCTGGCGAATGTGCGTCGTAATAGTGATGACGAAGCTTTAGGGCTTTTGGGTTGTGTAGCTAGGTATGTAGCACTCGATCTACTGACATGTATCTAAACTTTCAGAAACCAATAGATGAGTGTATGTTTTTGTATGAGTGTATATGAGCTGTACTGGACTCCTTCTTGGGTATCAATCAACCCCGCCAGGCCCCCACTGAATTGGAGATTTCTCGTCCATATGACGCTTCAGTAGATCTCGATATATCTTGTGATTCAATAGATTTTCTCTTCGACAATTGGTACTCACTCACCGTTAAGAATAAAGGATCTTTTTTGCTGGTATATCTATCTTTTACGACGGAAAATTTAGCCTCAAGATACCGGGAGTATAATCTTGACAATTTTAACCAGGTCAAACACTTTTCTGCATCAACTAGATTCTCCATCTTAATAGTGTGTGGCTAAGATCTGCGCACGGACCGTCATCACTAGCCTCACTTCGCGGAAGTTGGCCTCGCTCGCACGCCTAGTTTGTCTTAAACAACAGAATATCAACAGGAGTCGCATTTTAAAACTAGAAACTTCTCCAACTTCCACTTTCCTAAAAAGATAATACCAACAAGTGACAAGCTTGCCAAAGAATATTACTGCATCTTCAAACTATCTATCTCCTCTTAAAATCAACACGCATCCGCAATCATGGCCGCACAAGGCGGTATCTCTGACCCCGGTCTCATAACGTGAGGACCTCCTTAAACTGTATTTGTTTGCGCCGTATAGCTAATATGATCTTGCAGACTGGTGAACAAGCTTCAAGATGTATTCACGACCGTCGGTGTGCAAAATCCCATAGATCTTCCTCAAATCGCAGTGGTAGGGAGTCAGTCGAGTGGAAAGAGTTCGGTTCTAGAAAACATAGTTGGTAGAGACTTGTGAGTCTGCTATATACCCGCATGCTTTGTTTTACATATGCTAATACTATTATAATGCGCAGTTTACCTCGAGGAACCGGTATTGTTACTAGAAGACCGCTCATTCTACAACTTATCAACCGTCCGCCTACCGCGAAGACAAACGGAGTAAAGGATACGGAGGAACTGGTCACGACAGGTGATAAAGAAGCTAATGTTGATGAATGGGGCGAATTCCTTCACATTCCCGGGCAAAAGTTCTATGACTTTAATCAGATAAGAGATGAGATTGTGAAGGAGACAGAGGCGAAGACTGGTCGAAATGCGGGAATCTCTCCAGCTCCTATCAACCTCCGCATATACTCTCCAAATGTTCTTACTCTTACACTTGTCGATTTACCTGGGTTGACCAAGGTTCCAGTCGGAGATCAACCAAGGGACATTGAAAGACAAATTAAAGAGATGGTCCTGAAGCAAATTAGCAAGCCAAATGCTATTATTCTTGCTGTTACGGGTGCTAACACCGATTTGGCCAACTCTGATGGATTGAAGCTTGCGCGAGAGGTCGACCCTGAAGGTCAAAGAACTATTGGTGTTTTGACCAAGGTCGATTTGATGGACGATGGAACTGATGTTGTGGATATTTTGGCTGGAAGAATTATTCCCCTGAGATTAGGTTACGTCCCAGTGGTCAACAGAGGTCAACGGGATATCGACAATAAGAAGCAGATTAGTGCGGCACTGGAAAACGAGAAGAACTTCTTCGAGAATCACCGAGCATACAAGAATAAGAGCACGTATTGCGGAACACCTTATTTGGCCCGGAAACTGAACCTAATCTTGATGATGCACATCAAGCAAACCCTCCCAGATATTAAGGCTCGTATCTCGGCCTCATTACAAAAGTACACCGCGGAGTTGGCAGGTCTCGGAGATTCGATGCTTGGAAATAGTGCGAATATTGTTCTCAATATTATTACGGAATTTACAAATGAATGGCGGACGGTCTTGGAGGGTAATAACCAGGAGCTTTCTAGTGTCGAACTTTCAGGAGGTGCTAGAATCAGCTTCGTCTTCCACGAACTTTATTCAAATGGTGTCAAAGCTGTGGATCCATTTGATCAAGTCAAGGATATTGACATCAGAACTATTCTGTATAACTCCTCGGGTTCTTCGCCTGCGTTATTTGTTGGTACTACTGCTTTCGAACTAATCGTTAAGCAACAAATTAAGCGTCTGGAAGAGCCAAGTTTGAAGTGTGCTTCGTTGGTATACGACGAATTGGTCAGAATTCTTAATCAACTTCTTGCCAAGCCATTATTCCGCAGGTATCCTCAATTGAAGGAGAAATTCCATGCCGTCGTCATTGCATTCTTTAAGAAGGCCATGGACCCTGCCAATAAGCTCGTAAGAGATTTAGTGGCTATGGAATCATGCTATATCAACACCGGTCACCCTGATTTCCTCAACGGCCACAGAGTAAGTTTGACAATCATTGATTAATAATCACTACTAATTTATTTCATAGGCTATGGCTATTGTTAGTGAAAGACATAACGCATCTAAGCCCGTTCAGGTCGATCCTAAGTCTGGAAAGCCGATCCCATCAACACCTGCACGTACCGCAAGTCCAACACTGGATGGAATGAATGACCAAAATGGAGGTTTCTTTGGAAGTTTCTTTGCTTCTAAAAACAAGAAGAAGATGGCCGCTATGGAAGCCCCACCGCCGATTCTCAAGGCTTCTGGAACTTTGTCAGAGAGAGAAGGAACAGAAGTTGAGATTATTAGTAGGTCAAATCTTAGTACATCTCTAGATAACACTGCTAACTTCTTTTAGAACTTCTCATCAATTCATATTACAATATTGTAAAGCGAACCATGATTGATATGGTACCCAAAGCCATTATGCTTAATCTCGTCCAGTAAGAATCCTTGATCATTTTCTGAGTTACCATAATTAATCAATTATAGATACACCAAGGATGAAATGCAACGAGAGCTTCTTGAGAATATGTACAGAACCGATACTCTCGATGATTTGCTTAAAGAAAGTGACTACACCGTTAGAAGAAGAAAGGAATGTCAACAAATGGTTGAATCACTTTCGAAGGCGAGCGAAATTGTTGCTCAAGTACAATAAAGCTACTGTCCGAAGAACAAACGCAGCGACCCTTCCCGGCTCAAGAAAGTCGGAGACGGGGAAGCAAGGGAGGAAACGTTTATAGATACTCACCGCAAGTGTTGTGTTGGACCATTTACCTTAGACTCCTTTTTTTCGATTTCACAACGACATACGATACCTTTTCTTTGGCTTGAAGCATAATGATGTGTGAAATACACTAACGCGGCGATGGACATGAATGGGAAAGATGGTACCGACATTCCACCGATTGGAGAAATTTTGGTTTGGAAGCATGAAGCGAATGAATGAATGGCAAGCTTGATTGTTGTTGTTTACATGGAACGATTGTAACTCTTTTTAATTTTTCTTTTTTACTTTTTTCCCGCTTGTTGTCTGTCTACTGGCTAGGTAGCTTTTCGAGATAAAATACCTCCTATCTAGATAGTTTTGCTCCATTTGCCCCTACCTACCTACCTATGAAAAGATAAATTTTTGTTTCATTTCTTTCCTGTCCATTTCATGGTTTTTGCATCGTAACATAGATCGTATCATATCGCATCGCATCGTATCGGATGGGATCGGAAAGGATGGGATCGGACCATTACACGGCAGCAGCTTCTTTGCGTTATTACACGGCAGACTTTGCTGTATTACACGAAGCGTTATTATATACACGGCACGGCATGACGGCATGACGTATGTACTCGCGCTACCGTAATGTCGGTTTCTTACCTACATAACATAATATAATATAATATAATCGTAAGATTTTTTGCTCGTATTGACGAGAGGGAGAGGGAGAGGGAGGGGTGTGTTTGTGAGTTTGTAAGTTTGTGAATATGGGGGGATGTGTGGGTGGATGTGATGTGTGAGGGTGAAGGGATGTGTGAAATGTGAGTGAGGTGTATAGGCATTGTTTTTAGGTATGTATATGTGCACAACCTAATCGGCTTTTTCGAAGAAGATGCTTGCCTTGTATTATTATCTTGCCTCGCCTTGTCTTGCCTTGTCTTGCCTTGTATTTTCTAGTCCTAACTTGTATCGTCTTGTTTCGCCTTGTAACTGTCTTACCTTTTCCATATATTTATAATTTTACAAAGCTAGGTAGGAAAAGTTTATTTGTAGGGATATGGATTGAATTGAATTGAATGGAATGGAATGGAATGGAAAGGACTCTAGACTGATTAAGATTTGATATTTAAAGAGTTGAAGAGTTGAATGACTTCGTTACATCCGTGCTGAGTGAGTGAGTGAGGGATTGTGTACCTAAGTAACCTTAGATCGATCGGATTTGGTTTGAGATCTTGTGGTACGTACCTAGGGTCTGGATATGGATATGGATGTGGATTTGGTTGTGGATATGAAATTGGGTTTGGATTTATGGGGTTAGAGGTTTACTTTTGTCTGGTTTTATTTTTGATTTTTGATTTATGGGGAGTAGGGGAGATGGGAATGGGGAGGTGGGAGGTGGGATTGGGAAGAGGGCGGGTGAACAGTGGATTTGTGTATTCAGGTGAGGGAGATGGAGATGGAGATGGAGATGGAGATGGAGATGGAGATGGAGATGGAGATGGAGATGGAGATGGAGATGGAGATGGAGATGGAGATGGAGATGGAGATGGAGATGGAGATGGAGATGGAGATGGAGCAGAAGAAGGAGTTAGAGGAGATAATTAGAGGAGTGTGTTGGTTAACTGCCTATCTACCTATCTAGCTCTCGTGATTGAAGTAATTGCTTCAATCACTTGAAGTATTTCTAAAACCAGCTTCTATAGACAAATACCACACTGCTGGCTTGCTGGATATGCGTACTAGGTACATCTATGCTTTTGATAAGTACTATGTCCGTACATACTATGTCCATACATACTATGTACTTGAATGTTTGTAAGATCTTACGATGATGATGATGATGGGAATAATGGGAATAAGGTTAGGCGAGACGAAGTGAGGTGAAGTTAGAAAGAAGCACTATTGATATAAAAGTAGATGTAAATATATCAAGGGTGCGATGCCAATATGCCGAAGATAGGGGATGGAGATGGAGAGGGAGAAGGAGAGGGCCAGATAAGGGGTTTGCAGGTTAATGTTTCTGTTTCTTATTTCCCTATCTATCTAGGTGTTGTAACTTTACTTTACTATATATTCCGATATCGCTTTTTTGTCTCCCTTTTCTTCCTTCTTTCCTTATTTCTACTATGCAAGTTCCCTCCACGATGAGATTGGCGAAAAATGATTTGTCGTATAAGACAAGGTTATCCGCGTGTTTGCTTCTGGAAGTCGGACTATCTGCCTTTGTTTTTGTTTTTGTTTTTGTTCCCGTTTCCGGGATGACGGAATGACGGAGTGAGTTGATTTTGATCTAAATTTCATTATTATCCTTATTATTTTATTGATTCGATTCGATATTAACCGTTGTTGTTGTTATTTATTTGTGTTTGCGGCCAAGGTTGCGGTGAATATGTTTGTTTGTTATATGTGTGTGTATATGTGTGTGTTCCCGCGAATTTGGAAGGACCTTGTCAGGAAGTACCTATCTGTGTATCTATGTATCTATGTACCTGCATATCTATCTATCAAGGTTATCTATCTATCTATCCCTCTATCTATCCATCCACCAATCTACCACAAACAAGCAGAGGAAAAAAAATAGTCCCAAAGCCAAGACCCAAAGAATGTCACTGCCCTCTCGAGGCTTCCAAGCAGCCGACGGGAGCACTGCACTGTTGTAAGATCTTATGTAGGGTCTAGACAGGGCATCGGTATGACAAAAAAGCACGGTAGAAGGAATTTACGGGTATGGAAGGCATCGAGGAAACAACTGGGAATTTTATGATAGGTCTAGAAGGTCGAAGCAATAAGGGAAATAGTTATTTAAGTATGATGGAAGGATCAGTCAGGAAAAGAAGAAATTCTTGATCCAAGAGCTTTTTAGAGTCTTTCAGCTTTTATCTATCTAGTTAATTCTCCGAAGTGGCTGGCTGGCTTGTCTAAATTTGCTTCTTTTTTGAGCACTAGATTTCTTCTAATGGGAGATAATTGACTTAGCTTACCCAGGTAGCTATTGTTGATTTTTCGGAGTTAATCATATTTGTTTTTCCTTAATTCCTATATAATTCTTCTGTGTATTGTTTCGGATCAGATAAGATGGTCGTCGCTCCAGCAAACCTTTCATCTTCACGTCTTCAACAACGTCAGCGTAAAGCTGCTCCTCCAGTTTTATCATTTGGTGCTCCACAAATTCGAGCACCTCGTCGACGAGCAACTCATCATCCAAAAGTCGAATCTGTTTCGTCGACAAACATGTCAAGGGATGATCCGCCGTCTCCTCCTCCAAATCCACCTCCAAGTCCATCGATGCTTATTGAGCTAGATGATGATGATTTCAAAATCTGAGTTGTAAGTTTCCTACGCGATGATTCATAATGTTGGGAAATAAATTAACTTCTTCCCAAGATGTACCTGCGCTCGAAGCCTAAGTTGGAGTTTTGTCCAGCCACAGATTGGCTGCATCTGTTTAGGAGCAGATTATTCGCGATCGGTGACAGGGAAACGGAGTTGATTTGGGGTCGGTAGGCGATGACGGCTTGAGGTTTCGGATTCTGGTTCTTGGAGTATAGAATTGCGTTTGGGGGCGTTTTATATATGAAAATGAAAGGAGGATTGATAGATGAGAGGTCTCGGGTGTTCGAGGTGGGATCAGATACAATGGTGAATTATAATTTCGAATGCTTCTTCCCTATCAAGCCACCATTTTCAACATCATAATTTTCTCCTCTTTTCCACCCTAACCATTGATTAAGTATTTTTTCCCCACCTTCTCCAGGATACAATGGTTTTCCAATGTAGCCTCCTCCTTCCACATCAGGTCCTTGACTAATTGATGGGCCCTGAGTACTATTTGTGGATATTGCTAGAGATGGTGTCTTTCTGAGTGTTACCATAGGTCTTTGATCACCTTCTCTAGAAGGGTCATTCTCTAATTCATCGTAATCAAGAACAGGTGTACAGCAAGCATCTGTCCCATCGAAAATAGCTTCCCACTCAGATCTTGTTTTCGCCTTGAATAACCTAATGAAAGTTTCCCTCATCTCCGGCCATGTCTTTCTATCTTTTCTCGTCTTCTCTATACCCGTTCCTTCCAATCCCAACCCTTTCATTAATTCTTTGAAAAATTGCGGTTCCAAAGCACCAACTGCCATATATTTCCCATCCTTCGTTTCATACGTATCATAATACGGGCTGCCGGAGTCCAAAGTATTCTCTCCTCTCGGTTTATTCCACATGGGAGTTTTCCTCAACATTCTCGGAAAGCTTACAAGATATGCACTTCCATCCACCATATTCGCTTCCACCACTTGCCCCTTTCCACTCTTCTCCCGCGCTAGCAATGCGAGTAAAATGCCCTGAAATAGCGCAGCTCCACCTCCTGCAAAGTCCCCAAGTATATTTGCTGGTGGTAATGGTTTTCATTTTACGTCCGAGAAGTGATAAAGCCCCTGATACTGCTATATAGTTTATATCATGTCCGGCCATGTCTTTATACTTCCCATCACGACGAAAACCCGTCATTCGGGCAAGAATAATGCGTGGGTTAAGTTGCAGAAGAACATCGGGTGAAAGTCCCAATTTTTCCAAAACTCCAGGTCGGAATGGATCGATTATAACATCGCAATGGGGTACGAGCGACTTGATGAAGGATATCCCGGCAGATGATTTAAGGTCGACGGCAATGGAGGATTTATGTCGAGTTAGGAGATCGGCCGTGGGAGGAGGAATTGAGGATGAATGGGTGAGATTGGGAATTGCGCGATCAATACGGAGGACTGATGCGCCATAATCTGCTAAAAGAAGTCCGGCGAAAGGTCCTGTGAATTGATGTTAAGGGGAAGAGCTAGAATCTGGGGAAGTGGAAGTGCGGGGTAGCTACCTGGAGCTAGACCTGCAAATTCGAGGACGCGGATTCCTGTTAATGGTGGTGGACCCGTCATAGTAAAAGTGCTAAATGAAAGTATTTTCTTAAATAAAATTGTATTTCTCCGATAGTAATGTTTTATTATGTCTCAATAAGTACTTCGAGTTAGGATGGCACTTTGAGGTGGTGCATGCTTCACCTTGGACCGAGGTTCATTCGGGCTGATCAACATCTCGACTACTGACTGTATACGAAACGAACACCATAGACAGCGAAGACTTGAGAATATCATCACATTCACATTATAGCCTTATGGAACGGGAAAACGACCATTGGAAGCTTTAAATTGTCTAAATGAACAGTGTTATTGAGAAAAGTTTCTCCTGTTCCGCGTTGAACCAATTCTGGTGCATCATTGCTACACTTCTAGCACAATGACGGCTCACAGATTTAGGTACTTTGACGGATCTAAGTAGATATGTTGTTCTCATGGGTTCGAACATAAATACAGCGAGTATTGATTATCTGATGAATTCATTCTGCCATACTGATTGAGGTTGGATGGGCCCGAGATCTAACTCCCGATTTGATAATGCGGTGCCAATGAAGTTCCTACCATGCGGAGTTCTTCCCATGAAAATTCCTCAGTAGCATGTACTCATAATTCGGGATATACTGATTGACCCGAATCAAACCCCAAGCTCGTTGAGCCATAATGCATGCCGAGATGCCCATGAAGAGAGCCGGGGCATTGACTGCATGATATTGGTGTCAGCTGAAGAGATGCATTTCCAGTCCATAAAGAATACATATAAGTCAATCACAGTAAGGAGCCGATCTGTCATTTGATTCTATAAAGTTAATATTGGACAATCAAACACAGATTGGAAAGAGGTATTTATCGGGCGGGGGCCTTGAAATCATCCATTTAGACTTCCAAACATCTGTGTCATTGGTGCAGGACAGTATACATTCGACCTACTCCTAGCTTCTCTATTCACCTTAGCATCCCATCCGATTACCTAGACCTCAACATCCATTCCTGACAACTAGCTATCCCTTAAATATAGGCTCCTCCAACCGTTTGGCTGATTCACCATTGAATCCAGCAAAGAATATATCACCAGTGAAAAATCGAGTGCCATAACTCAAACCCAGCATATAATAGCGAACGACCCAAAATCTCATGGAATACCTCGATACAAGCTACCTCTATCTTCGCATTCCTTAAATTTTATTAAATTCTCACATGAAATCCCATTCATTTGTCCCTATTTCACAAGCCCCATACAAAGTGACAGGCGAGGTGTCATTTTAATTTGAATAACGAACAATAGTAGTGGAGATGTATTTGTATTAGGTCGAGCATGAATAATCTAAAGTTCACATTCAACTCCAGGCAAAACTTCACAAACACAGGATCACAATGTAGAAACAACCAGCTAACCACTATCCAGTTTCAAATATACCGATATGATCTTATATCAACCTGCTAGCCATCTTTTCAGCCATCTTTTCAGCCATCTTTTCATTATTTGACAGCCTTTCATCCACTTCTTCAATGACAAACTGTGAGCGGACTCTTCAATCCTTCATTCTATGGGCGGGCGAGGGTACTTACACTGTCGTAGAAAATGCGTGCAGCTATGTTTACTGGTGAGGTGCCTTGGACTATTTTTACCTCCCATACCTGTTTCTTCTTTTTAAACTGTTCCATCCACCAGATCTGGCTGGCTTAGTTTGGTATCCAGGTATACTGGTGTCAAATGAAGTCTTCCGTTAAAATGTGCCCCCTATTGCTGTACACTTCCGCGTGCGCCATCAACGACTTTTATTCACTCCTTCAAACCGCTCTCTTATATTCCTAAAGTCGATCTCCACATAACAAATACCACTCGTTCCCTTGATAAGCATTGGCACAAGATGTCATTGACATCGCAAATTTGCCCATTTGCAATCCCAATATCGGAATTGGAACTTTCCACGCCAATATCGTACACTCACAACCAGAAAAGAAGTATAATTCCACTTCAAACTCCATTTAATCAATGATTGATTGTCACATTCGTTGACATACTGAATTTTATATGTTTAGCTTAGCCGACAAAATTCCGACATAACCTCGCACCAAAACCCCCTCAAACACCAAGCCATTTGTTGCACATCTCAGAAAAAACGCGCAAAATTTCATTTTTTGAAAAGGTCATCTAACTCAAATTTTTCGACAGATATAGAATCGTCTAGTTCTCACGAAATCATTTTATATGAAGAAAAAATCTGCTCGAGGCTTGCTTGAAGCGCAAATAGGGAATTTGTGTCGCTTTCCAGAATTTTCATAAAGTGAGGTTGAGGTGACACTACTTTTGCACGTGGATGGTGGAAAGTTAAACTGGTCACGGACCATCTCTTCAGACGGGTGTGACAGGAGGATGTGTTTGAGCGGTTTCATAGCTCGAGGTCGATTCGATTGATCTTCAGCACTAAGATGTGTTCGAAATATTGCTATATATATATACGCTTTGCTTCACCCCCGAATACTAATCTATCAGACTTGTTAATATATAGAATATCTTAATTATGCCTACTTTATTCGGAAACTTCAATCTGTAAGTTAAACATGCCCCCTTCATCTCCTCATTACGAGAGCCGCATTCTAACACCTCCCCCTCTTAGTCCCACCGATTTCCTCGGCCGCTTCTTGAAATCACAATTCAAAAAACTTCCATATCCAGAGACCTCGTCTGCGGGCCAAACAGTAATCATAACGGGCGCAAACACAGGACTCGGTCTCGAAGCCGCTCGACACATTGTGCGCCTCAATGCAGCCCGAGTAATCCTCGCCTGCCGCAGTCTTTCCAAAGGCGAAGCTGCAATCAACTCTATCAAAGCCTCTCTTCCAGATCACAAAACCATTATCGAAGTATGGCAGGTAGATCTAACTTCCTATGCATCGGTCAAAGAATTTTGCGCCAAAGTAAACCAGTTGGATAGATTAGATGTACTGCTTGAGAATGCAGGATTGGCAGTACCGAAATATGAGGAATTTGAGGACATGGAAAGTACGGTTACGGTTAATGTGATGAGTACTTTTTTAATGGCACTACTGGTATTGCCGAAATTGAGGGAGAGTGCTGCGAAGTTTGATATAGTGCCGAGATTGACGATTGTGGCTAGTGATGCGCATGAACAGGTAAGATCTTCTCTCCTCTCATCCTCGATAGAATCCTCTACATATGAGTTGCCAGGAATTATAACTACCTTTCCTAAAACCCTACAATCATCATAAAACCAACCCACAAACACCCCTAAGTCTAACACATTCCCCCTTTAGGCCCTCTTCAAAGAACAAACCTCCCCCTCCATCCTTTCAGCACTCAAAAACCCCCAACTCCAACCAGACCGCTACAACGTCTCCAAACTCCTCGAAATCCTCATGATACGCGAACTCGCGCCGCGACTCTCCAAATCCGATAAAGATCAAATAATACTCAATACACTTACACCTGGATTCTGTCACTCCGAACTTATGCGCCATGCTGTATTTCCTTTGAATATTTTTGCTTGGATTGGTAAATCGCTGTTGGCGAGAACGGCAGAGGTAGGTAGTAGGACGTTGGTTGCTGCTGCGGCAGCGGGAGTGGAAAGTCATGGGATGTATATGGTTGATTGTGAGGTTAGTGAGCCGAGTAGGTATGTACGGAGTGAGGAGGGGAAGAATGCGCAGGTGAGGGTTTATACTGAGGTTATGGAGGCATTGGAAGGGATTGAGCCCGGGATTACGAATAATATATAGGAATGTGGAAATTATTTTATGTATTTTTAACTTATATACTATGCCATCCATATACATATATACATATACAATATCCTAAAATTACATCACATCACATCATGATCCCAAAACCCCCTCTAATCCATATTTTCCACTCCCCTCTCTCACAGACCCCTCACTCCGCTCCAAATACCTCAACGCTCCCTTCGTAGTAGCACAACTACTAATACTCCCCCCATTGACATCCGCACCCACGGGTACCCTCCTTCCATCCTGCACACGCCCCAGCACATAAAAATAATACCACACCTCATTAACCACCGTATGTCCATCATCCAAACTCCCCTTGCCCTCAACCGTAGCATTGAATTTCGGCCCCGAACATCCTAAATAAGGTACTGCACCAGATTCCTTCTTCAATGCTGACTGCAGAGCAGATAGTGTGTAGGTAGTTGTATTTGAGGGTATAATATGGTGTCTGGAGAGGAAAGTATGGGTAGGGAGTGTAGAGTAGTAGGAGAGGGCGGTGGTGTAGAAGGAGATGAGATCTGCGTGGGGAGTTTGGTTAAAGAAGGGTCCGTAGCAGGGGGTATCGAAGGTGGAGAAGCAGGTTGCGTGTTTGGAGAATTCGTGGGCCCAGAGGTGCCAATTAGGTGTTAATTGCGCGATCCAGTATCTAGGTTGTGAGGGTTAGTTTTGTGCGAAGGAGCAGATGGGCCGAGGAGAGAGTCTATACGTACTTGTTCATGTATGCGAGAAGATCATATTTTCCATATTGCTGAATAATATCCGAAATGGGTTTGCCGGTATAAGGAGGCACGGGAGTACCGCTCGACGTCCCAGTGGTGGTATTAGGAGAGGGCTCAGGATCATATTGACGACTAGATATCCTCAGCTTTAGTCCCGCACCCGAGAAGTTTGCAATTGCATAGGATAAACAAACCTCAAATCACAATACTGCGTATAAGAGCCATTACAAAAATCCGGCCAAAGCCCATGCAACGTCCACGAATTCTGAGGTAACAATTGACCCTCTGCTTCACGCCCCGTATACGTATCCCAAAACTGGGTGCTGAGGAGTAGACCGCCGAATGTTTCCGTACAGCAGGAATCGGTCAGGTCCGGAGTGGCATTTTTGGAACAGGAGAGATAGGGTGTTTCTTATGTTTTGTTAGGTGTTTTGTTGATGCGATTGTGAAGGGGTGCTCAGTACTTACTCAATTCGCAGGTGTGGTTGAGACTACTTTCTCCGTATAATGAGGCTTGTACGCCTTGGAGAAGTAGAGGGCCGAGAAGGGTAGTGATTTTAAGATTCGGCATCTTCGCGACTTTAGGAGAAATCGAGATCCAAAAAATAGAAGCAAATGAATAAAAAATACAAAAAATCTCGACCTTAAGATCTCGACTTTAAGTAAACCCAAAAAAAGTCGACCCGACTTGGGTCGGCTTTAGCCCACCTCGGTCGCATCAATCATGCATGTAAGTATCGAATGGGAAATCTTACCGGACCTGGTAATGTATAAAGTCAAAAGTAATAAAAGATGGTAGCTTATCAATAGAAAAGAAAGGCAGGCCAGGAACATGATGCAGTGCAACGACCCCTCACGATAAACCTTCACACGTGGGGCAGGTTTTGGATGGGAAAAGATAACTGGTATCGGAGTTCCCCAGGAACGGCTTTTTGGATGTTTGTCACCTGCCTTTCTGGGTAAGGACAATTAACCGCCAAGAGATGTGGATATTTTGATGAATATTCTCAGCCGTCATTTGTAGGATTACATGTGGAAACGTTGGAGTGGGTATGTTGAGCTGGATATGTACATACAAGCTTGTCGCTGGCTATTATGAATTCCAAAAATGTCAAATCGCTTATGCTTTTGTTTGATGCTTATGCATACATAGACTGATAAATATGGACAAGAAAACATAAACTCATTCATCTTTATGAATCGCAATTAAAATCAGGTATCTTCAGTAATAACTATCGTCGTCTTAACCTCTTCCAAATCTTCGATCGAAGAGTTTAAGTACACCCATAACACTTGCAGCCTCCACTTCCATGGGTGCTCTACCGGCGTGTTGGAGCGGTGTAGCATGGAGACGGCCCAACCACGTATTTAACTCATCACTAGCTTGATCAAAATTCTTATGGGTAGAGAGAGTTTTGTAGGTTTCAGCGACAGATAAACTTGGGGGTGGTTCTGATGAAGATGCCGGGTCCATCGTCTTGCAACAGCCACCACCAGAAGAGTTACCTCCACAGCATCCATCTGGTGGAGCTGAACTTGAGGAAGCTCTCATTGCTGCAAGTGATCGACAGAATAATCCCGCCTTGGGATCACTCATACATTGTTTGCAAGTACCAGGGCCATTGGCGCAAGAATTGGAAGTTGGTGCAGCAGCAACTGGACGATGCATATGATTAGGTTGCATAGATGGAAGTTTAAGCTGCGTGTTTTCGATATCTGTATCTGATGGTGGAGGTGTGACTTCATTCAGTAATGGTGCAAGACGATTTTCGAGCTCTTTTTCAGCACATGGGCAAAATGTTGCTTGATCACAGAAGCCACATGGTTCAATAGGTCGTGTCAGGATCTGAGGTGGAGGTGATGGTTCGCGGATGACTGGTTGTCGTCGTGAGAACTGGGCAGTAAAGTCAATCTCGAGGGGAGTAGAAGGCCTAGACGACAAACGAGCACGTTTTTCTACAGCAGCATCAGTTGTAGGAGAATGTGCTCTCTTCAAATCTGTGCCGGCATCCTTAAGCGCTTCCTCTAAGCACGGACAATGAGTATCAGGGCTGCAATTACCACAACCTTGAGTAGACATAGCAATTACTTGTTGAACACAAGCACATTCATCTGTAGACTTGCAACCACCACATCCAATTTCACTTGGTATCTCAAGTTCTGGAACGAAAGGGCTCTGTTGTTGTGGCACTGTCGGTAAGGTTTGCGTCGACTGCCGGTTCCTGCGGGGTGGTAGCGGAACAGCATCAGTGCTTGTGCTTGAGAATCCGTTTCTGAGATATGCCAGTTCCTTGAGTGCAGTTTCCTTTTCTCTCTTCTCGTATTCTGCAATTCGATCAAGAGTCTCGCATCGTAATCTCCATGACTGAAGTTCGCCATTGAATCGGGTAACCTCTGCCTCAAGTCTAGTAATCTTCAATCGCATATCATTCTCACGCCTTTGTTGATCTTCCTTCGCGTCCTCAAGCTGTTCTTCTAATTCGCCTACTCGGGCAGCCCGTCTTTCTCTAAAAGCACGCTGAGCAGCTCTATTTTGAGCCTTTCTCTTTGTTGGTGGGGTGTCAGTTGCAGGTTTTCGTCCAGGTTTCGGTCGTGGCGGAATAACCCATTCTTTCGTCGTCATGATAGTGGGAGTAGAAGCCCCAGATGCTGACGCCGTGGTGGTCATGATTGATAAGTTTTCGGTTTTAATGGCGAGAACTGGAGGAGCGGGCGCAAGAGCTGCTGGTGAACCAGCCGATGATGGTGTTGATACAGTGGGTGAAGCCATGACTCGGGTCAATGAATAGCCGATTGGCGAATTTTCTCTCAACCGCAGGAAAGGAAGATCACGAGATATGAAGTAAACTCTTTGAGACCCGACTCTTTTTTGAACTTGACACACAAACAAACCCTTTTGTGAAAAATGTGATTGGATATAATTGACTCTGTTGCTAATGAAGATGAGAAGAATTGGAGTCGTTACTCATCAAATATAAAATGACAATTCTAAGGAAACTTTGTGGAAAATATCAAGCAATTGTTACCAGAAACAGGACGAATGAGGTTTGTTTGTGAAATCAGATTAGAAAGAGAAAGGGAAGGGGAAGGCGAAGGGGGGGAAGGAACTGAGAGATCAAAAAGATTAGATTGATAAAAATTAGCGTAAAAAGTTAGTGTCATAATCGTAAGAGTTGACGCACGCTTACTTTCCGAAAATCGGCTCTGTTGGTTTCCGATATCCTATTTTGCAGGCATCAAGTGAATTAATTACCTTCCTAACCTCTTCTCAACTTTCTCTAACCTGACATATATTATATTATGGATTGTCAACTGAAGGGAGGTATCCAATCATAATCTCTATCACAGTTAAAATTCCTTTAGGCCAAGAGAGAAAAGAAGGGATCTTTCATCAACGATTTTTCATACCCTCGGTTGTTTCCCTAGGATTTGGGCTTGATTTACTAGAGCTTGCGTTCGTTGTCTGGGTCCACCCACCTGTTAAGTAAACTGCCGGCCGACATTCTGCTCATGAATGCCTGACCAGCCTTAAGGACGAGTTGTTCCGAAGGAACGGGTTAGGGAGGGTGTATGAACACAGCAGCAGCAACTACAAAAATACCAAACGAAAAGGACAGAACTCCAAAAGGAGATATCAAAGCTTAGATACACAATCCGTATTCAACCAGTGGTTGTGTTCTTTGTCTTTACGTTCGATTGATATGAAAATCTCTTACAGTCATCAAATATGAGTAAATTCTATTTTGGTGGAGGATCGGGTGATGTTTCCTCGGACGATGAGGACAATCTCCCATACCCCGAAGCACTTCCCCGAAGCGATTTTCTGGCTCCAACTTTCGATGCACCAACCTATCTATCGACTTTATCAGATCGCCACCAGACCCTCGAGGATTTACGTTCCGATCTTCGCGAGCGTTCACAGGCTCTCTCAAAAGAACTATTAGATCTAGTGAATACCAATTATGAACAATTCCTGAGCTTGGGCTCGGACCTTAAGGGTGGAGAAGAGAAGGTTGAAGATGTTAGGGTGGGGCTATTGGGTTTTAAAAGAGGTGTTGAGGATGTGAGAGGGAAAGTTAGAGAAAGGAAATTGGAGGTTGAAGGTCTTCTTGGCGAGAAGAAAAATGTTAGTAAGGACATAGCTTTGGGAAGGAAATTGCTCGAGGTTGATTCACGACTTGAAGAGTTGGAGGATAGGTTAATGGTTGCGTCGCTCGGTCGGTCACCAAACGGGCTTGAAGATTCTTGGAGTGAAGATGAAGATGAAGATGAGGATGAGGACGGACTGGCTATCGATGGACTTGTCAACGGAACAAGTACGAGGAAGCTACAGAGACTTGTGCTAGACTATCGTAACATTGAGCATTTGTCAACCACAGTTGGGTTTGATCATCCCTTCATTGCAGCCCAGCAACCTCGATTATTGCGGCTGAAAAACACCATTATTCTGGATTTAAATACTGCTTTAAAGCATGCAATGTCTTTAAAGGAAGAAGGTCAACCGCGATTGATCAAAATCATGGGCATATACCATGATTTGGGAGCTGGCGACGAAGCCGTCAAGATATTGAGAGGCGTTAAATCCACATAACAATTGAATGATGTATTTTGTAGGCTTCAGGAGTTTATAGGAATATACCCAGCTAATAGAATGAGTCTTCATTATACAGTTAAAGTACAAATGTGCATGTCATGATATGTGTGATGTTATGATGAAGTCGATAAATCTCGAGGGGTCAGACTCGAGTTGAGATCTCTGAACTCCCCATTAAGAACGAATCCAGGACCGTTTGTGGAGCTCAAAACCACCTCTACCAGCTCTTTACTGATCTTGTCACTCAGCTGTGCCATGTCCTTCTTCACAGCCTCGATAAATGCCTTAACATTTCGCTGCATTTCCTCTGGCGTGAAACCGAGTTGACCAACTGCCATTCTTACAACACCCAAACGTTCTCGATATTCAGCACCTCCAATCAAATCCTTCAAAACCAAACTTGGGTCTTTCACAACGGTACCCGTCTTGGCGCTTGGCATAAGTCCTCGAGGACCCAAAACTCTACCCAAACCAGCTTTATTCATTTTCGCCAGAGAATCCGTTTGACAGATACATCGGTCGAATTCGATTCGGCCATCCTTTACAGCTTCAAAAATTTCCTCTTCTCCGACTAGTGTTGCTCCTGCCGCTTTAGCCGATTCCGCATATTTCGAATCCGGAGGGCAAATAACGCATATCCTCAAATCGGTTTTGACTGGGTGTGGAAGTCGTAATCGATTCCGTACAACTGGACCGTTCTTGAGAGATTTCAACTTCAGATGCATCTCGTATTTAGAAGAAGTAGGGGGTCTCCCAACTTCGAATGCTCTTAAATATCTGTACACCACATGAGTTAACCTGTCAATCGAACGCGAAAGGCTGGACTAACCGCATGGCATCACACAACGTGAATGTTTCTGCATCTTTTGGATCAAATTGTCGATATGTCGTCCTCGGCTTCTTCTTCTTCTTTTCCGTGGTCTTCTTTTTCGAAAATGACTTAGTTGGTCCGGTGAGAATGCCCGACTTCTCCTTCTTGGAAAGAATCCTCTCTTTGAAGCCCTTGTGTCGGACTTGGACTATTGGTATCGAGGTTTTTGGGTTATGGAGTAGGGTTTGTCGGACTGTAGACAGAGACAGTCTGCTCATTTGAGCAAGGCATAATCCAGGAGCTGCCATATTGTGTTGATCGTGGCCTAGAAACTTTCGATTTTTGGTAAAACAGCTTGCAATTCGAGATCACCCATCATCACTAGCGCCAATTCATAAAAATTAGCTTCCGCTCGGTGCTCGGCCGAACCCTTTTCCGGACCACCCCGCCCTGAGTCAACAAACTCCCCACTATCCTCAGAATTTATTTCAGGGCTTGACCAAACAATTTACTGCTCTATATTGACAAAATGAAGTCCGAGGAATTATCACAACTAGCGACGAATCTAGCTCCGCTAGACTTCAAAGCTATTGAGCCGCATTTACTAGCTTTAGACAAGCATCTTACCCTTCGTTCCTATATTGACGGGTACTCAATCACGGAATTGGACTCAAAAATATGGATCACACTTCGAACAAACAGAGTTGCTGCTGCTTTCATAAAGAAGGGAACTTCTATCAATCTTGTCAGATGGTATCAATTTATTGAGCAAACTCATCCAGAAATCCAAGAGGAGATCAAGCTTAAGGATGAGGCGGAGAAGGCAAAGAAGACAGCTGCTAGCAAGGCGGGAGCAAGCTACAACATCGCTTTACCTAATACTGAGAAAGGGGTTGTGACTAGATTTCCACCAGAGCCATCGTATACTCGCCGCGCTCCATACACCTCAAATTTATGTTACTAATGTTCTTTAGTGGATATCTTCATATTGGGCACGCAAAAGCCGCACTTCTCAATGACTATTTCGCACACGAGCTCTACAAAGGCACACTTCTCCTGCGATTCGACGACACGAACCCTTCGAAAGAAAAACAAGAATTCCAAGATTCCATTATCGAGGATTTGGCACTTATGGGTGTCAAGCCAGATAAGAAGAGCCATACTAGTGATTACTTTGAGGAGTTATATCAATTTGGTCTCAAAATTATCAAACAGGGCGACGCTTATGCAGATGACACAGATCAACAGACTATGAGAGAACAGCGAATGGATGGTATTGCGAGTAAGAACAGAGAAAAGAGTGTTGAGGAGAATCTCGCCACATTTGAGGAGATGAAGAATGGCACGGAAGCAGGAAAGAAATTCTGTATCCGAGCAAAGATGTCTGTGGACAACCCAAATAAGGCAATGCGCGATCCTGTCATCTACAGATGCCCTAATGACGATCCCGAGACCGGCGGACCATTACCTCATCACCGCACTGGTAGTACATGGAAGATGTATCCTACCTACGATTTTGCATGCCCAATCGTCGATTCACTCGAAGGAGTCACACACGCATTGAGAACAACGGAATACAACGACAGAAATCCCCAATACCAATGGTTTATCACCAAGTTAAACCTCACTCCAGTGCATATGTGGGAGTTTGCTCGTATGAACTTCGTTCGCGTGTTCCTCTCAAAACGTAAATTAGCCAAGATGGTTGATGCTGGAAGAGTTTGGGGTTGGGATGATCCTCGTATGCCAACAATCCGTGGTGTTCGAAGAAGAGGTATGACCATTCCTGCTTTGAGAGATTTTATCTTGAAGCAGGGACCAAGTCGAAACATTGTAACCATGGACTGGACCAACTTTTGGGCTTCAAACAAGAAGGAAATCGATCCAATTGCGCCAAGGCATACAGGTGTTGACATCAAGGATCAGGTAAAGGCTGTTCTCACAAATGGTCCTGAGACACCATATACCGAAGACAAGCCTAAGCATGGAAAAAACCCCCAGGTTGGCATGAAGAAAGTTACCTACAGCAAGAATCTCATTCTTGATCAAGAGGATGTCAAGCTGTTTAAAGAAGGCGAGGAAATTACTCTCATGAACTGGGGTAATGCTTTCGTACGCAAAATCAACGGCTCCGGCCCAATCACAGATATCGAGCTAGAGCTGCATTTAGAGGGTGATGTTAAGAAAACCGAAAAGAAAGTCACTTGGTTATCCTCTGACCAAACTCTCATCCCAGCTGAAGTGTACGAGTTCGACTACATGATCACCAAAGATAAATTGGAGGAGGATGATAACTGGGAGGATTTCCTCACCCCGGATTCCGCTCATAAGACAGACCAGTTATGTGATAGCAACGTGGCTGATCTCAAGGAAAATGACATCATTCAACTGGAGAGAAAGGGGTATTTCAGGGTTGACAGAGCGGCTAAAGATGGAAAGCCAGCGGTGATGTTTGGTATCCCTACCGGAAAGTCGAAGTGAGGCTATGGAACGACGCAAATGGAAGAAATGAAGAAATGATATCAAAAGATTGGTAGTTATGAGTACTATGGAATAAATGAGTGAATGAATGAAATGCTAGACATTTTAGAACTAAATCCATTCTTACCCCTTTGAATGTTCCTATGAAATACTATAATATTTTCGCCTTGAAGTTTATTTTTAGCATGTCTACAAAAGAGTCGCTGCTGGCCTAGATGTATGATGCTGACCTATATTTAAGACTTAAGGTTAAAAAGCTTTTTATTACATAAGCCTATGCGGGTCTCAAACAGGGCATCTGGTAAGCACCACACAACGCAAAACAAAATGTACGTACAAGATGCTCAATCATGATTGCGGATCTCTTACAGGATTGCATTTCATTTGGCGTGGCAGATTTGTTGGTGGATTGCTCAGTAACCTTGACACAATATGTCCAATAGATGATAGTGGGATATTGCTCGCAGGCAGATGAACCAGCTAATAAAGCAAAGATCTCTGCCAGTGGTATGTCTCGCAAGGACGTCAGCTTCATGCCAAGAATTCTCGATAGTAGGATCCATCTCAACCACCCCATCATTCACCGCGAAAGTGATGCTCTATATAAGCACGGCTGGCGCAGTCGCCCCTACTGCAGAACTATTATTTAACGAATCGATTCCTCAAATTTTCTTTTTGCAAAGTCTTTTGTTTCCGAAACAGTATATTCTTTGATTCGATGTCACGAGAGCTCTTTTGGAACTTCCGTGTGTGGAAACGCGAGCTAGCTTCACTTGCTACAGGAACATTATGTTTTATAGCTCTCGCTGCACTTCTTTATGCTTTTGATGGGAAAACCATTTTTCGCTGGCATGGTATCACACTCAACGCCTTGGTGTCTATTCTTTCAACCGCTGCTAAAGTTCTTGTTTTGTATTCCATTGCTGAATCTACTAGTCAGTGGAAATGGCTTCACTTCTCGAAACAGAAAAATTTTCTGATAGACTTTGATAAGATTGATGCGGCAAGCCGGGGGCCATTGGGTAGTTTCAAACTGCTATGGAGGAGAAATCGGGAGTGAGAACTTCCTTGTCTCGTACTCGATAAGAAAAGCCATGCTCACATGGATAGGCTTATAATACGCATTGGTGCTGTCACCACCGTGCTTGCTTTGGCAGTCGACCCTTTTACACAGCAGCTCGTTCAATATCACCAACGTTCTGTCCCTCGTGAAATTGGAGAGATGGCCAGTGTCCCCAGATCGGATCGTTATTCCAGGGGTCGACTATACAATACTCAGCTTACCATGGTGTCAAGTAAGTCAATCCCCGCGAAGCCAAATATGAGTCTCAATCCGCTGACCTAGAGCAGGTGATCCACCCATAGCGCAGGCGTTTGCGGACGCTGATTTTACCATGCAGTCCGCTGTTCTATACGGTCTTACGCAGCCTATTGAGATGACCACTCAGCAACTTCCTCACAAGTGCGCATCAGGAAATTGTACCTGGGATGCGTTTGAATCCCTCTCGGTTTGTTCTATATGCAACAACCTCAGCGACAAAGTAGTTGAATACAGAGATTACAATGTTCTCTACACTGATCTACAAACTGATAACGGTGTTGGAATATTAGAGATGGGTACTGCATTCCGACTTCCCAACGGCCTTTTTATTGATGGTTTTGATGGCTGGAATTACACCGATAAATACATATCTCTCAAACTTCCAGGCGGCATTTTCATGACGACATATGGAACAAGCAATGCCAGCGAGACGGTGTCACTACAAGATATTGATACTTTGATCTGGGCGATGACCTTTCTCAAAGTACATCCTCCACAAAATACGTCAGTTGTCTGGCCGAATTTACCTTTGGAGGCACGAGAATGCGGCTTGTACTATTGTGTTAATCGTTATAATTCGACTATCGTGTCCGGAAATCTATCTGAAGAAGTTTCTGAAGTAACGAGTGCAACGCGAGATCCGGATTCATGGCAGGTCACAAGCTCGAAGTGGGCTGCTGTTCTTAACTCATCCATTATTTCGAGTCTAGAGTTCGATAATAAATTATCAGCTGCACCTCGATCCGATCTTTCTCTAGGCGGAAAGTACAATGTCTCACAAGCTGCTGTCAACAGCATTAGTAGTTATGTCAGCGATTTGTTTTCTACAAGCATCAACATAACCCACAATGTTACTGAAACTCAACAAGCAAGATTAAATGGGTACATCATGTCCGATGGTAATCTCCAATACAAACCCAGCTCTATGCAAGCTTTCAACACGAGCAATGACCTTCCAGCTACATTTGCGTCTCTTGCAAAAAGCATGAGCAACTCCATCCGTGCTAACGACGATGGCCAAAAGGTACAAGCTGGGACAAACCACGAGATGTTCACTTTTTATAGAATCGAATGGGAATGGATATCCTTACATTGTTTTTTTATCATTGCCGCAACCGTTTTCACAGCTCTCACGATATATCAAACCAGAATACGAGGGACACCCGCATGGAAGTCGAGCTCTCTTGCCGTTCTTTCCAGAGGCATTGTGATAGGCCAGACGTTTAGAGGCGCAGAGACGATGGCCGAGTTAACCCAAAGAGCAAAGAGTGAAAGGGCATGTCTATATGGAAACTATAGTGAGCTGCAACAACACCGTGAGGATGTCGAGTTGGAGGAAATAATTTTGGGATCGTCAGATGGCTCGCAGATGGTCAAAGGGGCACGGTCTGTGAGATGAGTCGAGCATGATTCATTGATGTTTATGTTATTATCTCGAATTGGGAGGACCAATAGTTCACAAGGACGAAGAGATACTTAAAATACTTATTTGATGTATGTTTGTCTTGATTTCGGCTACTTTAACGGAAACGAAGAATTTTCCGATGTCTTTTCCACTAATCTACAAGTCTCTCTTATGATTGTTCAAGTTTTGGTGTAAGAAATTACTATTCCCTCCTTCACATTATAATTACTTCCTGCATCTCCTTCAAATGTAACTTCATGTGAATATTAGCTATCCTTTAGATCGACACAACATCCACCCCTCCATCGCAATACCTTCAGTTTAAATATTCCCACCCATCTCACCGTGTAGCTCCCCTGCCCAACAAATTCGTCGTCTACGGCGCTGGGCACACGCCCGCAAACTAAGAGAAAATGGTGCAAACGGTTGTGTTAATAACGCTGGAATAGGCGGAATATCAAGTATTCTGATTTGAGAGTAGTAAGGTAGGAAAACGAGCATCCTTCTAACCATTACCAATTCGAAATATTTTTGCATGAATTCATCGCTATCATAGATGGAATAAGATATATTTGAATTCCTAGCATAACTCGAGGGTTAGATGTGCTTAAAGTCCTCAATGCACTCAAATATTTTGTGGTTCTGGTTGACTCAACACGTGGATAAACTACTCGCACTAAGTACTGCGGAATTTGTTCTTTGCAATTGATCTTTGATGAAGATAATTTTATGAAAATAAACACAGGGGGTAGGGCTAATAGTTTAGTTGTAGAGGACGTGCGCCAAGTTTTGACCAAACACTTTTCCACGTCTCTAGTTGATCATATAAAATTAAAAGGATCTCGGAATGAGCGGTACTGTTGGCTCAATAAAGAGATCTTAGGGCTGGAATTGTAATGGCCTACCATGATTGTGGGAGCCATGAGTTCGAACCTCATCACCCCTTCTGGGGGGTGTGATTGAGATTTTCTGGAAAGGAAATGAGGGGAAATCCGCTTCTAAGGGGGAAAAGCTGGAGAGTGGTAGAACATGCACATGTAGGGCATATCACCTCGTTCGAACTTGTCACTCGAAGGGAACGTCGTCGATCGATGACGGATATCAACTTCCATAGAATGTGCGAGACATGAGCTCGATTCTCATCATCTCCGTTGATTTTTTGTTTATTTCCGTTCTGGTTGTCTTTGTCTGTTAATTACGTGTGAAAGTGTAAGTGTTTCTTTTTTTCGGTGTCGAAGGGTGGGAGGGAGGTTGTGTTAGGTTTCACTCACTCGTCGAACGTTCCTTCCTGCCTTACGATTTCAATGGTCTTTTCATCCTTATTCACAATTTCTTCTGGTGTCTTTAATTCGATTAAATTCTGCTGCAAATTCTGCTAAAAGTTCCATAAGAATATTGTACTCGTCAAATAAATTTATCTTGAAATGTAGAACGGCGGTAGGTAGGTACAGTACATGCACCTCAAAGTGTGAAAGCCACAAGGCTTTTTTAGCCCTTCACAGGTCTCGGCTCTTTAGTCTTAATTCATCCTACCAAGAACGTGTCAGATGAGGGTTCAATTCGCCGTTCCAAAAAAATATTTTGTGAATTTCTTTCTTTTTGTCACAACCATGAGCAAAATTCAAAGTCCCTTCTTAATTCTATATGGCTATGACTTCACTTTCCTTTTTCTACTTTTTTAACTGGCCTTTTTGACAGTACTTTATATCTATAAACTTAACTGAGGTCGCGATATAACTAACTTATGTTGGCGATATATGTTGCATATCAAATGTGTCTCTGCCCAGAAAGGATGTCAAATCAGGTTAGCAAGACAAAAAAGAGGGTAAGCGAAACACCTTCCATGCATTTCATCACCTCAAATATAGTAGCCAAGCTACCTGATAAGTACCGAGTAGCTTCCGTTTTCCAAGACCATGGCCTAAGCAATCTCGGCAATTCCTTACAACAATCTCACCTCACCGCATTCACTCACCTCACCGTCCTCGCTTAATCCACAACATCAAAAGCATCAAAAGCAGCAACGCGACAAAAACAAATACCAATTAACAAATTCACACATACAGCAATGAATTGACCTTCAAAAATACTGAAAAGACAAAAAAGAATACTCCATCCGCCCGACCGAGGCCTTACGAGGAACGGGAATCAACCGAGGAGCCAAAGCACACAGGCTGATCAGAAGGCTTGATCATATGCACCATGCAAGGCTACGACTCGTTTGTTGTAAATATGTTCAAATTTGGGAATTATGTATCCGGACTGCTTCTGGGTGTGTACATATTTGATGATGACAAGCATAAAGCCTGAGCTGGGGAAATGCTTTTAGTCCTTGATGGCTTCTCGGTATTTTTGACTTCATCGTTATCTCTTATACAATGAAGAATCATTAAAGTATACATTGAAACTTTTTGCGCGATTGACTCACAGCTTGGGTTCCATTGGCGACAAAACTTCGGCCCATCACAATGCAATATGTGGTTTTGGTTGAGCATCTAGTGCCTTGAACCTCGAACCTTTACCCTCGATTCTTCTGCTGCACTCAACTCTTATCTTTAAGATCCGCTGGTCACGTCTTTCATCATCACTGCCAAACTGAATTCAGCTAAGCAAGATTCATCCCCCTTTTTTATTTAGGGTGGATCTTCCAGTTGTTATAACCTTGCGCGACAAACATAATCCCACACGCAAGGCTCTTCAGGTGAATCCCGACAATCAGTTCCTTTCTGAAATCCTAAGCTGTCCATCCGTACTTTAGCTCAATAAATTAAGATCCTACTATTATAATCAGTCAACTATATTTTCCCGTCTTACTACAGTGATAGTGGAATATTTTGGGACAGGGTATTCATGGTTTAGATTCCCTTGCACAGAACCAAACCGAAACTAAATTCTATTCAAGATGGTGGAATTTCAAATCCCAAAGTATATTTCTCGACTTTCCACGTCGCCAAACAGAAACATTGCGGAAGCTATTGCTAGGCTATACTATCGTGATGAGCTCAGACTCCCATGCTACAGGTCCTAAAGAGGTAAAAGAAAAAGGCAACTACAGATTTTTAGCTAGTTTCATCTTCCGCACATACGGTAAAGCTTAGGGATCGCAAGTACAAATTTTTCTGCGTGCATGCACCAGATAATGCTGTCCAAACCTGGAAGCGGTTTCTTAAGGATGAAACATTTATCTGTTGGTTTGTTGGTTTCTCCATCGATGCCAATGATATGATTCTGGTATAATAATTAATGCTGGTAGGAACCACGATGATGAAATGCTTGTCGAGGAATGAACTTGGGGGAATTCCTGCTACGAGCGATTTTGATATTCAAGAATCGACTAGGTGCCATCAGCGGAAGATACGTGAATTCTTGGTTTTTCCTATGTGCTCCTTTGGGGACCCCGAGAATGATGTAACTACATTTCCTCCTTGTGTTATTCGATATTTGGATCGACTACTACGAAATACAAGATACAAGAAGAGAAAAATTTGTAAAGCAAAGGCCCATATATACGTAACCTTAAGCTTTTTTTGCTTAATATCAGACCTCCGTAGTACGTACACTATCGTAGGACGAAGCTGAGATTCCGCTTTCATGCTTCTTAGAAGAAAGAAGTGCACAAACAATGTAAAATTCAGGACGAAAAGCTAAATGTTCGGAATCAGGGAGTCTCAAAACTAGTATCTCGTAAAATTATTGGGTTTGGCAAATTGCAACATGGACAACTCACTCTGAGTGCTGATGTCTAATTTTATCCTAGTCGCGCGATTGAGTTTCTAAAATTTGCTTGTTTGAAGAATAAAAGGAAATTGGGTGGTATAGGTAGACTTAAGAGCTCGATTGAGACAGTGATGGCTCTGGAGCTCCTTGCATAAGCCTTGAATGGACTGATCTGACTCTCACAATCTACTGTACAATTAGCAAAAAGTTTGTTGGTTTCTGTAACTTCACGTCACCACTTTACGTTTCATTTGTCCAGAAATCAATCAAAGGGAATTGCACCTAATTTTAAGTTTCGTTCTGCACCTACTACAGGAATATTGCACTTTCTGAAGATACAATTAATATCACTGTTGTATTCCGGAAAAGCTATGCCCAATTGTCACCCATTGAGCCCTAATGTCACAATCTCATTAGAAAACTACCGCTTACACCATCATATTCTGCAATACGTCTAAGAACTGTACCAGTGCATATTGACTAGTCGTCCTCATGATCTTGGCATTTAATTACTTGTGGAATATCTTGTTGTACTCAAGAAGAGAAAAGGTGAAGTTGACTAAAGGTATGCATTCACTTATTGACTAGCTGCTTTAAGAAGAATATATGGAAGTGTTGATGCGTTCCAAAATTGTCGAGGGGGGCTCGAACTAATTATTCAAGGGAAAAAACAAAAAGTGGAGGTGTTACCCCCTCGCGTAATAGGCGATCTCTGAATGGCATTTAGCAACTACAAAACAAATGTCTAGACCATAGAATGAACTAGGAAAGGCCACAAGAAGAAAACGATTGGTAAATTCCACTAAAAGAAAAGAAAATTACAGTCTTGAAACACTGAAGCTAGCCCGGACAGCCATAATGTAGCCTGATTAGACACGGCAGGAGGATGACCTATGTCCATAAGCCTCGACCGTGAGCAGGAAAAGCGGATCTAGCCATGCGGGCACCCGGCCCGTAGGTCTAAAGAGACCTTTTTATGCTAGTAGTATTCCCCTTAAATCTGTTGTAAATGAGCTCTGGTAATCACGCATCAAGAATTTCTGTCGAAATCGATCAATTTTACGCACCAGAACCTCCCATTTATATTTTAGTGAGACAGTAATTCTGCATTGATTATAATCCACCTCAGAAATTCAAGACGGTTCCTATCAATTGGGCCCGCGAGAATGACTTATGGACAGGAAATCGCACCCGCGGGATCGTAGGACAAAAAGCATCCGGTTCTGCCACCTAGCAATTTTGGTCTTCTAGCACCAGGGCCCCTGAGCCAAATTTTTACACTGGCATTTCTTCGGCTTCTTATATCTTAAAGTCACTATTGCACAGCCAGTTAGACATATTAGGATGATCGTAGAGCTTATGGAGCAGAGGTGTGACGCTGTGGATTTAAGGTACTGGCCACTGATAGCAACCTTCCCTTTTTAAACCCTGAAATAGTTCTCAAAGGCTAGTTCCACTTTCTTAACGATGGTTTCTTTGCGAGAATGATCAAGAATTCCGTGGTCACTGAATTGCCCCTGGCGAACATAAGAACGTCTTCAAACTCGAGTTCGTCCGTAATGAGGCTCGAGCAATAGCAGTCGGTCTTGATAGCAACTCGGGGCTAAGTTGAAACTTTGGAAGCGGTTAATTCATTACCACAACTATATATATCAGAGATATACGCAGTGAAGATCCCAACGAAGTCTTTATCGAAGCAATGATCGAAATTCTGGGTACCTTGGACTCACGAGACGATCCATGCTATGGAGAAAATGTATTTGAAGTAAGGCTACCTGCTGGATGGAGGGAACATCAACCGGGCTTGGCATTGCACTTTTTGGCAATGAGTTGCACACGCTATTGAACGAGCAATTAGTCAAACCCGGCCGGGGCATGCGTAGTTAGACTGGGACTCGTCCTAGGCAGAAATTTTTCGGCAGCTGGTGATATTGTTACTGGAAATACAAGAAGCCCACCGCAAGAGAAGTCCGCAACATGGGATGGATACCGAAAATTTTAGAGTAGCCCTTCAGCAATGTTGTTTGCAGTTGAATGAGAAAGCTGCATCCTGGTTTAAAATCAACAACTAGTTGAGCTATTTAACTAGATAATTATTGCCATATCGCTTCCTCAAATCGGCCATTCCCCCACCTTAATCCTGAATTCGCCTTGCTGTTCCTAGATTATACCACACGGTACCACTTATGGCCTCTTTCTCGTTCCTGCCATACTCGGGATCACGTCCCTGGGCAAGGAAGCGGGCTGTGGGAAATTCTTCGTATATTGTCGGTCCTTGAGATGTCTGTTCTCAAGGCGCACGACGTGCAAGATCATCCAAGTCTCGCGTGATACAGGTCGTGTATTTCCGCTTCACCCTTATAATCGTCAGAACTGCACCGATCTTCTGCTCCTAAGGAGGCTAGAAGACAGTCCAAAATATTCAACGAGGGGGACTGTGGGTGATTCTTCGTGCGGAATCGGTCCCCGTGAGACATCTAGTATCAAGCAGGGCTTTACCGAAAGATTAGGTTCTTTTCACAAGGCACATAAAGCGCAAGGTCACTCCACTTCCCTCTAGACGAATCCTTATTAGACAGCTTCTACAACACAAAATACTTACTATCATCATGACTTGCGGTCGCCCTGGTAAAGCTTCAAGGTAGTTAATGTTCTTTTTACTCTGATAATCCACAAGATCATCTAGACGATTCCTTGCGCTTTTCTTGCGTTACTTCGATAATTTGAACAATTTTGTCTCGGATCTACCAACTGGATTGATTGTTCCCTCTTGTGCTTCTAGCTATGGTTAACTATTGCCCCTGTCACCTATTAGGCATGTATTAGATGTTTTATTTGCTCTCCGATCAAATACTTATCGTTCTTAGAGATATCAGGCAACTCTCACTCTATTCTCGCCTTCATTCTGGTGGTTGGAACGATTTTATCTCCGGAGTTGAAAAAAAAGAGATCGATTAGACTCTTCTCTTCTTTCAAATACCTAATAACTCTCGCTTTGAAAGTAATAGATGAATTTCAAACTAGTTTCAATCCTACGAAAAATCTCGTGTTTCAATTAGATATAAATTAAAGATCTATTCCCGGTTCGGCAATGGAGCATATTCTACCCTTGATATGCTAGATGGGTTAGCCGTTACCTCTTTTTACTCTCAACAATCAAAGGATTCCTTCTCGAGTGCCTACTAGACATAGAACAATAATATCTTGTGTGTTACAGCAATAAAGCCTATTCCATCCTTGGCCCACTAGACAAATCGACCATTGCTTTCCATAATCTCAGCAGCGGAAGAAATTTCATCATTGTCCGCTATTAGATAAAGGTCAAATTACTCTCCTTGCTCTCAGCAATCGTGCGGGTACTGCTCTGAATTACGCCGGACATAGCGACTATTGTCCTCCTTCATTCCATAAAACAAATGCTTTCAACCCCCGGTGCAATTCGATAGAGATGGGTTGCCCTTGGGCGTCGGAACAATAGACGAGCTTGTATCCAGATTACAGTACACAGTACACAGAGCGCCCATTTCCTTCTTTCCTTCAAAATTCCGATACCTCTCGTTCCTGCTCAATATCATACATAGTTCAAATCACTATCCTCCACTTGAGAGCCATGAGATGATACGCTACATACCACCGGATTCTGGGTCTTTTTTCTCGGTTTATTGTTCTATTATAAATCTATATATGTTGCGGTTGATTCTTGGGAATGGGATCAATAAGCCGCGCCCGGCTGATTTTTAGCGTCTTGCTTGGAAGCAGGTGTTTCGCCGCATACTCAACGCCTTTACCATCGCGCAGAACTGGCTGACCATCCTCTGATATATCCGTCAATGCTACAGACATGAACATAGCATCATCATTTGGGTCTTTGGTGAAACCCGATACTCTATGCACAGCATCAATGGCCGAACCCACCACCTGACCTTCTACGAGAATTTGTTTAACTCGGAGCCCCAATCCATTTTGTACAGTTGGAATGATGATAGATCCTGGATGAGTAGGATCTGCATATACAGGAGTGCAGAAATATTCCCATCGTGGGAATAAATTATACACCCGTTCTGGAAGCACCACAGATTGTTTTGGTAATGGTACAACCTCGAAATCATGGAAGATTGTCCGTTTTTTATTCTTACCTGACCACCAGGTACGTGTATAACACCAAAGTCTACCAAGTGCCCGGTGTCTCCGTTCGACATCGGCAGATAATCCTTCTTCCCAGTTAATGTATCTAGCAACAGGGCTGATCTTGGGGGCAAGCTTGATCGCTTGATCCGACTCTGGGTTTACGAAGACTCGATTTCTAATACCCTTTGCAAATAAATCCGCGGCCTTTGGTATGATGAAGTCCAAAAGGCCTTGGTAATTTATTGTTTTTGGTTGTGGAATAGGGAAACCTTCTTGACTGAGAATAGTGCCATGGTCAAACTTATGAGGATCCAAAGTTTGAAGTGTGACACCAGTAATTGTGTCTCCATTTATAATTGCATGATGGATTGGAGCGGATCCTCGGTATCTATACATTATGGTTAGCATTGGTGCAGAAACCTAATGTTGGGAAAATGTACTGTGGCAACAGGGAAGGATGAACGTTAATTCCACCATATTCAGCACTGTTGAGAATACGTGGCGGTACAAAGAGACCAAACGAAACAGCTACAATAAGGTTGATTGATTCTCCATTTGGTTTGGGCAACTAGAATATGATTAGTTGAAGTTCTCAAGGCAGCGAAGACATATCCAAAAGTCGAAACTTACATCCCATCCGGTGAATGTATCTCTCTCATGTATAGGAAGATTCAACTCTTCGGCTACTTTCCTCAGCGGGACTATCAATGATCAGTATGCAAGGGCAAATTGATCCTCAGAATTTCAGACATTACCTTCACGAGTTTCCTTCAAGCCTCTTCCGAACCTTTTACCTGGTCGAATGAGAACGTCGATAGAAGCGATTCCTTTTGGGTCTGATGATTGTTCTGCCACTAAAGAACGAAGAGATTCGCAACTAAAATCGTCGGAACCACAAAACAAAATTCTTAAAGGTTTCGAGGTTTTCGGGGTATTGTTGGTACTGAAAAGTCGAGAATGGAATCCATGGGTTGGAAATGGCTTTGATGAGCTTACAATCCTTCCCAGCACAAATAAAGAGGTTCTGATCTTGAGCCTCATGATTATAGAAAGTGCAGTCAGCACCAAGTCAAGTTTCCATACATGAGTTATTCTCAAAAAAAAGAAACCCAACTTGTCAAAATAACGATTTTCGAGCTCGTATGAGGCCTCCATCAATTTTCTTGCAATAATCTTCTTCGTCACGTGCATGTGTTCTTGTCGATCGATATCTTACGTAAGCACAAGTAGCATAAATATGTCCATGTTTGGTCCACGAATTACATCATCGTCACCATAACGAACTTCCAGGGCTAATCGGACTATCAGCGCGACCCTGGGGAACTCCACGACTCACCCCCTGACTGGATTAAACCAAGGAATGATCTGCAATATATTTATATCCTCGTCTTCATCTACTTAATCATCTCCAGCATGCAATGTCTGAGCAACGTCGAAAGGTAGTACCAGCACAACTGGGCTTTCTAGCCATCTACAACCCTTCCTTAGGAACTACCGATGATACACTCGATAACCAAATTGTTTATTATTACCCCTCGATCAAGCAAAATGGACACAAAAGAGGGGCTTCTACGGATACAAAAGAGGCGCGTGCATTTGCGAAAGAGCAAAAGAATGAACAGTTAAGGCAGATTGGACTTGCCCAGGGAATGGTAGAATTCGGAAGGAGTTTTTCTGAGGGTAAATCTGTGGATACTGTAGAGACTGAGAAGTCTCGTATCATTCTCCATGAATTGGAATCTGGCTGGTGGATACTGGCTGTTAGTAACTTCATTCTTGAGTTAGCTGGTTGTACTAATTTGTGCACAGTCAATCAATCTCACCATATTGCCAGGCACAAAAAAGATACCAGCTACCAAAGGCAAACCTGCCGAAGAACAAGAAACTATCGAATATTCTTCCCGAGAAGTTAAACCCGCGATATTACTCCTTGGAGATATTTTACGAGCGCACTCAACGTTCCTCCTCCATCATGCCACCTCAATGAGTGCCCTTTTTGTTCGAACAAGACGTTCCAAATTTGTGAGCATACTGGGTAGATATTGGGATACATATCTTTCGACGTGGAATGTGCTTATGCATGGCAATCCTGCGAATAATTTATATGGTGGAATAAAAGTTGCTGCGTGTGGAGAACTTGGCGTAGGGGTTGGGGAAGAAGAAAGAGGTAGTGGTGAAAGAGAAGTTCTCGAAGGGTTCGTTGGACAAATGGATGGACTTGTAGATGTGATAGTTTCAAGATTTGGCGATGCACAATCAAGCCCGAAAGACGATGCCAATAAAGGATTTACAGATCAACGGTCGACACAATCTGCTCCTTGGTTAGGTTCTGGTGATGAACCTGCAACAGAAGATGGTGCAATTTTCCTTGGTACTGGAGCTTTGTCAAGGAAATCACTAAGAAATATTTCACATTGGGTTGAGGATCTTTATAGATGGGGTCCATATGCTTATGGGGTTATTGACAATCCTTCTTCCACTCGTCGCGCGAAGAAGCTACCTAAGCCTAAGCCAAGAGTTGAACCAAAAGTTAAGCATGCAAAGAATGCTGCTCGACCAACATCTAGTCTAAGTAAGGAGATACCAATTTATGATGGCCCTCATGATGGACCTGAACCTAGTCGATCGTTGGGTATTAATACAGCGGAGCCTCGACAACTGGCAGAAGAAGGCAGTCAGGGTGATCGAGCCAAATCCAAACTCAAATCACCACGTCCACCGTCACGTAGAAATCCTGCAAGTCATACCAGTACTGAAGGCACTGAGGGTACAGACGGCGAATCAAAGGGCAACAGATTTTCGCAATACTTGAAGTTCGGTTACGGAACTCATTGGTCCCTAGGTGGGGCCACAGCAAAAGAAGAAGAACAAAGCAAATCCTTGACAGCCTCAGCTACTCCTATTCCTCCAATCGATGGAACGATTGACGCAACGGAAGGATCAGTACATGCAATTGGATTTGATGACTCCAGAGGTCATTATCTAGTAGGTCTAATGGGTGATATGGAAGCTGAAATGGATCTACCCGCCGATCTCAACGCCGAAGGTGAAGATACTGAAGGGAAAAATGAACGACTTGTACTTCGTACATTAACAGTAGAATTGGAACGTGAAGAAGATTTTCGTCAAGAAGCTGATATCAGCATTGATTATTCCGACTTTGGCTCATCAATCAGACGCACCAGCGGTTCTGAACGTACCGGCACTTCCAACGCTTCATTCGAAAGTCAAGATCGAAATAAAGCGAGAAAATTAAGAGTAGTGGCTTATGCAAGTAAACCTTTCATCTTCATTTTTCTCTTTGAATTACGAGCAGATTCTCTAGCATTACAAGGTCTATATCGATCTCTTCATAAACAACTTCAATCTCTCATCAAACCACTTCTCAAATCTACATCTTTTCGCGCATCCAGACCCGATGTATCCATTTCTCCTTTAGCCAATACAAGCAACCCAACGGCTCCTGTTTACGATCTTCTTTGGGACCCTAAAACACTTACCATTAATTCAAATATCCCTAATATTCCCGATCCTCAACAAGTCCAAACACAAGAACAAGCAAATCGTCTCCCTTGGTCTCGCGTTGAGGCTTTGAATACTCACCTTCAAATCCTCCATACATATATCGCAACGACTACTGATATAAACACATTGGAACGAACAGCTAAAACATCAAGAGGATATTGGATTCTTTGGACACGCATTCCCTCACCTCCAGAACCAACCCCGATTCGGGATACAACTCCAAAAGTTAACATACCATCCCTCATACCAGAAGATTCAGCAGAAAGTCAAACAAGTAAAACTTTCATGGGGGAAATAAGTGATAAGGGAAGAAAAGATAAAGGTGGAAGAAGTGGTGCAACTAGTATGGCACAAACAGGTGGGACAAGTGTCAGTGGACCTGCACATCCGTTTTTGGATGATGGGGCTGGACCTGGGGGAACGGAAAGGAGTAGAGATAAAGAGATCTTTTTAATTAGACGAGCCAGTGACTATGTGGAGACTGGGCAAGGAAGGAGCTATGGGTATGGATATGGATATGGCTATGCGGGGAGTTGGATAGGTAGTCCAGGAGGTGCAAGCGGGGGTGGTGATGCGGGATGGGGTGCTGCGGGCTTGGGACTCGATACTAAGAGGTATATTGAGGGATTGTTGAGTTTGAATCGATAGGGTGTATATATGTATGTGTGTATGCAGTACTGCTGCTAAGAGAAGGAACCCCTGGAACAGATATATAGATGATGGGGCGGATAGAGATTCGAGAAGAGTATGTGTGTGTGTGTGTGTGTAAGAGTATAGTTAGTATATCACTTATATTAGTTTATTTTTATATATGTAGCGGAATTAGATTATATTTTAATTATAAGATTACTTGCAAGACTTGATAATTTAAAAAAGAGTATTAAGAATCTGATATCATGATTATGTTTAAAGACGAAGGAAAAGAAAGGGGGGAAGGAAGATCTTTAAGATTTAAGAATAAAGATCAGAGAAATACAAATACATCCTCACTATCCATTCATATAACATGTAGGTGAATCACCCTATCAATCATCATCAATCATCACAAAATGCACCAAACATGTGTAAAAAATCATAAGAATTTCGTGTTCAATCTAAACACTAAAATCTAAAGTGGTGGGTATATGTATGTACAAGAAGCTATATTCATATCATTTGTTTCATTTTGTTTTTTGTGCAATCTCTCCATCTCCTTGTAACTTTTCATCGATATTGCTTTTTGGTGAAAAAAAGAAAAAAATCCTCCTCCCTCCAACCATATGAGCTTTTATCTTTTGACTTTTCCTTCCATTTCATGTCTCAATGAGATATGGTTCGTATCTTGAAATGCATGTGCTTCAAATTTCCGAACTCAAAGCGCAACATCATGTAAATGTGAAAGATCCAAACGGGGTAAGAACGCCAAACAGATAATGCGATGATGTGATGTGATATCCTTGACCAACCATTCCATGCATAGGTATCCTCCTCAAACTCTCCTCAAACCCAACTAACAAACTAAACCGACGGATATATCACCACAAAACCAAAACCTCCCAATGATATGATATCCCAAAGAGATTCGTTACGTATCTTTTTCAAAAAGATGCCATGTGCAAAAGCCTTAGATGAAAGAGATCTACTCTTTATATCGAACTGGCGATATTTATATCCAGGAGAATGAGAATGATTTTTTTTGTTTGATATTCCGAGTAATGAATAACCGGAGTATCAAATATGAAAACCGAGAGAGATCGATGAGGAATTTAATCATTGAAGTACCAAGTGGCTTGAGTGCGGCCAACAGCTTCTTCAGCAAGCTGATCGAATACGAAGTTTGTGAGATCGATTGAGTTACCCTCGCAACCCATACATTTATCGATGACGGTTGCTTGAGCGGTTTTACCAGTGGAGTTACACTTGATGGTGATTGTCTTTCCACAGTATGGGTTACTGTTTGAGAGGGAACCCATGAGACCAACTGGAAGAGCAACACCTGCAAATGTGGATCCATCAGTTGTGATTCCACAAGCTCCAAGACCAGCTTCATAGTACGTCATATCTCCAGTACATGGAGTACCGGAACCGCAAACTTTAGATGAGGACCCAGAGAAAGAGGATGATGATGCGTAGGTTGTTGCTGGGACGGGAGCTGCAGCTGTTGAGGATGGAATGACAACTGGCGCGACACTTGAAGTGGTTGGAATAACGACTGGGGCTACACTGGAAGTGGTTGGAATAACCGGGGCAACGCTTGAGGTAGTTGGTTTAACAATGGGTGCGACACTTGATGTGGTTGGAATGACGACTGGTGCAACCCTCGAGGTAGTTGGAATAACTACCGGGGCGATGCTGGAGGTAGTAGGAAGAACGACTGCGGAAGTATGTGTCGTAGATGGAGCAGCAACAGAAACGAAAGTAGAAGAAGATGGAGCCACAAATGAAGAGCTTGAGGAGCTTGGTTTCTGATCGAGAACAGCTCTAGTTGAGCTACTAGCTGCGGCCGTAGACTTTGAAATAGACGTGGAGGCCGCAGCAGTAGACTTTGGAACAGAAGTGGAAGCAGCAGCGGAAGACTTTGGAATAGTTGCCAAGGTTGTAGGAGTCACAGATGGAGCGCTGGTACTTGGAGCAGGTAATTGACCAGCGGAAACCCAAACGGTGGTCGTATAATCAACCGTCTCGGTCACCATTTCGATCTCGGTAACCCAGGCAATATCTCGCTTTTCGTGTCTGGCGACATGTTGATGACGAAGGTGGGGTTGAGCTACAGCGGTAGCAGCCATGAGGCCTGAAAGAATGGCAGTTGTGTACTTCATTTTGAGGGTGATTTGTGTGTTTGATTTGATTTGATTTCGGGAAATGGGTGTGGTTGTATATTGGGTATCTTTGAGTGAATCTCTGAAACCAGAACTCAAGTATGAAATTGTTCAACTTATGACTCGAGGGAGTGTGAAGATTGAAAATGACTGGCAATTTCAATGATTGATATCGATCTTCAAAAGGAAGGTGGTGAGGAAGGTGATATTCCTCGTTGGTGAGCAGGGCTGAAGTAAAGAATGTGAATTGAGGTGAATTGTTTGATGTATGTGTATGAGTCGTTGATGAGGGGAAGATGGATTCTTTAAAAAGGCTTCAAGCTGACTTGCAGTGAGTGAAATGAGTTAAAGCAGACTGGCTGTCTTTAGGAAGAGAAGAAGGAGTGTAATGTAGTACTTTGAAGGATTGAAATGTACTAAAGAAGATTTGGATTTTGAGGATCTTTTAAGAAGGATGAGGGAAGAAGATGGGAAGAAGGGAAGAAGATGGGAAGGAGGGAAGGAGGGAAGGAGTGAGATGGCACTCAATTTGAAAAAGATGTGCTGATTATGAATAATATTCATTAAAGTTGTGTAAATTATGCTAAGCATTAATATAATTCCAAGGGAAGAAGGCGCAAAAGTGGACCGACTAGGATAATGATGTGTGTTTGACCAGTAAGAAGCGGATTCAACTGAGAAGAATTTTACTTGGCAGGGCGGCCGGAGGTTGTGGAGTTCAAAAGGCCAGGTACCAAAAAATAAACGACAAGGATTATTAACCAATTAAATATTGATATTCATTCATATTCCTATTCCTTACCTTTTTCAAACATGAGTCTAGTAGTAGCAAATGGCTGCACTTCACTCACTGCACTCACCCACCCACTGCACTCACTCACCCACTGCACTCACTCACTAGTCTATTTTCTCATGCTCGTTTCCATGAGTTGAGTGGCATGAAGGAAAACAGTGTTAGTTAGTGCTCTGTGTTCAAATGGTTTCTAAAGTATCAGATAACCTGACAACTGACAAACTGACAACCTGACAACCTGACAACCTGACAACCTCTAGGAATGAAAGCAGGAGGCTTAGCATACCTACCTATTCCTCCCTCCCTCGATGATAGATACCCATGACATGAGATGAAACATCCAAACATTGAAACATATCAAAACGACAGACTTCGGAGTCTACGCAAGGTTACTATACTATGTATGAGCGAGAAACTTTTTTGGATCATTCCCTCCATTTCTGTTTTATTTTCCGATCTCCGGAATCATCATGAATGATTCCATTTGACCCTCCAAGATCTACCTTGTGCTCCACTTACCACGAGAAGATAATGCGAGAGATCAACCTTGTTACCCACCCACCTTCTCTTCCCACGCATCAATAATCCGTTCAATGCTCGAGTAGATTAACAGATAAATGCCTAGTAGTTCAATCACTCTGCAGACAGCTACTGCATGCTCTGTACACCGACCACACAACCTGAATCAGTTAGGCAACGACCCCTGAAAAATCTAGTAAGGAGGGGCAGTCCCGTACATCCTGTGTCGAGAGGTAGGTACGTGATACGACATGATGATTTACTCCAATAGGATCCCTAAATAACGACAGAGTACAGCCTACGCCCTCTATCCACGTTAACCTTATGGATATAGTAAAAAGGCTTAGCCAGGTACGAAAAGTCATCCGTTTCATCATTTCCATCCAATCATACAAAGAAGTGATGAGCCATTCCAGCATACCTTCCTTTACCCAGACAGTAGGAAGTACGAAAGTCAATGAATGCTAGGGGGGTGTGATCTCCCCTGCATGATGGAAAAAAAAACAGAAAAGAGAAAAGAGAAAAGAGAACATCCCTTTTTCCAATCAAGACCAGACTCACTCGCTCAGCCCAAAGCCAGCAATGATTTTCAAAAATTCAATGGTACGATACGATGGTACGTACCGGTGTGAGTTGTCATGGAAAACAAAAGAAACCCCCATCCCCGCCCCCAAACTATGCACACATTTCACGAAAGAATAAATCACGCATGCACACTAAGAAATTAACCTTATGCATATATACCTCTCTATCTAGCCGCATATCCCAAATCTCGTACCTGCATCCCCGAGAAAGTAAAGCAAGCAAGCAAGCAAGCGGGAGGTGGAAGAGCAAGAGATTCCAAGTCAGTCGAGACTCGAGACCGGTGGGGTTTTTTTATTAGTAGGTAGGTACTAGATAGGTATGAATCGGAAGGTTCCATAACGTCAATTCACATCAATCATACCATGCCAATCAATGATCACGAGCAAGTCTATCCTATTCCATATCCATAAAGCAAGCAAGCAAGCAAGCAAGCAAGCCAGCCATCCAGCCATCCAGCGGGTCATTTTTCTTCTTTCGTTTTCTTTTACAGAAGTACAAGTACAATTCCACGAGTCGGCCCATCCATCCATCCATCCATCTATCCATCACATGCAGTCCATCCACCATTCATGACTGACTGACGACCCCGATTCTTCCGAGGAGAAGAAGTCTCATGGTAACGGTAAGGCAACGCTTACTCTCTCTGTAATTATGAGAAAACCATTTTTTTTTTTCCCCAAGCCCTACCGTCTCTATCGAAACTTAACGTTGTGAATCCACCCACGAGCGAGTGGAAAATTGAATCCGTCTCGTGCATTTCACATGTGTCCGGTCCGTGTTATCGAGATTGATTAGGTAGGTACCTCCTACCACCTACCTGACTCCATGCATACTCTCTGCACAGAGTACATCAAATCAGATCAAGGGTCCCCCGAAAAAAAGTTGTAGGAGATGACTTGTTTCTCATCAATTTCGTCATGAATGAACAAATTTGTTCATCGTTAAATACTGTATGTATCGATCCTCGTATCATTCTCACGATCATCATTATCATCCACTCCGTACGAGAATAAAAATACATTTTCAGACCAGGCGGTGCCTTGTGCAATCTTATATCGTGAAGGAACATGGGGATATTAAGAGATTTGATATATACACAGCCGCAACTTTATTTCTAGGAGATACGTTAGGTGACAAAAGAGGGGTTGCGAATTCGCGAGAGGTTCTTTTTTAGGATTTATTATAATCACCGTTTGATGATGAATTATTAGATTAGAATCATTAAATAGATGAACGTGGTAATTCGACTGAGGGGAGGGTAATTTTCTTCTCTTCTCGGTCTGTGGGTTTGGATTCTTTCGTTCGTTCGTTCGTTCGTTCGTTCGTTCGTCGGATTTGATTCGATTTGATTTTGATGTCCGAAATACGACGCGAAGGAATACGAATTAAATGATGGCTTATCCTATCTTCTTGGAAGTTGCCATGCGATGCCATGCTATATCCAACTACCTTCGTAATCCATAATTCCATAAAGCATACAACTTCCACTTCCTTGCTATACTATCCATACTATAATGCAAGCCAAACTCACGCCATACCCCATACCAAGTCCAGAAATTTCCACACATCCAAGGGAAGAGCTCATCGCTGCATCCGTTATCAGCCGCTCGCTCTACTCAACCATTATTAAAAACCGGCTATGCAGTATAACCATCCGGTTGTAAGATTTTACCTGTAAGTCTATCTATCTAGCTATGCTGCCGCCTTACGGGTAAGAGGATTGGTTACATGGCTTTTTGACAATTACTGTTTTGTTTTACGGAACGGAAAGGAAAGAGGTTGTCATGAGTAGGTAGGTGTGAATGGACTGTGTGCTGTGTGTGGATATCATGTGCTGGTAGGTATGATGATGAATAAGTCTATGCAGGCGGTGCATTCGGTCGTGGGAATTTTACACACCTTGAACAGTTGTCGATGGGAGATTCGTGGCAAATAGATTCTAAACTAGGTAGGTAGATGAATCTGAGTATATATTTAAATAAATAGATAATCGGATATACTTAGAATATTAGAATATTAAAAAAGTGTAATCAATTTATTTTTGTATTTTGTATATGAGATATATTTACAAATCTTATATAATTTGAATTAAAAAAAGTTTTAAATTGAATATTTGTTTTGTTTTTTTGAGAAATATATTTAATATTAATTTAATATAATAAATTCAAAATATGTATATGTAAATATATAATAAATTTAAAAAATATATATATATATAATAAATAATATACTTTTTATATAATTCTTTTATTTAAATATATAATTTCTTATATTTTATATAATAAGATTATATTATTAATTTATTTATTAAAACTTTTATAAAATTATAAACATTAAACTTTTTAAATTTCTTAAATTATTAATTAATATTATTAAAGTATATTATTAATATTATTTTTATTTTTATTAACTTTTAATTTATAAACTTGAGTTAAAATATAACTTATAAACAATTTAAAATTTAAAACAAAAAGATTATAAAAATAAAAATAAATTTATATTAATTATATACTTTTAAAATAAAAAAAACTTAAAATTTAAATAAGAACTTTATTAAGTATTTTATTAAAGTATTTTAAAAAAACATTTTATTTTAAATATTCACTCTTCGTACTCTAATCAGAGCGAGGATAACCTTTTTAGTCAATCTTATATAAACCTTTTGGTATAACTTTATATAGAATTATATATTGTATAAATATCAATATCAATATAACATATCAATATCAGGGATTAATCTCTCAAAACGACCTGGTATACTTTTCTCTTAAATACTTATACCTAGCCTTGAAAGTTGTAATCTGAAAGATTATATCTTCTATTTGTTAAATAATATAATATAGAAAGATAATAATTTATATTATCAGATGATAACTTTTTTGTCTTTCTGTTGTTGTTTTTTTAATATGATGATGGTGATCATTATAAGATATATTTCCTTCTTATCTTATTTCATCTTTTTGTTATTAGTAAAAATATATACAAAGTTATTATTATATATTCTTTTAACTTATTTATACTTCTTAGAATTATAATCGAATTTGCAAAATAATATTGATAAAAATGAAATAATTTCTACCAGCCTTTGTCTATTGTAACTATAAACTTAAAAGATTTAGTTGGATAGAAGTTTATATAAATGTCTGAAGATATTCTCACAGGTCTCTACAAATACAGGTTCTGCTTGAATGAGAAGTATGATCGTGAATGACTTCAGTATATATAGGGATATTCACTTTCTAGTAAATTGAATTGCGCCCGCAATGCAGAGTAAGGGAATCGGACACCGGGATAAAAGACTTGTTATTTATTTTTGAAAATCTTTTAGATTATATCAATAGGTGCTTGGATCTATACTATAATTACAAGCTTAAGTTGAGCTGTTCACAGAATGATTTCGGAGTTGTGATTTTAATAAATGGAAGAAGAAGAAGATGATGAATTTAATAATGGATTAACTATATTAAAATCTTTTATTATCTTGCCAAATCTGTTCACTTGTTTTCTTATTCATTCATTTCATCAAATCAAAGACAGTGATATTCGAAAGTAAATAACAGTTTATTCTACTCATTCTCCTTTCTCTTCTTAATAAAACTATATGTTCTTATTTCCCAAGAATTCCTTAACATGCTTCCCCATCCTAATCTTACATTCCATATTTCTCATGTAATATATCACCCGAAATAATTCTCACGGATGGAGGAATTCGGATTTGAGGTTATTTTGTATAGTAGTTCTTTTATGGAGGGTGGGCAAAAAAGTAAAGAGTCTGGATTTGCGATTCTGATAGACTATTTGGTGGGAGACGGGATAGGATGAGAGGGGAGTTATAATTATCTATATCTCAAAAATGATGGTTAGATAAGTTCACTACAGGTTGAGTACTGAGGACACGGTAAAATATCATATCCATCGCAGCAGGTGGAAACCTTGGTGCTGAGAGCGACCAGCAGAGGGATCGGAACTTGGAATGGAAGAAAGCCTTTCGAATGAGTCTGGGATCACTGATTCAGAATCAAAAATTATAAGACTCTAAATCCACGAAAAGCTGATGATTATCTTTGGTTGACTTCAGTATTATTCTCAATGCTGATCTTTATATTTCAAGAAACCACGCTTTTGAACAGATCAAAGCCATGGCGACAAACATAAACTCTCCAAGCTCGTGTCTTTTCTTAAGTTGAGAAGGGGTTCAACAAAATCACAATGTATACAGATGCTGTGGAAGAGGTTTGGGACTGTTGCTTGTAAGGGTACTCGAGTATATGGATGAGGTTGGGATTGTGGTGGGGGTTAAGAGGGAAATTATGAGGTTGATGGGTAGTGAGTGGTGAGAAATGGATGGTGATAGTTGTTACCTGTAAGTTTTACGATAGTGATAGTGATATTTTCAGGGTTTTGTTATTTCTACATTGGTTTTGGTTTTTGAATAATTATATAATTTTAGTTCGGTTTGGTTCAATGTATGTATCATCCTATTCTATTCTCGCTTATTATACATTCACCTCCTATTCTATTCTATCATTGATAGACTCAAGTCTAGTTAACCTTACTCTATCGGGTAACATAATCCTCCCTTAGCGCTCGAGGTGACACTGCCGTCTTGGACACGCTTCAGCCTGTTTTCTATTTTGTAGCGTGTTTTTCAAAGGAAGATGAGGAGATGAGGAGGAGGTGATGGGTTTATATATTATAAAAGGTAGGATTTAGAAACAAAAGAAGGAGATACGGATAGGCTGCGCAACAGGGCCCCACGGGGCGGATTATTGCCTTTGGAGGGTAACCCATAGATGATTCATTTGTGGAGCAAATAAATGAAGAATTTAAATGAATAAATTGTAAATAATTTACAAATAGCCTATACGATATAGATTATTTTAAAATCCCAATGAGTAATCTACAGGATGGATTATAGGTTTATAACTCATTCTGTAGTGCGGATTATTTATGGATATCTGCAACCTGCGGATTATTTTTGCGCAGCCTAGATACGGATGACTGAAGTCAGAGGTACAATTTAAGTGAATCTCCGAGAGTCAATAATTAGAGAATCTGTACTTTAGCAAGGTAATAATGCTTATGACCCTAGCATCAGTATCGATATCAATTAACATCTATATATATATTCCTATTATCTACTAACCTCGAAACTATACAACTGATCAACTGGGAATATCTATATTCATATATGTGTGACTTCAACCACGGAAAACACCATGCTTGGTGAGTTCAGCAATTGCTATATTCTATAATAAGAGTCAAGATTGATTTGGGATGTGTATTATATAAATATTATTATTACTTTGACTGTTTATTTTCATTATTATCATCTGAATTATTTAGTGATCGGTATTATTGTTGTCTTCTGTATTGAAGTGTTTTATTTTCATTATCGCTCTCATCTCCTGTAGTTGTCTTAACATTCAATCTCATCCCCCTACTAATTATCTCCTAAAAAATAACACATCCTATTCTCCTCACCGTCTTAATATTATACTTTTAAGAACATTAAGATCTAATATATTAATATCCGTCATAAATTTGGGTGGCAGGGGCTTAGGAGGGAAAAGTGGTTTTATATATAGTGTAAAAGTAGTAGGTCGAGATACATATGTCCCGATAGCATATTGTAAAAAGGGAATTGGAAGAGGAAGCTGAATTAGATTACATTATAATATATTATTTATAAAGAAAACAAAATTTATAATAATTTTGAGATTAATATTATATAAATTTAAATATATATATATAGAAAATTGATTATTTTTGAAAGAAAAAATAAATTTTTTTTATATTTAATTACAAAAAATTATATAATTGATTAGTTAAAAACCTTTATATATTTGGTCTATAATTCCAACTTTCTCACAATAGATTGAAGGGTTTTGGAGGGGGAGGGTTTGTAGGAGGGTAGATATCTCAGAGACTCTTGAGAAAAATAGAATTGGAAGTAGATCGGCTGGTAAATTTGCAAGGATTTTAGTAGGCAAGAAGGAATGAATAATTCAAAAGTGTATACAAATGTTTTGTTTATAATGAATAGGTTCACTGAGGACTGGTGTTAAACCTCGAATTACCTATTGTATACATTACCTCCGTTTTTAGCAGCTTGATGTCATGTTGGGGTTCAAACATCAATATAAATATTGTTAAAATTCAAAATGACCATTTGAAAACATAAAAGGGCGATAGATACATAGGTCGGATCAGTTCATGCGGAGCTCAGCTCTACAATACGAGTGGTGATTGGAGTTGACTGATTAAAAGGACGGGACGGGAGGTTTGTAGATATTGAAAGAGAAGAATGTTTGAAGGAATTAGGATTGACGGTTTTAATGTTTCGTTCCCGGAGATTCTTCTCATCCAAGGCAGTTGCATTTATTCTCAGCTCATAGCTCATCCCCTTTTTTCTACTTTTCCTGAATTTTCTATCTTCCTCCTATTAGTTCTACATTCCTTCTATCTCTTCTTACCTGTATTACTACATCCTACTTTCCTCATCCTTAGGGAGGATTTTATCCTAGAACTCTTTCTAGAGATCTGTGTTTAGTAATACTGATACTCTTTATAATACCGTCATTGTTTCTTTTTTGTAAATAATTCAATATAATACTCCGAACCTGTTAGATCAGAGCTGATCACAGAACTACGTGCATACATCATATAGGTACTCGGGAGGTCAGTTTGGCCCAATGCTCTTGTAGGTTTTTTAGTTGTTGATAGATATTAATAGTCCTTGGGGCCTGTGTTTGGATAGGAAAGACATTATGTGCTCGTAGATGTAAGAATTGAAGTAGGGTAAAAGAGAGGAAGAGTGGAAGGAAGAGGTAAAGAGTGAGGCGAAGCTTTTTATGATGGAGGGACCAGGAGATAAGTCTAGTACCCTACTTTTGGACTACCCCCTAATTCGGACCACCTTTTACACCAAAAATCGTGATTTTCATCTATTAATAATTTCATAACAAATGGTATAAAATCAATTGAAATTTTGATCATAGATTCATTATATGATTATTAGTTGATTCTGAAAATTTCAAATTTTTACGATTTTATTGATTGAAATATGAATGATTGAAATTACGTTTTTCGATTTATATAGGATTTATATACAAATTTAAAACCTTTGAAAATCTTAAATAACTTTTCAATAAAAATTACCAAAAATAAATAAAAAAAAAATTTAAAATCTTCAAATCAAATATTATATAATAAATTAGACTTCTAAATTTAAATTATATTAAAAAAACTTTTATTGATATTTTTAGATTTTACAAGGATTAAAAATCGAGATATTTTGATTAAAAGAATTTCTATAAATTATTTTCTAAAATAAAATAACCTATTCGATTAATTATGATTCAAAGACTCGGACAAAAATTTAAAATTTATTTTTAATTATTATTGTTAAAAAAATTATTCAAGGTTTTCAAGATTTTCAAATTTATATATAAATCTTATATAAATTGAAAATCGTAGTTTTAATTTTTAATTTCTTAATTAATCAAATTATGAAAAATCTGAAATTTTCAAATTCCTTTAATAATTATATAATAAATCTGTAATTCAAATTTCATTTAATTCTATTGATTAGTTTTAAAGTTATTAATAAGTGAAAATCATGATTTTTAATGTAAATAAATGATCTAAATTAAAGATAATTCGAAAGTAAAATATTAGACTTAAAAAAAAATAAAGATTGAATGAATTTAATAATTTCTATTTTATATAATCAACAAAAGAGAGTGAAGAATATAAAAATGAACAAGCTATTAAAAATAAAAGATGAAAAATTGAATCAAATTTAATTTAATTCCTTAATATAGATTTAATTTATTTTTTATCAATTAAATATTTCATAAATAAAAATATCTATTTCCAATAAAAAAGAAATAAAATATAGAATTTATAAAATTTATTAAATATTATATATATTAATAATTTAAAATAATTGTTATTTATATTTCTAATAAGGATGAGATAGATGATTCGGATTAATCCTCAATACTGATTTCAAGGAAGGATGTTTCTTGTTCTTTGCTTTCACCTTATCTCGTACCATTGCCTCTTATCATCCCCTATGGCTCAAATATATACTACCACCCAATGTGTTTTTTGCTAAAACATTAAAAATATAATGATAGCCTCAATCAAGCAATTGCGAGAACATCTACTGCGGCACATAGATTTCACAGCTGGTATTACATTGGTCTTACCTCAGTATATTGTGAGAAAATTGGAATTATAAATCAAATACATAAAGATTTTAACTAATCAATCATATAACCTTTTATAATTAAATATAAAAAAAGAGCCTTTTGTCTTTTCTTTTTATAATAATCAATCTTCTACATATATACATTTGAACCTATATAATATCAACCTCAAAACCATTGTGAACCCTGTTTTACCTATAAGTAACATATTACAATATAATCTAATTCAGCTTTCTCTTCCAATTCCCTCCTTACAACGTGCTATCGGAACGCACGTATCTCGACCTACCACTTTTACAATATATATATATATCTACCTACTCAAAAGATATTCGTTGTTCTATCACAAAATTTGATATTGTAATGTGATATAAGATATATAAGATTGTATGATATACTTTTTCATTTCACCATCTCACTATCCCGCATCCACCATCTACTATTCCAACAAACATCTTCTAACCACTATTCCAAATCACCCATGTATACAAAAATCCTGCATCTACAGGCTCCCAATCATCTTCATCCAATCATCCTACATGTCATCATAATGAACAACAAACACAAACAAATAAAAAAAGTGAAAAGGCTATAGTAATAGAACTCCGAATCACCATTCAGCTACTCCTCGCGCCAAAAGCTGAACCAAGATGCTAGAGCATTCAAAAAAATCTCCAGTCCTCCATCTAACCCCTCAGACAATGGTGCAAAGTGAAAACTCCCGAAAAGATCCCTAGGTATAGTGGAATGGCACGGAAAAAAAAGATTAAAAGAAACAGATAAAGAATCCATCAGCTCATCGTCTACGATGAAATGGAAGAAATTTCCACTAGCTCATTCACTCATGTGGTGGGTATAGACCACGAATGACTCTTGCCGGATTTCCACAAGCTACTGTATAAGGTGGAACATCTCTTGTAACGATAGATCCTGCTCCCACCGTACTGCCCTTTCCAATAGTTCTCCCAGGCAAGATTGTTACACCACCACCAATCCAACAATCTTCCTGAATAATAATCTTTCTTCCCAAATTTGGTCCTCGAGATCCAAGTCTTCTTTTGGGATCTGTGTGTAGTGTTGCAGTATAGATACTAACATTCGGACCGATGTTGCAACGATCGCCAATCTTAACCTCGCAAGTATCGAGAATCGTACAATTCTTTCCAATCGCCACATCTTGTCCAATGCTAATATTATACCCATAATCACAAGTAAATGGTGCTTCAACGACCACATTATCACCAACTTTGCCAACAGGATTGGCAGGTGAAGCCTGACTGGGAGAGATGACGTGATCGCGTGGCTGAAGAATATCTCGAAATTGACGAGCACGTTCTTCTGGTGACACACCATTATTAGGATTAGTGCTATTGTTAAAACGCCAGCAAGCTGTATTACAGCGTTCACGCTCGAGGACCAGTTCTTTATCAAATGGGAAGTAATGACGACCAGCTAACATTTCCTCTTTTTGAGTTCGTGGTCGACTTGCAGGGTGAGAAAGTGCTAATTGAGCTGCAACTTGAGCGCTGCTATGAGGACTATCGGGGTGAATCTGGTGATTTAATAGATTTGGAAGAGCAGAACTAGGTTCACGAGCAGAATGTGGTGTGCCAGTATCTGATTCTGTTCTAGGCTCTTGCCTGGAAAGATCGTGAAGAGGACCGACGCGTGAATACTCATTCTTATAACGGTCAGGATGAGCACTATTTGCGCTCACGGGAGTTGGTGTTTGCTGGATTCCATAGCTTGATGCAGTTATTCTATTATTCTCTGGACTTGTGATTGAAGCACTAGGTAAGGTCGTCGCACTTGCTTGATCGTCCCCATCCGTCATAGATCTGCTGTGAGGATCCACACGTAAGCTCTGACCACGGTATGTAGGTAACGGTTCCCTTCGAGTAGGAATTCCGGGTTGATTTCCATATGGTGATGGTTGCGTATATGAAGATGGGCTCTCGTATTCCGTCTTGGATTGTAATGGAACTGGAGTTTGTTTCATTTCGACCTTTGGGTATTGACCTCTTTGTTGATATCCTGAACAGACGAACCCCCCACGGAGACAGTTGTTACCTATATCTAAAGTCAGTAAAAGTCAAGAAAATGAACTTCGAATAATTTACACTCCGGCCTAGATTCATCGCATTTCTTCTTTCTTCGTCTGCATGTCATACAACCCGTCTTGGTCCGATTACTGAAATTTCTTTTCCGCTTCTTGAGATCTGATTGTGCCGACAATTCCCGTCTCTCTTGACCATATGCAGATTGAGGATCGGCATATCTGTTATCATCACCAGAAAGTGTACGACGGTCGTACTCATGTTGCTGCGCGTCTAAATTTTGAGATGCTCTTTGTAAAACCTCTCCAAGGTGCTCATCGGAATTGACTTGGGGGTGTTGAACATAATGTCGGGAATGCCACAAATCACTTGGAGCCGCTTCCCGAGCTGAATCATTTGCTGACATGAATTGCCTATACGGTGCATCGGAACTATAGGTATCTCTAGAGTCAACCTGAGATTGAGATTTTGCTCGAGCAGTTGCTTCATCTCTGTTACCATCGGATTCGGTGGTCGCCGTAGTTGGTGTTGCTTTTGTAGAATTCGGTAGAGCATGACTGTGGTATGAATTTGCTGATGATGAGCCTTGATCCATGGAACCCGATCTTTTACGTTTGTGGGAATTTTCGTCTGAATAATGATTTGAGTTTTGGCTATTATTCATTTGGCGATCGGGTAAATTAGTACGCTCTCCATTCGTGGAAGAAGGCCAATCTTGCTCCTGTGTAGTTGTGATGGTCAATCTCTCGTGACCTGGAGGTGAGATTCGAGGTTGTCCATTTGATCGCTCATCGGAACCCCTCCTTGCCACACCATTGCCGTTCACACCATTGCTATTTCCATTCCCATTGCCATTGGTCGAAGGCGGAACTTCGGTTTGATTCCTCCCATTTACTGCCGTAAATCTAGCAGTTGGTGATTCCACTTGCTTATCTGCACCTCCTGGACTCGCCATTTCAGCGATATTTTGAGTGTTTTCTAATCCTCCTTCACTGCTTGAGTTGACCACCAAGATTTCTCGGGCTATATCCGCAAGCTCCTGAGGTCCAAGGAGACTTTGTTCTGTAGTCATGGTGTTAGGCGCCTTCATAAAAGTTGATTTACCCTATTGCGATAGTGGAAATTTTAGAGACAAAGGAGAAAATCTCTTTTCGACGGTTAAACGTACGGTATTAAAAGTATTTGATAAATCAAGTGCTCCAATATGACGGGGCTCGAATGAAATTCGAGTAAAGGTCACGTTCCTTCCCAAAATAGCAGACGCGCGCTTTCTAAATCCCAATAGAAAATATCTTCAAAGGTCGAGTTTATCGAATTACCCTTCCATTCGTTAATACTCCTTCCCTGCTTTGAGTAATATAGACTTCAAATCTAAGGTTTGGAATCTTTGACGAGTGGCTTGTTGATGCGAAAACTTCTCAGTGAGAATAAACTCGTGACCTTATCGACGTTGCCCTTTGCTGAGCTGAGATCCGTTGAGAAATGTGGAGACCAGATGATTTGTAAAGACAAGACACCACGAAATAAATCCTGGACTGATGATTGTGATGAATATTTCCAAAACCTCCACGGTGTCGTCGAATGAATTTACTTTCTGTCCGGTACCAGTAAATGATATCGGTCGCAATAAGTACAAATAGGATTTTGATCTTCTCCCCGAGGTTTGGAAGATCACATAAATGATGATGGTCGATTATTGTTGATTAAAAGGATGTGTTCTCCTCTTGACCAGATTGTCGCCCGAAGTCGAGTCAAGTCAGAGAGTGAATCGGATCAATCGGCGCAAATGATTAAACTGATACTTGATACTCGATGCTCGACACTTTCTCTTTCTTAGAGAAATGTAGCAAAGGAATGGAACTACACTTCACTCACGTGTATTCGAAATGGGGTTCTTCCTTCCTTTCTCGACGAAATATGGTTCAGAGTGAATGATAGATTGGTCCAGCCGAATCGCCTGTGATTATGATGGTGAGTGATGATGGAATGATTTTGCCTCACGGATCGTGTTCCTTGAGAATATTCAAGGTAGTACAAAATGGCGGTAGAGAAATGGATGTTTGTCGGCAAAGACGGATTGATGTATTTTTGGTAGATGAAAGATTCCGCGCTTTTCGTCTTTCACTATCGGAGTTTGATGATTGTTTGTATGGTACCTAGGTAGGTGTGATTGCTTCACTGACCGATTGATTGAGATGTATGAATGGATGCCATCAATAAAACGTCAAATTCTTTAAATAGAAAAAAAAGGATGAATCAGGAATAGATAAAATATAAGAATGGCGGCTGTTTTTGTTAAGAAAATGTTTGAAAGTCGTCACGTCTTTTTCGTCTTCTCAATAGTATTTTTTGATTTTCGATTTCTTTGACCCAGCGGGATGGTAACGAAGGGACGCAAAGAATTTAAATCTCATGGCTGTTGGGGTATGTGGGAATATATTGACCAGCGTCTGTTCTGTACTACAAATCGTCATGGGTTGTTTTAGTGGCTTTTCATGGCTTTTAGTGCCTCTTTTTCTACCATGTTCCGCGTTTAGCTCGGTAAGATGAAAATCCTCGGCGGTTGGGTGATTCAGCTTGGGTGCATGAATGGGCGAGTGGATGGATTGAATGTGAGGTGGGAATGGCGAGAATGGAAATAATGTCAATAGGTGAAAGAAAATGAGATGAGAAGATGGAGGTGGAGGTGGAGGTGGAGGTGGTCGTAAGAGAGGGAGAGGAAGAGGGGAGAGGAAGAGGAGAGGAAGAGGGGAGAAGAGGGAGAGGAGCAGAGCAGAGCACGAAATTATAGAAGGGTATATTATTTGGAGTCAAGAGTTGCATGATCAAAGGTATGCCGGCTGAGTATTTTTCTGTAATATGTAATGTAAAGATAAGAACAGTGTAGAGAGTATTTGAAGTGAAGCATTTTCCAAAGATCAGAGTATATTTCTGATACGTTATTAAATGTGGATGGATGTAGACATCGAGGGAAGACTCCAAAGATCTTCATCTAGTACTTGGGTAGGTAAACTTAATTGAATTTGATTAAGAAAAATATACTTTATTCCTAATAAATTTACCAATGAACACTGATTGGAAATAGATATATATAGATTTATATTCATTAATACTGCATGACCCAAGTATTGATCAAAAATTCTAAAGGAACAATAAAAAAGAAGATGGTTGCAGTTTTGATAATTTTATTAAAGGTTTGATATAATTATGACTGCGAGGCTCATTTCGTAGCCATCACAAAATGACGCTTTGTTCTTTGTTCCCAACTGAATCCATTGCATTGTCACTTGTTCGATGTCAGCACCTTCTTTCTACGCGGGACATGGTTTTTACGGTTTTTACGGTTTTTACAGTTCTTACCTAAGGTTACAATTTCAATTTCAATTTCAATTTCAATATTCTCCCAGCTCATTCGATCATTTGGGTCACAATTTACAGGAACATGATATCTTACCTAACATCAAGCATCCTGAGTACACGCTACAACTAGGGAATGTCCTGTAATAAGCAGTCGGTAGGCAGTGTTATTGTTAATGTCAAGAGGATCCAATAATCCCACTGGTGACTGAATGGATGGATGAATGAATGAATGAATGAATGAATGAATGAATGAATGAATGAATGAATGAATGAGAGATGTTCCCGAATCCACCGACTTGGAAACTTTCACATATTAGCCTGCCTTGTAAACGAATATGTAATTTTAAGGGCCACCAGGACTAATACTCGTATCCACTAGCACGTTGTGAGATGGTTGGGGTTAGTACTCGTAGGTAGGTAGTTATCGGAAAAATGGAAAATGGAAACGTCTTCGCCTCCATTGACCCAATGACGATGTCCGGTTACTAAGGAGTAGGTACTGCTCCAATTAGATAATCCAGATCAGCATGACATGGAAACGCTTAATGATTGAATACTAAATCCTAAATACTAAAACCATAAAAAATGATAAATATGACCATACAAAACCACCTACCTAGTAAGGTGGTACCACGTCGAGCCCTTCCAAGGTTGCTTGTATCGGAGTGAGCTGAGCGGCTGCTCGCTTTTGCGCGACGATAAACACCCCTGTCCTGTACTTCCCATTGGCTGCGTCTCAATAAATCTACTTCGGCGTCTATCTCGATTAGGCAAGGCTATATTAATTTCCCATGTGCAACGAGCCCAGGTCGGCAACACATTAAAGTAAAATATCAAAATATACTTTTCATCCTTTTTCATCCTTTTCCTAACTGAGTCAAGATTCACGAATCCTAGCTACTTTTTAAACCCGATTGCGAATAACAAACCAGCTCACTCATCAATCATCAATCATCAATCATCAATCATCAATCATCAATCAACGCCATCCGTCCAGCTCTCCATGCTCCGTACATCAATTAGGTAGTATGTTTATTATCCAAGATATCCAAGAGACCCAAGAGCAGTCGAGGCTGTGTTATGATACATTCGCGTCACGTTACGTTTCCATCTGTAACGGAACGACATAATTTCTCCCTTTTCTTTCTATTGGTAACTTCTGATTTACATCCAGTGCATCCAGTGCATCCACTACATCCACTACATCCACTACATCCACTTATTCTTTTGGCGCGTTGGCCAACATGTCACTTTCAATAGCCTTGATGGTCGACCGGCCCAGGAATCAGCCTAATAGAAAAACTACGTACGGTACTTGATTATAGAATTTTACACTGACCCCAAGAGAGACCCAAGCCACAATGGAACCCAAAGCCCAAATCACATTTCTTCCCACTCAACAATTTGCTTAGCTGGAAGTACTCTGCCGCCTTTTAAACCTGGTGGCCAAAGTTCCAAAAGTCAGTCATCACTCAGCCGGGAACGCGCATAAAATCATAAAAAAACGGGGTTGAATCGAGAGAGATGGAATGATCCGGATGGATTACACGAAAGGGAAATAAGTACTAATTGAGATAAACCATCGGCTCGATTTGACGACTTGCTTCCCACTCTTACGAAAGTTACCCGACATATTTCCCCTCTCTCCCCCCTGAGTTTTCTTGCTCGTAGTATGTCAACCGACTGCGTCTGTATGAAACAAAGGTCCGAAGGGATCACTGACATGGATGATCATACAGGAATAAATTTTGGTAAGGATCATCAAAGTCCGTCCAAGGATTAATTGAACTCGACTCTCTTAAGTGGAAGTGGGAATGAATCATTCAAGTATTATTTTGATGGGATTTTACGACAAGTTTGGTACTTGTTCAGTGGCACAAGAGGCACAGAACTTTAAAAAAGAGTCTGGAATCTACAACGAGATTGGATCGAAAATCAAAGACCAATGAGGAGGTCAGACAGAGTTTGACCCGCTTGCAGCGTTAACATGGGATTTATTAGGTTACCTTGCCGACCTTGCGTCTATACGAAGCAAACTTTCATTTGATTGAAGCGCTGGATAAGGCCTCGAAAAACGGCCAACACTAAACTCGATCAATAAATCATGTCGTGTTTTGTACGAGTACTGTGGCTTTTTCTTCAATAATAATTGAAAGATGTCGCGGCAAGTTGCGGCCAATGGATAATGCACTGTCAGATATTTTATTCTACATGGGAATTTCTGACAGCTGGATCCATGACTTTCTTTTCCACTCTACGAGTAATTTGGGGAAAATAGATAATGGCTCGTACCCAAACAATCGAAGAAAGCCTTATCACTGCCGGTAGATACCGATCACATACTACTGTAGCCAACCTTTCATCGTTGGGTTCCCAAGCTTTTCACTCAATATGGAGTAAATCTTGACCAAATTGGGAACGAACACATCATTGTCAATTATTGCTTCGTATTGACTAACGGACATTACTTTCATCCGCATGAATCTAAATATCACTGACACCAAAACACAATCAAAAAGGTTTTAGACGCGAATTCGGCAAGATTATCAATTTGTACGCCTTTCCATTATTCAACCAATTTGGATAATACCGCTCTAAATAGTCCCTCAAACCAGGGTTCACCGCTATACACCCGAGCGAAACCAACGTTCGGAATTGAGCTGTTACATCTGTTACATCTAGCCAGCAGCATCATCTCTCCGATCCGACCAAGGGCAAGCAAGGTATGGCAAGGCGCACAATCCTACAGTCGAATCGCTTCTATACGGAAGGAGGACATCTAGACAACCAACGTGGCGTGTATTTGTCTTCTACGAAGCCTTCTTGCATATTTCCGCCCGCATCTTACATCGCCCCTTACAGAGCTAGAGACGGCTGAATTTCTTTATCTTCTCTCGTGGAAGGGGGTGTCCTCGTGATTTCTCTAGCTGCGCTTCCCCGGTTATTGCAGGTGCATATATTCAAGGCTTCAAGCGACCGGTGCCGCATTGTTTTGTTGTTAACCGGACGTACTTTGCAGCCTTTTAGCCGCCAAGGATGCTCTGAGGAGATTTCTTGTGGTGCTACAGGAAAATTAGAATAGCGTAAGTTTCCTCTTATACGATTTAGTACTAACATCCATGATGCCCCTCATCATTTATTTCGAGCATTCCTTCAATTTCCATCCTATCTCTACCCTATAAATAATCTTTAAAGGTCGCCGATGAAGTAGGAAACAGGAAAGAGAAATGCAAGACAATTGGATTGGAAGGTATCATTGGATATTCAGACTTATCTAGTGGCGTCACAAAATTGTGCCACCGGAGCACATGGATGATCTACTTGCGTCTGCTAGACGGTGCTTGTCACTGCTTGGTGGGTTATGTCCTTCTTTACTATCCAGCGTATGTTTCATCTTGTGAACAGTGGAGATCGAACCGAAGTAGCACCAACTCAATGTGGAAACACTCTTCCTATAGGCTGATGCTACACGAATGAGATGATCGCTTTTGGGGATATATTGAGCCGACGGTGTGCAGTGTGTCATTTGGCGCGAAGAACGGCAAAACCCTTGACTTGAGCACTGATCCTTGGCAATATAACCTTTTTTTAAGATTTTCTGATTGCGCAGGCTACAGCACGTTTCTTGCCATCCTCTTCGTTGATAATTCCTACCCCTCTCTCCTGTCCTGTCATGCATAGGGCATAGCATCAATCCCATTGTTAGCACTGAAATACCATTTAAATTTTTATCTGGTTGCCTAAATGAAATTTGTTAGCTAACACATAACTTACAGCTTGCTTGCAAAAGCCGCCTTGCCTGCGAAGCCTGCAAAAGCCTGCATGTAAGAAATTAGTGCCCAAAACCGACGGAACTTGCGAAGGCGGATAGGATATCCAAAGGCCAAAGCACGGGCATTGAAGCAAGATTTATAAACCCGTCACTTGATGGACTAAGCCTCAAACAACCTTGCATATGTGTGTGAAAGTTGAAAGTAAGTAAGCAAGTAAGCAAGCATTCCCGGCGCCCGGGAATGGATATAGGGATTTCCGGGATGATTTCTTAGTGGGATCACGGAAACCACGTGATGTAATTTTACCATCGTATTTTGGA